GGCGCTTGGGGCGCTCCGAGGCAGCGGCGCTAGACCTAGCACATCTTCTGGTCGTGGCGGATCAACATCATCTGCCGCACGACAAGAGAATGGCGCCTGGCGCCGCTTGATCCGTAAGCTGTGCGATGATGAGGAAGTAGAAGTTGGTTCGTCGAGCAGCACCCCCGCTGCTCCTAGCGCAGGCACAGGATCAGGTCCGTCGCCGCCTGCTTCTTCTACTGCTGCAGAACCAGGACGAGAATCACCTCCGCCGGCAGACACGACCCTCGCCTCTACTGCTGCAGGACCTCCAGGAGAATCACCTCCGCCGACAGACACAACCCCCCACGACACCGACACCCGCGCCACGCCCAAGGCACACCAACCATTCAGATTTACTTATGGCGTTCTCAACTGTTACAGGCTCAGCTGTTACATGAGTTCGTGATGCAAGAATGGCAAAAGTGAGAGGCGGGATGAGGATGACCTTCTGCGTCTCTCTTGCGTGACAGATTTGGCACAGATTCGCAGCCTCTTTGGCACTTCGAGACTATGATGTCATGCGAAGCAGGAGCTCGACCTCGACCTCGATCGTGTCGATCTCGATTCTGAAGGTAGTTTGGCACGGCAAATCATGCAACAGCTTGAGAGTGCCACGTTTGAGAGCCCCATATTACTCACCCCCAGCTCCTGTTTTTCCACGGTCTGCACGACCGCAGAAAACTGGAGGAGAAAGTTGCCCAGATGGCTAAGGAACCGACGTGCGAAGTGGAGGATAATGAAAATCCAAGCAAGAGCAGTAAGTCCAAAGTAATAGTGACGCATATCGTACGAAAAAGGTGTGTCACTGTAAGAATTTTGCAACTTTTGCATCACAAGTTTGTTCTACAACACAGAAAAAATTTGCCATGCGAGATTCCTAAGTAGAGAAAACACAGCTAAAAATCCAGTGTCTTGCATGTGTAGCAAGACAAACACTACTCAGATACTTTCTCTGCATTACATACAAGTTTACAGTGAAACACAAACAGTTTTTTCTTGCGATAAAACAAACGATCCGCGTTCTCATGGACGTGACGGTAGTGCTGGAAGATAACGTCGCCGAGATATTCAGGAAAAATATTGTGTCAGTGTTCTTAGGTGCTGTGGAGTGTCCGCATGACAAACTGCCTCCGCATGACAGAGAAAGCTTGTAATATGCACTGCTAGTACCAGTAGACTTGAGCTCACACATGAAAGGAGGACTTCGTCATGGGTGGTCGTGTTTGGCATGACAATTGTAACTCATTTGCATTTTCTGCATCACAGACTTACACTTACACGCTTTTTTTCTTGCATACGAGAGAACTGCGGATCACTTGCGCGAGCTTTTTTCCTCGCTTCGGGAAGAGATCAGGGAGCAGGAGAAAGTTGGCTTTCTCCTCGTCACCGCTAGTCCAACACAGCTCAGCAAGAAGGATCATAATTTGCAAGGGCTCGCCGCCAGCCAGGTTGCCCGGAAGGCTTTGCAGGCACTTGACCCGCACCGCGTAAACACGGTTTGTGGGCCCGTATCGAATGGAAAAATCCCCCCTTCCCATATCAAAACGGAACTTCTGATGCTGGATTTGTGTACACAAATCTGATTTGTGTAGCAGAGCCAGGTCCCCAGGCTAGGTCGGGGCGTATGGGGCTAGTTGTTCAGCATGGCAAACAGCTCTCGTTTAGGCCCAACAGCGTGACAAATCGCTTCCATGATGGGGCGGAAACTTCTGCCCTTGTCTTCTTGCAATACGAATGCTATTTGTGAACTCAAATCAGCAAGAGCGCAAATTTTCGGAAACATGCCTGAGCCTGCTGAGTATGTTGCGGGGGGATTCTTTCTTCTGATAGCCCGTCTTTCACGACCAGAATGGCGAGGAAAGGGATGACGTGACACTTTTCAAGGAGCACAAAGTGCCGCTGGGAACCTGGGAACTGTGCAGCGTGAAACACAAGGAGGACCTGCGGGGAAAGTTCCTGCTGCTCGAGGACTATTCTGTGTCGTGGCTCGAGGAAAGGGTAGACCTGGCGGACTTTGTGAAGGAAGACAATCCAGAAAAGCCGCAACTTGAGCGTCTCCACGCCTGGTTGGATTACCTAACCATGTACATGGTGAGGCCGTGGCTCACCTGCCAGCGGCAGCTCGGGGAGTCGCCCGACTGGCGCCCGTTCGATTACCGGTCCGGCTGGGTGCTGCCCCTGGAGTTTTCCGTTACCGCCCAAACCAACTGGCTCACTGTATCAAATGCCAAAATGTCTGGGTCTGGAAGAGTGCAACTTGTGACGCTGCATTTGGATGTCTAAAAAATCTGTGTTGCATGAGCAGCAAAAAGATTCTAACTTTTGCTACGCGGAGAGGGTATTTGTCATGCGGAATAGGCATCAAGAATTCCTCAAAAAACCTGTGATGCTAGGGCATGCATCACAGACATCATGGCTCATGCAAACCTTGCATGACAAGTCTCAGAATCTTCCAGATCCAGACATTTTTGCATTCGATACACTGATGCTAGACGCAACCCTGTCATGCGGCGATCGTATCGGAAGGGGGGAGGCGAAAATGGGTATGAATTCTACGTAAGCCCAGGAGAAAAAGAAGAAAGAAAGCCGCGCCGTCCCCGTGCGAACCTGAATTTGTCCCCGTCCGCGGACCCCTCCCTCGCGAGCACGGGGTTCACACCCTGGCAGGTGGTCGCCTACCTGGTGGGCTACCTTTACCCCTGGAAGGACGTCAACGAGAAGAATGACAAATTTTGGAAACTGGTCGGCTCCTGGAAGGGCGTACTCGAAGAGGAAAAAAAGCCGACAAGCAGAAAAGAGGTAAGAGGTGATAAAAACCGGCTTTACTACTCGTGGCCCACCGGCAGTCTGGCCAACCCGACCTCGATGACACACCGCACAAGTCTCGACAAGCCGTGGGAACGGGAGATTTTCGAGTTGTTGTTTCGGAAGAGATGCGAGGCGGCGTTGAAGGAGGCCACCCCTGCAACGACCACGCCGCCTGGAGCAGCAGGGACCTCCACGGAAAAATCACCATGGTCGCTGAACGAGCACAGACAAGAGGTCATTTACGCACCCGAGGCCGAACGAGTAGCAAACGAGATCGAGAACATTTGCGGTGATCTTCAGGACCCCGCTCTCGCAGCGGACGTACGCAAGGTGTTCTATCGCGGCTACGAAGACGCGTACCGTGCCGAACAAGCAACGCCCGAACGGGTCCTGCACAGCGCAGATTGGAAAAACCAACTTCAGCAAATCCGCACGAAAAAATTCTCTCCTATCGATTTTAGGTGGATCAGGAGGAACGCGCGGATCCTGCTCGACGCCACGACCGCACCAAGTCCGCCGTCTGCTGATGATCCCTATAATCGCCGGACCAGCGGGGACGACAAGGATCTTCGTCATGATGCAGCCCTTACACCATCACCTGAGCAGGCCGCAAAGGTGGAGCTGCGCCAGAAGCAGGCCAGACGCCTAGAGGCGATCTTGAGGTTACTGCGCAACGAGTTGAGCCACGAAAATTTGAATAACAGGCACGTCGAAATTCTGATCGTGACCCGGAAGGACGGGCGTGAGCTTATGGAAGCGTCAGGTTTGAAATCGTCAAAGTTGAAATAATTTGTAATGCATAAAATGCATGACCCGAGGCACGTGTGTTGCAGAGAAGGCAAGTGAGGCCGATTGTATGCCTGTTTGGGGTTACAGCTCGAGCTGCTAAAGTAGCGTGAGAAAATCGCTCTTCTTTGCCTAAACAGCATGACAAAGTGGATTCATTTAGGGACCACCGAAATTTGTCTTGCGCCACTTGGAAACTGGGTCCCAACTGGCATCCATTTTATGCATGACAAATTATTTCAACTTTGTCGATTTCAACTCTGACACATCCATAGAGCTGCGTGGGCCAGTACAACCAGCAGGTCCAGCAACAGCAGCGGTAGCACGACCGAACCCAGTTTGGCCGGAGGATCACAAACCGCTGCCGCCGCCGTCTGTTGCCACGGTGTTGGGACATGACTGTGTGGAAAACCCGCTCACGCTCGAAGACTGGCCGGGGCACGCAGGAGAGCATGTACAAAACCTGTTGTTGTCACACGACGACTCTTCAGGAACAACTACTCCGGTGGAGAATAAAGAGATAGTTCATCAACTGGAAACGGAGTTGACGCGCGATAAATTTGGATTCAGTCCTTCTTACGCCGGAAAGCTCCGGGATAGGTGGTTCGGCGACTCCGCGTCCCGTCCTGTGCTCCACTACCCGAACAAACTCGACGACAGACAGGACATTATGGACATTAAGGCGCTGGCCAAGCTTGGGCTTCGTAAACATCCACCGGCTCTTGTTCCCGGAGCAGCTGATGCCGAGATTGAGCTTGAAGCAGGGGAGCTCGAACCGGTTCGCCAAAAAGCTTTCCGAAAGCTGCACCTCAAGCACATGAACAATTTCGCAACGCAGCATCCGGTAGAGCAACTCGCGACCGACGAGGGAACGCGGGTGCAGCTCAGTTTGGTATCCGTGTTGGTGGGCGAATCGACGAAAATATGTGGCAGTGACGCGGAGATTATCAAAAGGAAAAATTCCCCCTCGTCCCATTATTAAGTATATTGCAACGAAGTTTCTGATGCTGGTTTCTTGCGTAACGAGCAGTACACAAATCTTCAGATATGTCTTGCAGTAGTAGAGTGCTGCAGTCTGGCTCTGATCCCAGAGGTTTGGACGTAGGCACCTAGCGTGGCAAATGTCTACGCTGCAGGCCGAGGCCCAAGAACAGCATTGCAAACCGTCTGCATGATCATGCGACGGAGCTGTCGTTTTCCAAGTAGACAGAGACAACTTGTGGCCCGGGCTCAGCGCTGCGAATGGTCTGAGGCGTGCCAACATTTCTAAGATATGGGGAGGGGCGATTTTCCCTCACGATAGAAGCCTGGAAAGGTTTGCGGCGATTCAACCCCCACGGCCTCTACGTGCTCTTTAACGACGACGAAAAATGGGAAGATTGGGAGGAATCTGGCACCCGTGTGTATGGCGTTCTCAAACGACGTTACATTCTCAACTGTCACGCGATTTGTCATGCAAGAATATTATTACCAAAATCGTTACTATTATTACTGTTGCGTTGTTACTTCTTGTTCTTCCGTCTCTGCATCTAAGATCTAGAACCAACCAAATATTACCAAAAGAAAAGGAATAGGAAGGCAAGGGCCTTGCGTGTCTTGCATCACAGACTTGGCGATGATTCTAGTAGTGCTATTCAGCGCGGCAAAAACTTGTCATGCGAAGAAGTTTGACCGTGTGCGGTGTGATAGTGATTCTGCGTGACAAATTGTGTATCCAGTTCTTGAGAATGTAACGCTTGAGAGTCCCATAATGTTGCGCTACAACGCTGGGTGTTCGATTGGACGGAGTATTTGAAGTGGATCAGTCAGTACGTGTGGTGGCATTGGTATCACGATTGGTTCCGCCTGGACTGGGTAATTTTCCCTACATATCCTGTGGAAAAACACCCACACGCCAGAGTCAAGATGGGGACTTTGCAACACAAACCTAGAAGTTTTGGGACTCGAGCATCACAAGTTGGAGTCCGTAGTGTAGTGCAGGGTAGCAAGGACAAACGCATCACAAACCCATCTGCTTGTCCGGGTTACAGCATTACAAATTCCAAGACACGACTAGAAATCCCTCTCATGGAGATGCGCATTACAAATGTTCCTGTCATTGCAAATGTGCATGACAACTCTGCGGAGGTGGGGACGTTTTTACAAATGATCCTACAGAACCATACAAGTGGATCATTGAGCAGGCGCCGGTCAGCTGTGACTACGAGTGGGTTCTAGACCCTGAAGGGTGTACGCCCTGCCTCCGCCCAGATGAGCCCAATCAGCTCGTGAAGTACAATCTGAACATACGTAACCCTCCGAAAAATGGCGGCTTCGCGTGTCCTAGCGCAAAAGAGAAGATGGGTCCCCAACACTGCGTCGAGTTGTTTGCGGGCGAAATAGATTTCTGCCCACCGTGTGGCGAGTATGTTACGACGAAAAAACCGAAGAAAGAGTGTCCCCCTATCACGCGAAACGGAGACTGCATCGAGGTCAAAACGACAGAGGAGGCGGAGGAGTTGTACCAGGCCAAAGAAGAGTGGGACGAACTCAGCATTCCCCGAAACGAAGATGAGCGGAACAAGCCAGAATGCATGCGGAAGCCGATTGCGAGGGAGAAGGACTGCATTGTCCGCGGCTTACCTGATAGTAAATTCTGTCGAAAAGAGTGCGAGTACGACAGTGATGTGGAAAAGCATGAATGCCCCGAACCTTGCTGGCCCTTGGTCGACGGGGACTTGGGACCTGGCACGAAAAGACGAATGACGGACGAGGAAAAGAAAGACCGCGGTGGGAGGTACATTGTGAGGACTTTTAAAACATTACGGTTCCGTGGCGTATCCGAGGACGGGGGTCCTTTGTGTACTGACGCAGTAGACACAGAGCACGAGATGATCGATCTACGCAAATCTTGCTGGCAGAAGTTTGAGGACGAGGGCAAACAACGTCCTGACTGCGACAAAGAGTGCCTGTACACAGACTGGGCGGAGATTGAAAAATGCGAGCCCTGCATTGCGAAGACTGCAGCACCAGACTCGGACAAGCACGCGGTGGACCACGCGGTTGCCCCGGCCGCGACGCCGTCTGAGACTCGTCCTAAGAAGAAGAAGGTGTGGCGCCGTCAAAAAATAGTAAGAGAGGGTGAACCGGAGTACTGCGTAGAGGGTCCTATGGAAAAGGAGGAAGACTGCGACGAAGCGGCGCATGTCTGCAAGGATTGCGAGTTGGAAGAAAACATTCGAAACAATATCCTGTGGAAAAACTACGTCCCCCACCCATAGTCAAGTTGGGGATGGATCTCTGCAACACAGATGATCCAGGAGTTTTGGGAGCCACGCATGACAAGCTGCGGCCCGTAGTGTAGTGCAGGTTAGCAAGGACAGCAGAACTACAAATCCGTCTGCTCGTCCTCTTTACAGCATTACAAATTCCAAAACACGACTAGAGGAAATGCCTATCATGGGGATGCGCGTCACAGACGTTCTGGTCAGTGCCGATCTGCAGGACAGCTCTGGGGTGGGGATGTTTTTACACAGGATAAACAAATGCCACGAGCATCTCGACGCTATCAACAAGGACGAGGAGATATGCGTTGCAAATATGTCTGGGTCTGGAAGGATGCGAGTTTTGTCATGCACATTTTGCATGAGCATGATCCATGATGTCTGTGATGCATGTCTCAGTATGGCAGACTTTTTGAAGGCAGCTTCATGCCTATTCCGCATGAGAAATGCCCTCCCCGCGTAGCACATACTAGACTACGCTTCCTTGCTAGTCATGCAATACAGAATTTTTGGAATCCAAAGACAGCATCACAAGTGACCACCTTCCAGACCCAGACATATTTGCAATGCATACGAGATCGTGGAGGTGGCGAGCGCGAGCAAGAGCATGACCGCGGTCGACTTCTGCAAAACAGATGCATATGGTCTATTTTTAGAAATAAAAGGTCTTAGCGAAACAGGAACTGTTTCTGTTACTGACTTAAAGGAAAAAATTATAGGGGAAAAGCGGAAAAAGTGCTGCCTCGTCCGCAACAGCGACATTGAGGAGACGAGACTAAAAAATGGCATATTAAAGTGAAAAATCCCCCCCACCCCAGAACTTGGTAGCATTTGCACTGCAAACCTTTTCAAATCCAATAGAAACACTGCCCGTCTTGCATACATCAATCAGCATCACAAATTTTCCATGCTGAATTATTCAGCATGGAAAATTTGTGATGCAATTGCAAAAAGCCCAGCGCCAGCACCAGCCGGATCTCTCATGCAAAAGATACCCCGCGGGCCTACATTCTGCATCAGAAAGGCTCGCAGTCCTTCCATGCAAGACAAAAAGTTTTCATTTGCAAACTTAAACTTTGCATCAGAAGCTTTTGCAAATTCAGGGGTGGGGGCATTTTTCATCGTAGTATAATGACATTCACGACCTGACCACGGTGACAGTCACGGTCACAGCAGAGCCACCGCATGGACAATGCCCACCACAAGAGCTGCTAGAGTTGATGTGGGTCCGCGATTTCGAACCAGATGAAAAAGAAAAACTCGGTAGTTTGGATGAGGTACAGCGCCCAGAACCCTGTCATCCGAAATATGATTTTTGTGCGAAGAAATTCGACGACGGCCCTTGTGTAACAGGCACCAAGGGTATGGAGTACAAGACTCGTATCTTCGCAGACACTATTCCGCAATTGTTGCGATCTCAAATCAATTTCGATTCGTCTTTAGGTAAAAACGCGAGGTCCCTGTATATTAATCATCATCTTTCTATTCTAAGTACTGAACGTCACTCATGTAGTCTACACACCAGCAGTAATTGTAATACCATATCCAACATACACGTAATTCATAAGTCATCGATGAAGATGTGTTTTGCAAATTGTTCTACATGAGCACTATAGTGCATGACAGGAATTTCAATTTTCATTCTTTGCTGCATGCCTCGCCCCCGTCGCCGACCGATAAAGCAGCTTCCTCTTTTCCCGGCTGGCAGAGCGATCGGTTGACGAGGTTCGCCGCCGGGAGACGTAGCTGTGCTGTTCGTTTGCATATAATTATTGCAAAAATGCAGCGGATTAGTTTCTTGCAGAAAGGGCTTTTTTTTCGCGGATAACTGAGGACGACGAGGCGTGCAAAAAATGGGAGATTGACCTAATGAAACTGATCGCAGACGCCGATCCTTGTATCAAGGTCGGTGCTGATGGGGAACCAGATGACAAAGAACTAACCGGCGAAGCAGGCACAGAACCAGATGATCATGGGGCGGCGCGCAAGTTGACCAAGTTTCCCGACGCTGCAGCGTATGCATTGCAAAAGTAGAAGTAAAAGTATCGCACTACGTAATAGGGATAGCACATAATTATAGATACGAATGTTTCCAGATGAAGGAAAAACGGAATTTCTAACGCTGAGTTGTATTGCGCTACATACATCAGAGACCAGATCTGATCACGTCGTGCTGTACTGCACTTAGTTGTAGTTCGAGTGCGATGCTTTTGCATTCTTGGATACCGCGAGTATCATCGCTCTGCTGCAACCACCACGACGGCCGAAGAAGACGATTACAATCACGCATATTTCGGGTTCGAGAGAAGGCTGCAACCCCCCGGTCGACACTGTAAGGGAGGAAGATTGCACCTTCAACGGCGCCATCAGTCCGATCCCACACAAACTCCTTGGTTATGTTTCCGACGAAGACCCGCGCCCGAAGTTCTGTCCGGAGAAGTGTGAGTGGACCGAGACGGACGATTTCGACGACAACTGCAAGGGGTTGCAGGAAGAACTTGACAAGATGGCAACACTGGTGTGTCTCGAAGAAGAGGAGAGGGAACGGCTGAACGAGCTTCTGCTGCGAGCCGAGTACACTGAGTGGGTTGTCATCACAAAGTGGGGGATCGATGAGGAGGGCAACAAAGTCTGCGACAAGGAAGAAAGCGAGCAGAAGAAGTCGTGCGGGATGAAGAGCGGAGGAAAAGGAGTAGAGGAGTTCAGAAAGCGGCTGGACAAACTTCCCAACTGCTGCAAGTATACCGAGTGGAGCGAATGGGGACCGTGTTCCACGACGTGCTTCGACAGGGATAACCCAGACAACCGCGGCACGCAAACGCGAACGCGCAGTGTACTGGACACGCCGCAGGACTGTAAACAGCACGAAGAACTGTTGGAGCACCAGGCCTGTGGCGGATCCGAACTACCGCCCTGTATGATTGTGCGCAACTCCTTTTCCGCCTCATTTGAGTGACATGATAGGCCGCAGCCTTCGCGTGGCCACAAGTTCCTATCATGTCGGGCGTAGTACTTGTTTAGTACTGTTTTGGCTCCCGGAATTTGCTACTGCTGCGCAGGCTGTACTAAAGTAAAAGTAAAGGCGGCGGCCGCTTGGACACGTGCTCCTGGATTTGGCATATCTGCGTGGCACATGAGTGGGGAGGCAAAGTGCGCCGCACGACTCGTGTTTAGAATGACAACCACTGAGAGGGGGGGCGGAGTTGCGCACCTTCATACCGGGCTCTCCTCCGGACGACCGAACGCTCGTACGATCGATCATCAAAAGAATTCTGTTCCTGTGGTTTTTTCTAGGGAAAGACGTCACCCCACCCCGACTTCCAGGCGAGTGGCCGGCGCCGCCGCCAGTGGCAGATGAACCAACTGGGCCAGGGGTTGCGAGGAAGGTGGACGGAATTATTTTGCCTTTGGTTGACTCGCTGCTGTCGATCCCCGGCTTGTTGTCCTTTCTCCCAGACGTGAACGAGTACAACAACAATCTTTCGTACAAGTTCTTAGCGAGCGAAGTCCGGGTTGTGGCCGATCGGTTCGGACGCCTCAGCAACTACGAAAAGGAGGACGCACAAGGAAAAGCTGTTGCTACGACCGAACCGGAGAGGCACTCCCGCAGGGTGAAAACTGCCCTGGAACCGTGGCAGGTCGTCGCCTTCCTGGCGGGATTTTTGCAACCAAGCGCGACCAAGCTAAGCAACGACATTGAGCGACACGGCGAAGACGATACCGAGAGCGAGGAGATGGAGGCGAGCGTCAAAATCGTGGCCAGCCTCATCGGCGATATTTACGACCACACCGGCTGCGCCGCGCGCTCGACCGACGGCACTACACCCGCCGGCGCTGACACTGATGGCTCCCCGTCCTCGACGTCCGCTGCTGTTGCAGAAAGTACGACGCTGCACGTGATCGGCGACTTTTGTGATCGGCTCGATACCGTGATGCGGGCGACGGAAGTAGGGGAAAATCCTCCATCGTTAGCAGAAGCAGATTTTGCAGAGTTGTACCTCTTCATCCGCAATGGGGTGCAGGTGCGAGACCAGGTCCTCAGTAAAAATGGCCGCACGTCAAAAAGAGTGCTGCTAGATCTCACAGGTGCGCCAGGAGGATGTGCTGCTGGGGAGGAAGATGTTGAGGGGCACGATGGTGACCGCAAGAAGAACGCGGCCGACGACATTCGAGGCATTTTGGGGTCGGTCGCGTCGCTTCTGGGCGGCCGGTCGGGCGACGATTCTCCTTCCACGCAAATCATCGTCGTGACCGGGGGAGGGTGTGGTCCCGTATCCACAGAGGACGGACTGCGACCGCCGACAGGCACATACGCAGCAGAAGGCGAGCTGCCCCCTGCTCCTGCTGCTGCTGCTGCCGTCCCGCAACTGGCCGACGCGGACGGGAAACTAGCAGAAGCCGTGCGGAAGACCATCTCTTTCGTTGTAACTACTATTGATGATGGGGGACCCGGCAACGAGTTCGTCCCCACCAAGTTTCCTGAGGCGGAAATAGCAGTTCATAAACGAGGAGACAATTCCTGGCGTGGCAAAGTTGCTGTCGCGATGAGGTACACGTCGAGTGTGGGCGTTTGGGGGTTCCATCCGATCGTCCGGCCGGCGCGGAAGGATCATGAGAAGATATACGCCGCCTGGACAGTCAACTGGCTGCGCTACCAGGAGGGGACGCTTTGGGGGAAGGACGGCGCCGACACGGATCCGGAGCCCAGCCCGGACATCTACCCCTTGCCCTTTGTAAAAGACCACTTGGAGCGAAACGAAGGCGTCGTGCTCGACGTGTTCCAGCCTCCGCCAATGCCCCAAGCATTATGGAAGAAAAAAACTGTGTAAGTGTAAATTTGTGTTGCAGAACATGCAACAGAGTCACACCTGTCATGCCAGACAGCCATGAAGTCCACTATTCGTGTGTGTTTTCCCTTACAAGCCACGCATGACAATGTAGAGCAAATTTGTGATGCTGTCAGCGAAAGAAAGTTACACTAAACACAGTTTTTTTCTTGGATAAGCATCAACCAGCGTGTACTGGTACCAGAGGCTCCCAAGGAGCTACCGGATCAATTTCAACGGACCCCCGCCCGAGCGAATCAAGGAGGAGGATCTGAAGGGGCTCCTTCTACCGGAAGAACAAAAACCCCCGACGCAGGCCGTGAAGTTGTGGCAGGATGGCTTCAGTTTTGACGCGGATGAAACGAAGGGGTACCTCAGTGGCTTCCTGTATCCTGAGTAAAAACGTACCCACACCAGAGTCAGGATGGATATTTTGCAACTCAAACCTAGGAGTTTTGTGAGTCGCGCATGACAAGTTGCACTCTGCAGTGTAGTGCAGGTTAGCAAGTGCAGCCGCGTCACAGATTCATCTGCTCATCCTGTTCACAGCATCACAAATTCCAAAACACGACTGGAAATGGCTCTCATGGGGATGCGCATTACGAATCTTCCTGTAACTGCAAATCTGCATTACAACTCTGGTGTGGGTACGTTTTTACTTAGGATATCCTGCGTCTGAAGAAGGAAAATCTAGTACCTGCTTCCGACGGCGGGGACGGGGGACCACTTCAGGAGGAGCACCACCTCACGAAGCAGGGCTTCAAGGAGCGGCGGCTGTTTCGTGACTTGCAGCGGAAAGCGCAGTTTCAGCAGCAGCAGCTTGTCGGTATCTCAGCCTCCGGCGCAGCTCCGGACGATTATCAAGTGATAGAACATACGAACATGCTGCTTGCCGTGCCATGGGCGGAGAAGGGAGAAGACCTATCAACTGTAAAAATGTCTGGGTCTGGAAGAGTGCAACTTGTGATGCTGCATTTGGATTCCAAAAAAATCTGTATTGCATGAGTACCAAAGGGAATGCAATTCTTGCTACGCTGAGAAGGCATTTGGCATGCGGAATACGCATCAAGAAGCCCTCAAAAAATCTGTGTTGCTAGGGTATGCATTACAGACATCATGGCTCATGCAAAACGTGCATGACAAGTGTCAGAATCTTCCAGACCCAGACATTTTTGCATTTGATGAGACGCTGTAAGTGACAATATCGCATGGCGCGAAATTTTGTTCGCCCTGAGGACAGCACACTCGGCCGGTCCGCATCCGCCCTCCGAATCTGGAGCTCCACTTTTTCCCCATTCCGACGCGAAGGGCGTCGCGTTGCTCATGGTTCTCAACGAGCGAGGTGCGATCGCCGGAGCGAAAAGAATTATACACGGCGGCGAAGCTGCAGCTCCTGCAGGTGGAGATGCGCGGCCAACTGGCGGCATTATTCATGTACACGAGGGCAAACTCACCTTTGGCGCGGGAGGAATGGCCGCTCCGGTGAAGGTACCCTACGCAGTGTTTGTTTCTGCAGAGGTATCCCAGGAAAAAAGTGTTACAGTTACACATTTGTAGTCAATTCAGCAACACAAATTTTTCTGCATGAGAGAGAAAACTTGTAAATGCAGAAATCCTAAGGGAAAACACCTATGAAACCAGGCTTCTATGCGTATCCGGCATGACAGAGCTGGTCTGTCTTGCTTGGTCTGCAACACAATGTGTAGCTGTAACACTTTTTTCTTGCGATAAGAGGGTGACAAGGGCCAGCTGATCATCGTGGCGGCAGGAGACGTATGCGTTGCAAATATGTCTGCAGCTGGAAACTTGTGATGCGGGTAGGACAATCATGATGACGGCTCAATTTGCAGCTCAGCATGACAAGTTTCTGAGTACCTACGGTGTTGTGTATTCTGCATGACAAATCGCGTTTTTGCATGTTGACAGAAAAATGGGGCTTTTGGGTAATGTGCATGACAGCTTTTGGCGTCATGCTAGCAGAGCATGACAAACCTTGGATTCTACTTCCACCAGACCCAGACACTTTTGCATTTTATAAGACGCAGACACGACGCGACCACCTCCACCTTCTGGAGGGGACCCGCATAAAAAACCTACCAAATTGAAAAATGGCGCCCCTCCTCCCGAGAGCTGCTTTGTTCTTGCGCACTAATATAGCACCATCTGAAGCAGGGGCATCAATGCCAATGCATGCAAGATAAAGAAACTTCATGCATTACATGAAGTTTCTACTTAAAGTAGAAACTTAGCAACGCAAATTCTGTGCTGGTGAAAGTTCTGCAGTAGGGGAGGCGCTTTCATCTTGATAGGAGCGGATGATCCTGCACCTCCTCTTCCACCTCCACCAACACCACCTCCTCCTCCAGATCCACCAACACCACCACCTCTTCCACCCCAACCAGATGACAAGTTGGTCCACGTGCACTTGTATTACTTCCTCATTTTCTGGCTAGGAAATTTGCGCGGTCCGTTCCTGATTACGCCCGGGCCAGACCCACCAAACCGGTACCCGCCGAGCCCATCACTTCCACCGCCTTTGCCGCTGCGGCCGCTGCTTCCGAGACTGGAACCGGGGCCAGGAAAAGATGACTTCCCGTTCCCGCGCGGCCCTTGTTCCGTGGCGTATTACCTGATGGGCTTCTTCGCAAAGTTTCTTGACCCTAAACCCGGCGACGCCGCGATTACACCCCCTGGCCCTGCCAACCTGCTGCTCCCGGGTGTGCCATCGCTTCCACAGCTGGATCAGCCAGAGTCAAGCAAGCCGGCAACATCCTGTTGGCCTCAAAGGGACGGCGTCGGTATGGCGTTCTCAGATCATGTTACATTCTCAACTGTCACATGAATTCGTGATGCTAGAATGGCAACCGGGAGAGGCCGGATCTTGCAACTCTTGCATTACAAGTTCGGCACAGATTTCCATGCTGTTTAGCCCTTCCAAAATTTTTCATGCGAAGTAGCTTCACTGTGTGGACGTTGATGCTCATTGTGCATGACAAATCAAATCATGTAACAGTTGAGAGTGTAACATTTGAGAGCGCCATAGTCGGCACCGATTTCGACACCTTGGTCCTGTTGTACGCATTCCGGGAGGGCTATGGAAGTGTCAGGATCGAAATCGTCAAAATCGAAAAATTTGTGATGCGTAAAATGTAGGGCACTGAAGGCCTGTATTGGGGAGCAGACAAATGAGACCGATTGTAAGCCTGTTTAGGTTACGCAATGCGCTGCCAGAGTAGCATGACAGAAGCAGTCTTCTTTGCCCAAACAGCATGGCAGACTGGATTTGGGCGCTCCCGAAATTTGTCATGCGCCACTTGGAAACTGAGGTTCCAACTGCCATGTTTTTGATTTTTTACCTACTATTCGCTAAATGTGTTCCGCGCAAGCAAGAATTCTGTCGTGTGAACCGCGCAAGCGTAGTAGCACGATATAAATCTTTGCTTTCGCTTGAGAGATAGAAAAATTATGATTTCGCTGAGAGATGCGCTTCGTCATCATTTAAGACTAAAAACATTCGACAGCAGTAAATAGTGTAGGTCAGCGCTTTTCCTCGTACAGAACCACAAGAATCTCTGCCCTAACCGCTCTATGCTCTGGAGCTGGCTAAGGGAAATCATTTGGGGGGGGAGAGCAGGGATCATGGGCCGATAGGGTTTGGGTTTGTTTTTTTTTTTTTCCCTTAAATCTCGGTCTGGGGGGTAAGGGTTTCAGGGTAGGGTAAAGGGTTACAGGGAGGCAACTGGGCGATGCAGGGCATAACTCCGTGTTTTCCTGTGTTTCCCGGTGGCGTCTGCGTACCGCTACCAGAGCTCCGGCTCAGGTGGCGCAGGCAGGAAGGGCAAGAAGAGGAGTCTTGCTTAGGACCTGGCATTTCTATGGCGCCTGTTCTGACGCAAGGAAGGGCAAGCAGAGGCGGCTTGTTTTGGACCTTGTGGCTATGCGGAGGTTGGCCGAAGCACTACGGAGGCGGTAGTAGTGCCTCGCTCTGAAGCCAGGGGTGATTGAGGGTCTCGGCCCGCTTTCCCTCGGGCAACTCCCCGGGTCTGTTGGTTCACCACTAAAACGGGCGGTGTTTCTTCAGATCTTGGTGGCGACCGGTTGAAACACTGGTCGCCAGCTACTTACAAGCAGGAACATAGAAAGTAAGTACGTTAGACAGTTACTCGCTCGCCTAAAGAAGCGAGCACCCGATTGATTTTATGCATGACAAATTATTTGTATTTCAACTTTGTCGATTTCAACTCTGACACATCCATAAGGGCCTAGCCGAGCGCTGGCGGCTTCGCCTGCTGTTCCAGTGGTGGCAAAACCAGCTGCCAGCTGGTAGCACAATCGCAACGCCGGACTACCGGATCGCTCTGTATTTGTCGATGCGTTTTTCGGACTTTTCGGTTCAGCTGTTGAAATTGTTGCGGCCGGAGCATTTTCCGGAGCACAACCACGTGACAATCCTACTCATCACGGGCTTCAAAACGAAGAATGTTCTGGACTATCTCGGTGCTCGTGATCCGACGCGGCAACCCCCAGATGATGTGAGCAAGACTTTGGCTCTTAGGCTACCCAGAAACCCGAAAGAAAAAGAACAGCAGGTCCGTCTGGAGCTCACCAAGGTGGAGAAATTTTTCCTTCCGCCGGACGGGCGAGGGGAAAAGACGCTGCTAACGATATTGGTGCTTTCTTACTGGAAAGGTACAGGGCCCGATGCGGAACATGAAGATGATGTGTGGATATGGAAACCCGACCCCTGGGTAGTACCTCCGGTTCCAGTGCCACCCACGTGGCCCGACGGCTACCTGACCTACCTGGTCTACCGCTGGCTCTTCTACTTTTCCTTCGACTTCTGGGCTGACTTCGAGGAAGAGGCTGATCCAGAGCCTGCCCCTTGGCCCCCGAAGTTGGATCCGTTGACAGACCAAGAGTCCGTTCCGGGCTTCATCCTTCCCCTGTTTTTACAGGACGGTAGTACCCGGGTGCGGTCCACGGAGAGTATGCTAGCACTAGCAGAGGCCGGATCAAGTAGTGGCGGTACTAGCCCGGCGAAACAAAAGTTCAAATACGTTTCCGAGCTAAACCGAGTCCTCACCGAACACGGCGACCTCGGAGTCGACCCACCCGGTGGCCTGACGGCGTACGAGTCCGCGTTTTTTCTGACGGTACCAGAATGAGAAATCTTCCCTCCTCATATCAAAACGAAGTTTCTGATGCTGGATTTGCGTACACAAAAGAGATTTGTCTTGCTGGCGAGGACTACAGGCCCAAAGAATCAAGCCTGAATGGAAGTAGACGGGTTTTGGCCTAGGGGCTTAGCATGACAGACGTGGTCTACGCTGTAGGAGCAACAGCATGTTCACAAACTCAAACCGCCTGTAGAATGCGGCGGAGCCTGTGGAGTTCGGTGACTTCATGCAACACAGAGGCGTTTTGTGGTCACAATTCAGCAACACAAATTTTGGAAATAAACGCACCATGTCAATATAGTGAGCAGGGGGGATTTCTCGTCGCGATAGACGGGGTATCTTGCCCCACCGGGGCCCGCACCCGCTGGAGCAGTCGATCATCGGGAAAAAGACCGGATAAAGTGGCTCGAGAAGACGCTGCACTACAAGACACTCATGTGCGCTGGACCTGCAGAAGATGATCGAGACCTGCAAAAGTTCGCAGCAGGACGCGCGCCAGCAGAATTCCAAACCGCTGACCTGAGTTTGATTCTCCAAAGGGAAGAAGGGTTCTGGAACAATATGGGTTTAGTTCCCCCGGCGGAAACAAGGGCGTGTATTGAGGAGAAAGGAGCAGCATTCGCCGGGATGAGTGAGGACCGTCCCAGACTGGAGAAGTTGCTCCGCAAGGGCTTTCAGCACAGGCACGGACAGCTTCTGATGCAGGAGGACAAGCGCAGGAGTGTCGTCGCGAGCGATCATCATAAGGATCATCATGGTAGGGAAGAGCATGGCAGACTGTTGCTGGACCTCACCAAATTCGAGGTGGGAGCTCGTCGGGGAGGACCACGAAATGTAGATACGTTTGGGCGTGAAGTCGTGAGTGAATTGCTTCTCTTTCTGTACGTGGACATGCTCGAGGCACTACACGCCGGCGACGGCCAGGCGCCTTATACCCCGCTCGGGTGTTTTTACGATCTCAAACGTTACACTAGAATCTGGATTGTTGTCTTGCATGACGAGCATGACAGAATCGCAAAGCGTTCCACTTTCTGCAATACGAATTTTGCCAGATCATTCTAGTGCGGCTTAGGACCACTCCAGATCCTGTCATGCGCAGTCCTGCTACGAGAGTACTAGGCTAGATCATGCACTTCTTGCATCACAGATTTTCACCATATTCTATTGTAACGTTTGAGATTGTAACATCTGAGCAAGCCATACGCCTCTCCCCTACATTTTCGTCCTGGTCGAAGATTACGACCGTGCAACTCGGGTCGCGGAGATCTTTGGGACAGAGAGGACCACACGTTGGTGGGAGCGTGACAAATCAAATATCCAGGTGCTCCAGCATTCGGATGAGGGCGGAAGCATGGGCGGCACGGGCGAGGACGTCGTGATATCAAATGCAAAAGTGTCTGGGTCTGGAAGAATGCGACTTGTGATGCTGCATTTGGATGTCTAAAACTAAAAAATTTGTGTTACATGAGCAGCAAGAGTATATCTAATTTTTGCTACGCGGAGAGGGCATTTGTCATGCTAAGTAATAGGCATCAAGTTCAAGAATCCCTCAAAAAACCTGTGACACTGGGGCATGCATCACAGACATCATGGCTCATGCAAACTACCGTGCATGACGAGTCTCAGAATCTTCCAGACCCAAGCACTTTTGCATTTGATACGTGAAGTATGCTGACGATCACGGTGGCGAAACCGGGACGACCGGCCGTGGAGATGGCCGCGTGCGCAATGTGATTGCATTGAAGGTGAAGAGGGCAGAGAATGAACCCGCCCTGATCACCCTTCTGTACTTCGAGAATCCGAAGGAAGAAGTCGACGACAGCAGCATGAGCACGGGCACTTCTAGTATGGGCGACCCGGGCTTTGAGAAAATAGTCCACACGTCACTCTCGGGTGGCCCAGGGGATTTCTCCGGCGGGGGAAAGAAGAAGCCCGAGGTTCAAACGTTGGCATGGTTCAAGGAGTTGTGGATCCCCAACAAAGATCCGAACTTCGAGTGGCGTTTGGCCCCGCACCAGGGTGCTGGTGGCCCCTTGAAGTTAGAGGAACCACGTGACAAAACGGCGCGCGGCCAAGGCCTTATTCTGCCGCTGCAGGGGTTCGCGGCACTGGCCTGGGCGCAAAAAACGGACTCCACGAGTACCTCCTCGTCACGGAAGTACATGCTCTGGGAGAAGAACCAGTTATTCCGTGAAATAAATTGACCATTCCCAATAATTTTTTGCATCACAAACACAGACTGTCCTACCTGTAGTTTTGCATGACAAGTTGGATCATCATGGGGATGGTTAAAAATAAAGTTCTCGGAATACCAGTACCGCACTACGAAGCCACGAGGGGAGGTAAAAACGATCCCGCCCGAAGACGAGCAGTATTGGTCTCGAGGAAAACTCAAAGAAACGAAAGGCTTTGATTTCGCGGGTCAGGACCTACAGTGGGACGCACAGATTTTCTTCACCGGGTACTCCTTGACGGCATCTTCCCAGCTGCCGCAGGGTCTAGCAGCCGCCCGAAAAGCGTGCCAGTCACTCGGAAATTTGAAGTTCGGGTCTAAAGATGGAACAAGTGATACGGCTGAGCGGCATATACTCCCACAGATCTGCTTAGACGGCCCGGATTCCCCCTTCTATGGAGGGGAAATGTAATGTAGTGATCTTCCCGGGAGCTGCTGCTAGTGCTAGACCCAAGTAGAGAAAAAGTTCGCCTGTCGCGCGGATTCGCCTATAGACCTCTTTTTGTGACGACCTAAAGCGGCCACCTGAAATCCTTCCAGACGGCATGGAAGCAAGTGACTGACTTATGGTGTGCTCGGTGCATGACAAAACAGAAGGAAATATTAAGAAAAGTAGTAAGTCCGCATGTTGACTACAGGCTGCGCTTTTTCTTAGGGGAGGTAGCAGTTGCCCCTAAAAAGATCACACTCCTCTACCCTCAATACCTTGTTCGGCTATTTCCCCAGTGTGCTTAGCGGAGGTCCGCTCGTCCTGCCGCAACCGCGGGAAATGCAAGCTACCGCTTCAAAACTAGACATTGATAAGTTCTTATTTCGGCACCACCTGCACGTGCAGCACACCCTGCAAAGTGGGTATGACGCCCGAAGGCAGTTTACGAAGGACGAGAAGGCCCCCCGGCTGTTGATTGATCTTACCGGACTACCTGTTTTATTTTCGCCGCCCGAGCCTGACAGCCGGAATCCATCCTCATCTATGGCGAAGGCGATTCCTTACACGACGAAACTTTTTCCGTTCGTTCGCGAAAACTTTCAGGCTGATCACGGTGCGCATAAGGCCCCGCAAGGAAGTGTTCAAGAAGGAAAATCTTCAAGTAGACAGCCTTCACCTTTTCCGCCTGACATTTTCGTGGTGGTGGACAGCCGCGAGTTGGCGCGCGAGGTCGCGGCAGCCCTGCAACTCAGCCCGGATTCAATATCAAATGCAAATATGTCTGGGTCTGGAAGCGTTGGGGTTTGGCATGCACATTTTGCATGGCCCCTGAGGTCTGCGATGCAGGTCCTAGCATCACAGATTTTTTAGTGCTTATCACGCATCATGAGAAGTGTTGCCCTCTCCGCGTGCCAAGAACTGGACTCCTCTTGCTGCTCATGCAACACAGATGTTTTTAGATTCCGCAGGCTCAGGCAGCGCTACAAACAAGCTCCACCCTGCTTCCAGACCCAGACATATTTGCACTGCATATCCAAGCAACCTCTACCGAGTTGGAGGCGTCGACGAGGACTTGTACGTTTTGCAAACGACGGAAGATGTTGTTGCTGGTGAAAAAGAAAAACGCAAACCCCTCGACAACGTGTTCGCCTGGAAGCTGACGGCGGGCGGAGGAGCGGGGAACCTCTTGGTCACCGTGCTTTTTTCGGACCCATCCGGGCGGCCACCCCCACCGTCAGTCCCCCCTGGTGACGACCCCCATCCGCCAGGACCTCCCGGTGGAATTACTGACCCTAGCGCAGATACAGACAAAAAGTTTTCGTTGGCGTGGTTTCTGTTCTTCTGGTTGAAGTACGAATGGCCTCAGCCGCCCAAATTTGAACTGTGGTGGCCACCCAACCCGGTGCTGCCCGACGACCCTACTCCACCCGGACCACATGACGGGCCTAAACCACCCAGCCCGGTCAAGCCTCCTCGACCCGGACCAGGCGACGACGTTCCAGAACCGCCAGACGAGGAGGAGGAAGATGCAAAAAGCCTGCAGCCCCACCCAGGCCTCATCTTGCCGCTCCCTGGCGCAACGCTGGCGGAGGGAACAAGTGCTGCGGAGTATTACCGTGAAAAATGCCCCTACCCCCAAAGTTGCAATAATTTGTGATGCGAAGTTTCCAAATGAAAACTTTTTGTCATGCGTGAATAGGAATATGAATCTTTGTGATGCAGAGTCTAGTCGTATATAGGTAGCGTTGCTTGCATGACAAGCGCCACTCTTGCTGGGATCTGTTGCAATACAAATTTTCGCTATTCACGATTGGAAATCTGTGATGCTGTTAGATGCAAGAGGGCGAGTGTTTCTGTTGGAACAAAGGTTTGCAATACAAATGCTCCCAAGTTCTTCGGGGGTGGGGGCGTTTTTCATTGTGATACAGAGGCCGGCGCGGCGAAGAATTACCGCTACCTGGCGAAGGAATTCCGTGTCCAGCCTCCGCACGCGCTTCCCGGAACAGCGCCGCCCAAGTGGACCGAGGGTTTACCGGCAACCAGCGCGGTGTTTTTCCTGACGGGATATCTGACGCCTTTTGGCGAGCAGGACCTACTTGGCGACAATCTGCGGGAAAAGCAAGAAGCGTGCCGGGAGACGAACATTCAGGTGTCGGGTTTGCCCGAGAAGCTTCGGTTTCCGGGGAGCGCGGATATTTGCAACAACGAACAGGTTAGCATGGGGGAACTTCCGAAGGACGAGCCAGCCGGCGCCGTTTTCACACACGCGGGAAAGACAGGATCCCAGAACGAGCGAAGACTCTATGGCGCTCTCAGACGTTACATTCTCAACTGTTCCATGAATTTGTAATGCAAGAATGGCAAAAGTGCAAGGCCAAGGGTGAACATTGCGCCTTTTGCATTACAGGTTCGGCACAGTTGAGAACGCCATAGACTCCAAATTCGGAACGGGTTTCGGGCACGGCAAAAGGAGCAAGTGGTCGGAACAGCAGAAGGAGTCGATGGGCAACCCCCGGAACAAGATGCTGGCCGTATCATGAAGCCGGGAAGACTCCTGGTGGATCTCACGGGCGTTCAGGGCGGCGAAACGGAACAGAAAAAGCTTGCTGCGAGCATATTCCCGTTCCTCAGGATAGATCTTCATCGGTGTGTGGAAGAACTGCAGAAAGGTACATTATATCAAATGCAAAAATGTCTGGCTCTGGAAGATTGCAACTTCTCATGCTGTCTTTGGATTCCGAAAAAATCTGTATTGCATGACCAACAACAGGACTCCAGTTTATGTTACGCGGACAGGGCATTTCTCATGCGGAACAGGCATCATCAGGAAGCCCTCTAAAAATCTGTGATGCTAGACCATGCATTACATGCGTCATGGATCACATAGAATATGCATCACAAATCCCGGAATCTTCCAGACCCAGACATTTTTGCATTTGATAGTACAGAAGGTATTACTATGCCGGAAATCTTTGTGCTGGTTGACACACGAGAAGTCGCTCACGTGATCAACCTCGCTATTTTTGCTGGACACACGAGCAAAGGTGCGGAAGCAGATGGCGAGCAGGTGATCCCGGATCCGGAGGACGATGTCCTGAAGTGGGCCGGTGCAAAGGAGTCAGAGATAACGAACATCCTCGAGAACGTAATCGCATGGCAGCTGAAGTACGGCGACACAATTGTCCTTACCGTTCTGTTCTTCGAAGTAGCGCCACCTCTCGGGCCTGACGCTCCCCCTCTGCCAGCCGGTGGCGGCCCGCTGGGACCGGGACCGGGACCACCGACCTGGCCTCCGGCGCCGCAGCCGGACGATCCGGACGTACCTCCGGACGAGCCCCCGAAAGAGGAAGGGACATTGGCCTGGTTTCTTTGGGTCTGGCTCCGGTACGATGTGAGGTGGAAGTGGGAGTTCAAGCCGGCAAAGGATCAGCCTAAAGACCCTGGCACGTGGCCGCCCACGCTCCCCGACGACATCGGCGACAAGATGCCCGAGCACCGCGGTTTTATCCTGCCACTCCACGGCTCCACACTTGCGCTGGGGGTCGACACCACTTTCCGATACCTACCTAGCTGTCTGCGCGTGCTGGAACCGGACGCTTACCTCCGACTCTACCCGAACAACAAGCCACCCGCCTTTCCCAACAACGAGGTGTCCGTCGAGAAGCTCGCGGTTTTTTTTCTCATGGGCTACGTCATGCCTCTCGGGCACCAGAGCGGGGGGGTGAAAGAAAGGAAGGAGTGGGAAATAGCCAGTCTGCAAACGAAGCGAGGCATCTGCGAGACTCCACCCAAATCGAGAACAGGAGAAGACCCGCCAGCGCGCGACCGTCCCCCGAAAATCTGCGGAGTCTCGTATCCTGTGTAAAAACGTCCCCACCCCAGAGTTGTCTACTTAACAGTGGCCACATAGCATATGCTTTTCTCTTCTTGTCGTAGTTCGTTCTCCTCTTGTTTCCTTTTGTGAAAATTTGAAAATTCTCTGTGCTTTAATTTGGTCTTTTCCAGTACATAAACACCCGAGAGTTGTCATGCAATTCTGCATGCCAAAAATAAAAAGTTTCTCATGCGGAGCCCTATGAGAAGCATTTTTATTTGTGTTATGGAATTTCTGAAGCTAGAACGAACATGCTATGCTAGATCTGTGCTGCTTCTGAACTAGCTAAATAGGATTACACTACGAGGACAAACTTGTCATGCCAAACCACCAAAGCTGGCTGATTTGTCTAGCAGATTTCCAATCTTGACTCTGGTGTGGGGACGTTTTTAATCAGGATACCTCGCCGGCCATATTCCAGGGACAAACCGATCACTATGAGATGAGCGAAAAGACAATAGCCGGCTATTTCGTCCGGCAGAAAACAGAAGACAAGTTTCCTCCGAGAATGCTAATGGACTTCACGGAGGCCGCTGGTGCACCCGCTACACCAACAGGGACGACAAGTAGCGGCTCGCAGTCCTCTCGAGCCCGCGTGTCAGTACAAACCGAGATTGGCGTGGCGGACTTGCTGCCGTTTTTGCGGTATGTAATGCAAAAGTATCGTACTCGTATAAACGCATTACAAATTTCCTCAGCATGAGAAATAATGCGGATTTACCTTAAGAAAAAGATTTGTAATGCGTGAGCGCAATACGAGTGCGATACTTTTGCACAGGATATGCGGGGGGACCTGGAGGACGCACAGGTTGTTGAATCCCGTCTACTATCAACTGCAAATATGTCTGGGTCTGGAGGAGTGTAAACTTGTCATGCATGTTTTCCATGACCCATGAGGTCTGGAATGCGGTACCTAGCATGACGGACTCTACTGTGAGGTCTCTGTCGTGCCTGTCCTGCATCAGAAACTCCCTCCCAACTTGGTCGAGAGTGGACGGCTTTTGGCACTCATGCAACACAGATGTTTGCATGATTCGGATTTAGCATGACGAGTTGCAGCAATATTCCCGACCCAGACATATTTGCAATGCATATCGACCCCAGATCCTGATTCTCGTGGACACTATGTAATACGAACTTTCTTTCCGCACAAGTACAACAAAACGCATGACAAAGAAATTTCGCTAATAGATTGGAGTTGTGAGAAGTCCAACTTGTCATGCTGAGTAAGATTCATTGGAGACCAATGACAAGTTCTTTTGTCCTCGTGCAGAGTAGCCATGTAGTAGCCGCCAGCATGATTTGTACGTCGTGTGCGGGAGTAGATTTTTTACTGTGGATAGACACGCAAGCCGAAGCACTGAAGGTGGCCACCGCGCTCGTAGGAAAAAAACTGCCGCCAAACGGGGTGCAAGGCGGGGGTGAGTGGAAGACGATCACCTATGGGGAACCAGATAGCGGCGGGGGCGAACCAAGTGAGGGAGACGTCAAGTACGTCGTGCTCTGGGAACTGATTATCAAAAGAAATGAAAATACGATGAAAGTTCTCGTGCTTTTTGGGGACCGGCCAGATACCGACCATCCAGAAACACCGCCAGGATCTAAACCGCACGCCATTGCGGACCTCCTAGAGAAAGAGAAAGACTCTGATCCACCACCGGAGGTAGATCCACCAGACCCGGCGCCCGACCCACCTGCGCCGCCGTCGAGAGCAAGGCTTTCGTGGTTTCTGTACTTCTGGCTGCAAGGCGGAATTAGCTTCAAGCTCAAGCCGAGACCGAAACGAGACCCACTGCAGCTCGTACAGCCTTGGAAAAAGATAAACAAATACGCGAGCCCAACAAGAGCAAACGGATTTATATTACCCTTCACCACGTCGCGGCTGGGGAGGAGTAGCTCCGGTAAAGAGTACGACATTCTGCATGGACAATTCCGCGCGACGCTCCCGCAAGGGTTGGTTCATCGGAACAACCCTGCAGAGGTGGGAGGCTCTTCTATCCAAATGAAAAATCCCCCCTCCCCATATCAAAACGGAAATCTGTGATGCGGGAATTGTGTACACAAATCACATTTGTCTTGCAAGAAAGCACTGCGCGCAGATCGCAAGCCTAAGGGGAAGCCTGTCGATGGCAGACGTCTGGGCCCCTGTAGGCCTTGCACCATGATTACAAATCGCCCGCGTATCGCGGTGGACTCTCTCGATTTGGCTTCTGGCAAGACAGACAGGATTTGTGGTCACAAATCTGCGTCGCAAATTTTCGAAAAGACATGTTTGCAATTTCGGAAGGGGGGACTTTTCCTTGCGATACCGGTTGGTGGTTTGCAGGAGTGGCTCGCGGTCGTCTTCTTCATGGGCTATCTCTCGCCGCAGCCCGGGCATAAATACGCGAACTCGTTTCAGGACTGGGTAAAAAAAACGCTCTCAACAAAGTTACTGACGTGCGCGAAAACCCCCGGCACAGCATCACCCTCGGCCCCGTCAGACGAGGAACTACCCAGGTCTTTTTTTTGCGAGTTCAGCAAAATGATAAAGGCGATCTGGGACCGAGCCGGTTGCACAGAGCGTGACAATTGCCCGCCCGATATTGAGCAGTTCGTCCAACAGACTGAGCTGCAGCGAAATTTTATCGCGGCCTGGGAAAACGGGCAGATAGCCCGGTACAAATTTCGCATGCACATGCAGACCGGGGCAAGGGTGCTGCATTATCCCTCACATCCAGGGGTCAAGCCGGAAGACCAGAAGCACCTTGTTTCTCGCGTCCTCCTCGATTTTTCGGACACGCCCCCCGATGCGGCAGCGAAGCCGTGGAAAAGCTTCTTCCAGCTGCTTGAGACCGAAATACTGGAGGCAGAGGATCAGCATGCCGCGCTTGTCGACGCTGCATATGCACTGCAAATATGTCTGGGTCTGGAAGGCGAAGGATGCTTGCAAGGTTTGTCATGCTTAAAGAGTTTGTGATGCGTGTCCAAGATGAAAAGACCCTTTCTTGGCTTGTCATGCAAAACGCAGTTTGTCATGCGGAAAGCGCAAGAACACTAAGCAGCGCAAATATTTCTCATGCTTGGCTGGTGTGAATTATTCACAACTCAGGAGCATTACAAGTTTCCAGACGTAGACATATTTGCAGTACTCGATACTGCAACAAAAGCTGCAGCCACCTCTTCTGCAGGACAGCCGCCCCAGCCCGACCCTGATGAAGAGGCTCGAACCCGCGAACAGGCTCTATGGATGTGTCAGGATCGAAATCGTCAAAGTTGAAAGAGTTTGCCATGCATAAAACCGATACCAGTCGGAGGCCCACTTATCAAGCGGCGCATGACAAATTTTCCGAGCGCCGGAATCTAATTTGTCATGCTGTTTGGGTACAGAAGACTGCTTTTGTCATGCTACTTCAGCAGCTCTATTTCAAACCTTAAGCAGGCTGACAGTCGGCCTCACTTGCTATCCCTGCAAGAGAGGCACTTCATGCCCTGCAATTTATGCATGAGAAATTATTTCAACTTTGTCGATTTCAATCCTGACGCTTCCATAGGCTCGAATCCGCCCCGATATCTTTGTTTTGGTCGACGACGCAGAGGTCGCAAACCGCGTGACCGCCTCTCTGCCCTATCTCGACCACGTGGGCGATTTCACTGTGAAAGCGAGGCCTTCTACTTCGTCTTCTTCCTTTACCAAGGTGCGAAACCTGTTGGCGCGGCGGTTTGAGTCGAAGAAAAACGGCGAGGCGGTCCTGACGGTGCTTTATGGGGCGCCGCCGGGGGAAGAAGGTGAAACAGAAGTAGTTCCTGGGGCGAGGAGTCCTTGGGAAAGGGATGTTGACGCCGAACAGGAAGAAAGTGAGGGGAGCCTCGCTTGGTTCCTGAAAATCTGGCTCGAGTTATCAAAGTGAAAAATCCCCCCTCCCCATATTGAAAAGGAAATTTCTGCTGCTGGATTTGTGTACACAAATCAGCTCTGTCTTGCAGTGAGGTACTGCAGGCAAAGCCTCAGCCTGCCTAGGGGTGTTTTGGTGTAGGTGCTTAGCATAACAGAGGGCTGCCGCATAGGCGCGACAGCATTACATCAAACCGCCTCCAGAAAGCGGCGCACTCTTTGGATTTGCCATCTTGCAAGAGAAACAGGATTTGTGGTCACAAATCAGCATTGCAAATTTTTAGAAGCGTGCCCTTTCAGTATGGGGAGGGAGGATTTTTCCTCACAATACGAGTACGGGGACGTGACGGAAGTTGGAGGCGACATGGCTAGGGAGACCTCCCCCGAAGGCGATTGGTTCCAGCCGGGAATCGCGTACCAGCGGGAAAAGGGGCTCCTCCTGCCGTTTCAGAAATCCCAACTGGCGCAGCTGGGCGACCCCAGGCGCGTCGTGACGGAAACGCAAGAGCACCAGATATCAAATGTAAAAATGTCTGGGTCTGGAAGAGTCATGCTGTTTTTGCATTACACAAGAAGTTTGGCATGGAAGCTCTAGCATCACAGGTTTCGAGAAGCTTCCGCAATGCCGAGCCCGCATGAGAAATCCCCCATTTTGGTGACAGCAAGTGGGCAGCTTTTGCTACCTATGCATGAGAAATTTTTCTGTGTTCTAAAATGCGCATCACAAGTTCGAGGCTTAGAAAAAAAAGAACACAAGCGAATTTTTATTCAAACGAATATTTTTCGAACCAAAAATATACTTTTGATAAAAAGTATTCGTTTGGTAACGCATTGAGTGGCGTCGCGAACGACATTGGACACCGTACAGTGTGGATGCCACAGCGTTTGCGCCCTCCGGGCGGTCTAGGACAGAGGAGTCGCGCCGCGAGCCCTTCTTCTTCTATCTTGAACACATTCACAACATAGCTTTACTTCAGTTGCCGCTCCTTTCTGCAGTTGCGCACTTGCTTCTCTTTCTGCTGTGAATTTTGCATTCGTTTCCTGGCCCCTTCGGGCAGAATGCGGCGGAGTTGTCGCAAGTGGGCCGGTTTACTTTTTGCTAGTTGCGCACGTTGGGAAGATGCGTAGTGCTATGCGAGCCGGGCGGTCGGTGGCCGGTCGCGAAAATGTATTGCGCACGCTGCAGGAGCGGCCGCTTCGGCTTTTTGCCTTGTTTGGAAGAGCGCGAGCGCCTTTTCGTGTTATGCCAGCCTTCGCTCGGGGTCGGGGCCAGGAAAAAGCCTCTTGCTTTTTGCGCGCGCCTATTTCGGAGCCATCGTTGGTAGTGCTGATTGTGTGCGTGTGGTGTTTTGTGCTCTGAGTGCGGGGAAAAAAAATTCGCGCGCTGCGCGCGCACAGGCGCCGCGGTTTTGGTAGTTGCTTGCGATGCCCCTGTCGTGTTCGGCAATCAAGGGCCGCGGCCGGCCGAGAAAAAAGATGCGGCGTGCTTCGCGCGCGCAGACGCCCTGACTTGCTTCGGGGATTGGGGGCTGGCCGAAAAATTTTCTTCGCGCGCTGCGCGCGCGCAGGCGCTCTGACTTGCTGGAGGCACGACGGAAGTGTTCTTTTCACGCTCAGCAGCAGGGGTCTGGCCGACGAAAGGGCTTAGGGGTCTGGCCGACGAAAAAGCTTGCGTGCGCGCAGGCGCCTTGGCCTTGGGGCGCCGACAATTTTTTGCAGCGCGCCCGGCAGTCGGGGGCTAGCAGGAAAAACAATTGTCGCGCGCTGCGCGCGCGCAGACACCTAAGCACCGGGCGCAGACATCTCCGTGGGCGATTGCGTGGCCTGGGGGCGCGGAATGCTCTGCTCGCGTCCGGCAGCCGGCGGCCTTCCGGGAAATAGATCAGCTATCGTGCGGGCGTTGCGTGCGCGCAGACGCCGTGGGCTGAGGGCGCGGAAAGTTTTTGTTGCTTGTGGAAGCGGGGGGTGTTCCGGAAAAAAATTTTTCGCGCGCTGCGCGCGCGCCGGTGCCTACCTAGGTCTAGGAGCGTCAAGTCCCCCCCGGGGCCGCGCCGGATTGATTGGCCGGCGGGCGCGGCCGCAAATTTTTTTCGCGCCCGGAGGTCGCAGCTTTGCCAGAAGACAACTTTGCGAGCGCGCGCGCCCCGGCCTGAGAACGCGGACAGCTCTGCTCGCGTGCGACTGCCCGTCGGGGGATGCTCTGAAAAAAAATTTCGCGCGCTGCGCGCGCGTAGGCGTCTCGGCCTGATAGGGTGGAGCTTTTTTTTTTCGATCGGCACGCGGGGGCCTGGCTGAAAAAAGTGGCCAGCCCGCGCGCCCGTTCGCTGCCGCCTTGGTCTGGGATCCATCGCGGGAAATTTTTTCGCGCCCGGCAGTCGAAAGCTGGAGCTAGAAAAACTTGCCGCGCGCACGGGCGCGGGGGGGCGCCGTTGCCTGAGAGCGTGGCGAGCAGCCCTGTTCTCATTCGGCAGCCGGGGCTTGGCCGGAAAAAAATTTCGAACGAGCGCACGCTGCGAGCCCGCGCGCAGGCGCTTCGGTCTGATAGCACGAGAATTTTTTTCGCGCTCCGCCGGTAAGCGGGGGCTTGCCTGAAAAAAATTATCCTGCATCGCGCGCGCCCGCTGGCGGGCGCCTTGGCAGGAGAGCGCGCCCGCGCGGAAAATTTTTTCGCGCCCGGCGATCGGTGATTGGGAGGAGGCAACATCTTCGCGCGCGAGTCGGTAACTGCGAGGGAGAAACTTCCTTGCGCGCGAAGCAGGCGCGCGGAGTTGTTATCTCGCGTATGGCAATAGTGGGCTGCCTTGGTCTTGGAAAAAAATTGCTGTTGCGCTGCGCGCGCGCAGACGCCTTAGCCCGCAAGCGCCGCGCGCCTTTTCCTCGTCAGGCAGTTCTTGGGGGCTGGTCGGATAAGAAAGATCTTCGCTCGCTAGGCGCGCCCAGGGGCCCTGGCCTGAGAGTGTGCGTGGGGCGATGACTGAGGGCGCGGAGCGTTTTTCTCGTGTCCCCCGACCGGGTGCCGCCCGGGTTTTTTTATGGGTTGGAAGCGGAGTCACGTTTTCAAGTTGGAATCACGTTTGTGAATTCACGTTTAGAGCGGAATCAGGTTGATGGAATTGTTTGGGCTTGGGTTTAGGGTCTAGGGTTTGGGGCTTCTGGTCGTCGGCCAGGGCAGCCGCCGCCGGCCGGCCGGCCGGCGGCGGCTGCCCTGGCCGACGACTCTCTCTTCCCGTTCTTGGAAGGTGGCGGCCCCGCACCCTGCCCGTCTTCGTGGTTGTTCTGCCCGCCGCTTCCCTGGGGTTCTCCTGGCTCCCGCTGGCCAGGTCCTTGGCCGGCGCGCGGGGCGCGCCATTGATCCCGGCGGACCGCTGGGCCCTCCCGGCGTTCGTTTAAGTACGTTGTGGGCATTTCGACGTCTAAGTTGCTTCACTCAACTCGATTCGACAAACGCGATTCCGTCGCAAACGTGATTCCGTTAACGTGATCCCATGAGTAAACGTGATTCCAAAAATGTCAAAACGTGATGCCGCCGCCTTCCTTTTTTATGTTAATCTCACTTCGCGCACTGTCCGTGCCCAGAGATTCTCCGGTGAGAGTTGTAAACGAAATGCCCGGGCGCGGGCCGTGCAACTGCAATCCAGCGTAGCTAGGTTTTTTTGCTCCCCGTTCAGCGTGGCGGGCATGCCAGTCTAAAGGCCCGACGCATGCCCGCCCTGTCTCGGTAAAAGTCGCTTCAACAAATAGCCCGCCAAAAAAGTAGGTCTGTGCCGGCCGTCTTTTTCTGAGAGTGAGAAAAACCACTGCGCCCGTGGCTCGGTTCTCTGTTTCGCCCGCGCTTTTGCGCTTCGCGTGTGGGATCCACCTGGAAACCCGGAGAAGCCATGGGGAACACAGGGGTGGGGCGGGAAGGAGATTGATTAGGGAGCGGCATAGGTAGCAACGTGAGTGGGGGGATCGGGAAGCAGAGAGGTTGTGGGGATGCGTGTGGGCCTCGGGAATGTGGAGGCACGGACGCCCGCGGCTGTGGGTGCAGTGGTGCAGGCCGTCGTGGTCTGGCAATCGCTCGGGTCGCGCCTGGAAACACCGAGCTGCAGGTCAGAGTCATTGCTTCGCTCTTCTTGAAGAGGCAGCGTCGCAGGCCTCGTCTGCCCGAAGTAGAAGTACCAGACGGATGCCTGCATATTGAGGCCACCTCGACGGCCCTTCGTTCCGGGGTGGGCCGCCCTGGCCCTCCTTGGCCTTCTGAGGCCGCCGTGGCCCTTCTTGGCCTTCTGAGGCCAAGAAGGCAGGGTGTAGGGGGCCCTGTTTGGCCTTCTGAGGCCGCCGTGGCCCTTTTTGGTCTTCTGAGGCCAAGAAGGGTGCAGGGGTCCGACCAATCGGCCAAAAGGATATATCTTTTCAAAAGGATATTTTTTTCAAAGGGATACTTTTGCGATATTTTCCCCAATTCCTTGCCTTTTTATGCTTTTGGTTTCTCTTTTTCTTTCTCTTTTCTTTTCTCTTCTTTTCCTTTGTGTTTCTCCTTATCTTTGTCATCTTCTCATCCTCTCCTATTCAAATGAATACTTTCAATCAAACGAATATTTTTCGTGTTCTTTCTCTCCGAGCTCACGCCTAGTTCGCATCCTTCCAGACCCAGACATTTTTACAATCCATACCAAATTTGGCCGTACAACTTTCTCCCAAAAGAGTACCAGGTTGAGAATAAACACGGCGCAGCGAGTATCAAAGAAAAAAAGTTCGTCACGATCACTCATGCGCATTCTTGCAATACAAAATTGTTTGTCATGCGTAAAAATGCATCACAGCCAAACTTGATTGGGGATTTTCCTAGTGTTTCTGCAATACAAGGAAAGTTTGTGATGCTGAGAAAATTTGTAATGCAAAACCTGCAAGTTAGTGACTGTGACAAACTTTTTTCTCTCCATAGCGAGGGTGGGGCGGGAGTTCCGGAGGTTCCAGAGTGCGCCGACGATGCCTTTAACCGTGACTGCGTTCTTGACCGGGTTCCTTCGTTCAGTGCCCTCGGTTGAAGCCGCAGTCGACGAGGCGACGTCGAGCAGAATTCCCGGCCGCCCAATCGTGTTTGCGGGCCAACAGGCGCGGCTGACCTTCTACAAGGAGCAATCGCGACAGGATATCACAGCCGAGCCACCCCAACAAGTAAAAGTCCAAGAAGCCCGCCTTTTGCTGGACTTGACCGGGCTTGATGGCGATGATATCCTGAGTAAAAACATCCCCAGTCCATATTCAAGATGGGGAATCTGCTAGACAAATCAACAAGGTTAGGTTGTTGCGCACGAAAAATTTTTTGGGCTTGTAGTGTCATGCTTTTTACGACGTCCAGCAGCGTCACAAATTAATCTAGCCTATGACGCTGATTGGGACACCACTTCACAAATTCCAAAACACGACTAGAAAATGCTTCCCGTGCGTCGTCTCCGCATGAGAAAAATTTTGAGCATGCAGATTCATTTGCACGACAGCGATGCCTATGAGGTGGGGATGTTTTTACCTAGGATAGAGGAGGCATTATCATCAGTAGTTCACAGCGTGATCTCCATCCTGCATAATCCACCGCAGAGCAGTGCTACAACCGGGGGTGTTGTACTCACGGACGCCTTTTTGAAGCACCGGGGAAATAAAGGGAGCCAGCGCGTGTCGCTCTTTGTCGTCGCTGACAGTGAAAAGATTTTGTTTGCCGTCGGGAAGGCGTTGATTCGGCAACAGGAAGAGCAAGCAGCACATTTTGACGTCGTTTCTTATGAAAAATTGCCAGAAAAGTTTCCCATGTCGTTCGACGCAGAAGGCGACAGCACAGCCACGACCGGTGCTGGCGCAGAAGCACTAGCCACCGGTGCCGACGGAGAAGGGGAGCGCCTTTTCGAGAGTGAAGTGTGGACGCTTGGGTGCAAAAATGGAAACTCGTTTGCAGACCGGGAAAATGTGCAGTGCGATCAAGTAGATGCGGCGGGGAAAAGAGTAGAGAATAATTTGTGGCTATGCATTGTAAAAGCATCGCACTTCTAGTACAAATCGCGTGAGAAATTTTTTCTAGAAGAGAAATGGAACTTCAACTTGTCCTGCCGATTCGACTAGGGAGCCGGAAGATTTGTCGTGCATGTTGGTCGCGATTAGTTCTTGTACGAGAAGGGCGATACTTTTGCAAAGGATAGTGGTCGACGCTCCGTCTGTTTCTCTTCCAGCAGCAGGTCGACCACTGGAATGTGCAAGAGAGTGCGGAGGAAATCAAAAATCGGCAGCCACCAGCACTTGCGACGCTCCCGGAGTGGTTTAAGCTGTGGCTGGACTACCAAGTAGGAGGCGGTCCTCTTGGGGGGATATGCATTGCAAAAGTGTCTGGGTCTGGAAGGTTGCAACTTCTTGTCATGCTGTCTCTGGAGTCTAAAAAAATCTGTCTTGCATGACCCGCAAGAGAAGTCCGCTTTGTGTTACGCGGAGAGGGCAGTTCTCATGCGGAATACGCATCAGGAACCCCTCTAAAAATCTGTGATGCTAGGTCGTGCATCACAGACATCCTGGGTCAACATGGACAGTATGCATGACAAACCTGGCATTTTTCCAGACGCAGACATTTTTCTTTTTGCAGTTGATAGGGGAAGCCAGGAGACGACGCGGATCCTCGGAAGAACTTCGGCCCGGATGATGATCCCATACCAAATATCAAATGTAAAAATCCCTGGATGTCTGGAAACTTGTGATGCTGTGTGGCATATCATGAGGAGGCCACAATTGCTGGCTCAGCATGACAAGTTTCTGAGCTCTAGGCGTTGCCTATTCTGCATGACAAACTACGTTTCTGCATGACAGAAAAGTGGGGCTCTTTGGTAATGTGCATGACAGGTTTAAGAGTCATGCCAGACAAGCATGACAAACTTGCATTCTTCCAGAGGACCCAGACATTTCTACATTTGATACCAAAACCTGATCCGGTGATCCTGCCCGACCCGCACGATATCATCGATCCCGACTTACTCATTCGTTGTGAACTTTTTTTTGGAGAAAAGGACATCGCGTTGGCGAGGAGAATAAAAATGGAACGCGGTTCGTCAGCACGCACCCCTTTCCCGGGCACGACGATGGAGCCGTATTACGAAAACTGCCATTCTGTGCTAGAAGAGCTGAAAAAAAAATACGCGGAGCAACTGAATGCACGCACAGATGACGAAAAGGCACGAGTTGGCAGGCAGGTAGAAAGAGCCCGGGACAGAGCCAAGCTGATGGTGAGCAAGGAAGAGATAGCGGCTTTGCTCGACGGACAAGGGTATGAAATGCAAACGCATCGTACTAGTATAAATCACATGACAAATTTCCTCAGCATGAGAAATAAATTTGTAATGCGGATTTACCTTATGAAAAAGATTTGTAATGCATGACTGCGATTACTACGAGTGCGATACTTTTGCACAGGATAAAGGGCCATCATCCTTCCTCCAACGACAGGAGGACGCGTTTCAAGGCTATGCACAAAAAAGGACCTCCCATCCCCCTCCAATTTTTTGTCATGCAAAACATGCATCAATTCGACTGCTTGTCATGCAAAAAATGGACGGGGAAGATTGGTTTTACTTTTTTTCTTCGGGATAAAGGCCCGCAAAATTGCTGCTGCTACCACTATTTTCTCGAACAGGACCCGGAGAAACCGCCGCACTATGCATTGCAAAAGTATCGTACTAGTATAAATTGCAATACAAATTTCCTTAGCATGAGAAATGGAATTTGTAATGCGGATTTGCCTTGATAAAAAGACTTGTAATGCATGACTGCAAGCACTACGAGTGCGATACTTTTGCACAGCATACGCACGAAGAATCTTTGATGTACCAGCTGCAGGGAGGACCCGGCGAAAACGTTGCTTCTTCATCTACTTCCGAAGAGCACCCGTCTGGAGGCGCGCTGCCACCGAGAAGAAGTTCATCCGCCCAAATAAGTAGGCTCCAGTGCCCGTCGAGTAATATGTTGGTCGTGGAGGACCTGGGGTTCAGACCAGGAGCGGCGGACCGGCTTTGGCAGCGCAGTTATCCCACCGCGACGTGGAGCCGCATACCACTGGTGTCAAACGCCCTACTGCCGGAAATAGTGATAGAACAGGACGACCAACAGCAGGGCAAAAATGCATCAACGCCCTCTGTATCAAATGCAAAAATGTCTGGGTCTGGAAATAACTTGTGATGCAAGGAAGGGAATAGTGAGCTCACTGTAATGCGCTGCCAAGCATGACAAGTTTTTTTCATGGTCCTGCGTTGCGTATTCCGCATGAGAAACTGCTTTTTTGCATGACAGGGAGGAGGAGCTCTTTGCGGCCACGCAATACAGAGTTCAGAGCCATACCAGATTAGCATGTCAAGTCTCGCAATCTCCCAGACCCAGACATGTTTGCAATCGATATTCTGTTCCCGCTGCGACTTTTCGGAACGTCTCCAGTCTGATCCGCAACGAGGGCGAGTTTGACTTCATGTGCTTCAAGGTAACGCCGCCACTGCATGCCCAGGAAGCAGCGGCCGCTGCCGCAGCGGAGGAGAGTGAGAGAATACGGAACAGCGGGAACGAAGCGAAGGCATCCAGCAGTCGGGGTATGAAAAAAACCGATGTGGACGCGGAGAAACAGGCTGCGCTGGCGCTTCTCCCAGCTCCCCCGTCGTGTCTGGACATGGTTCCTTTTGCACGCGTGGAGTTTATCGAGCAGGAAATGCTGATCGAGAAGAGACGGGAAGTATCCACAAAAAAAAAACCATGCCCATCCAATTTGTCGTGCATCACATGCATAAAATCCTGTGTCTGTCATGCAAAAAATGGAATGGGGATGGGTTTTTTCCTGTGGATAGGAAGCGTTGAAGAAGGAGCGCGAGAGGCTGGACCCGCGCTTCAGTGCCGAGGAGCGCATATGCACTGCAGATATGTCTGAGTGGTCTGGAAACTCAAACTTGTGATGCTGAGTGGCGAAGCAGAAGGAGGCCAGCCACAACTGCCAGCTCAACATGACAAGTCTCTGAGCAGCTTCCAGGTGTTGTCTATTCTGCATGACGAACTGCGTTCTTGCATGACGGAAAATTGAGGCAACGTGCATGACAGACTTGAGAGTCATGCTCGCCGAAGATGACAAACTTGCGCTCTTCCAGAGGACTCAGACATATTTGCATCTGATAGCTCATCAAACGGATCAAAACCCCGGAAGACGTCAAGGCCTTCTTGCAGTGGTCTGCGGCGGAAACTACCTATGCATTGCAAAAGTATACCACTAGCGGGAGTCGCATCACAAGTTTGCTCTGCATGAGAAATGGGATTTATAAATGCGAATTTACCTTAAGAAAGACAATCATTTGCATTTGTAACGCATGACTGCAAGAAGAATCAGTTTCAGTTATAGTGCGGTACTTTCGCAATTGATACATTCGGTAAGACGCTGAACTTTGACGAGCCTCTCGATCGCGGGAGGAGGGCCACGACCGGTCCGGGAAGTGAAGAGACGAGTCGTGGGAACAAGGAGAAAAGGAAAAGTACTGGCAAAAACCGTCGGTCAAGAAAACGGAGGCGCCGCGGCGATAAAAAGAAGAAGTCACGCAGGGCAGGCAGCAGTGACAGTGGTGAAACCGGTACAACCGGCGTGGTGTAGGGGGGGGAAACGAGGACGGCCACACAGTTTTCGTTTTTAAAAAAGTAGAAAACAGGAAACGTTTTTTCAAAATCAATTTTTCAAACGTATTAACCTTCAAAGCTTGATGTCTTGTGAATCCTCCAAATTATGGTTAGAAGTAGCGAAACTACTACTACTTCGCACAAAAATGGGCGTCGTGGGCTTTAGTGAAGATCAATAGTGAAGTTTATCCGAGAACAGCAGAACGTCTGCTCGAGAACCGTATTTTCAGAATTAATTCAAAGAAAGGTAAAACTTTCCAGAATAGTAGATAGAAGTTTATCCAGAACCAATAAAGCTCTAAAGATCGTGACGTTGCTGCTTTTTTTTAAAGTATACTCGTTACTAGAGGCAGGACCTTTTCCTTTTTTTTAAAGCCGGCAACAAGCGCCGGCGCGTTTCGGTGCGCAGCAGCTCAAGCTATCAGTTTGTAACAAGAGCCGGTCTTCACGACCCCCTGGGCGGCAGCCGGAGACAGGCCTGGCGGGCACAGGAATCACAAGCAGCAGAGCGGCGCGGACGTGAGACCGTGTAGCCTAGCCTGTATGTGGCCTAGTGCGCCTTCGTAGGTAAACGTAAACTCACTTCTCACAACTCGTTGACACTTCGTTTGATATTTCTCCGTTTGGCAAAGGCAATATTACTTACAAATTGAAATTACAACTTGAACCAATGGTCAGCACGACAGCTTCGTTTGATAACTTCATTTTGCAAAAGTTCAAATCAACAGTCACTACAACTCGCTGACACTTCGTTTCATATTCGTTTGGCAAAGGCAAATGCAATACAAATATATAACCGAGCTCAATATCAGCTCGCTGACACTTCGTTTCATATTCATCCGTTTGGCAAATATTTGTACGTAAAACCATGGTCGTGAACGACGTGACACTTCGTTTAATATTTTTCCGTTTGGCTTCAACAAGAAAAAAATCCGCGTATATTGAAAAACCAACTCGACGCACTCTGTTACAACACGACTGCTTTCTCCCGGACATCAAGATGTCAGTCGAAACAAGAAAGACATCAAATTTCAGAGCAGTTTGTGGTGGACGCATTTTTGAGCTAGAATTCTACTTCTAGCACCAGGTAGTGCTCTTCTATGTATGATTTTTGATATCCGGCATTGATGCAGAATTTTTTTGTTGAAAGTAAAAGTTGGAAATTATTTCTTCGCCGCAGTTTTTCTTTCGAGCTGTAAGACAAGTTGGGGACAGCTGCCGCTCCGCCTGTAGTAGCCTCTAAGTCTGATGTGTTCTTCTGCCATAATGCAAAGATACCCGCAGTAGAGGATCATGATAAGTATCGCCTTGCGCGGGCTTTGTGGAGCTCCTCCGTGCCGGATCTTCGTCTTTTTTGCAGTGTCAAATCGAAGATCAGTGCCAACATCATCTCAACGTGGTGCAACACGAATCGGTGAGAGCGGTATCTATTTCTTGTGGTTTGTGTTTATTCATCTATTGACCCCAAAGACAACGAGTGCTAAAACCTCACTCGATGGTCAACACTGCGCGAGTACCCCCTCGACACCTTTCTGAAGTTGTCGATGAAGATCCGAGGAACTCAAGCAGAAACGCCATGCAAAAATAAACTACATGCACGTCAGCTCAGATCTTCAGTCTCATCACCAAGGCGCTCAGCAGCGTGTTGATGTTGGGCATGACTTTAGGTTCAATGATCACCACGACGAGCCATTTGTTCGTACGTTATTTTTATACAATTTTCTCGCTCCGCCTGTTGTTGTTCCTTTACGAGGATGATGGATCGTTATGCGCACGGCTCGTTCCGGAGCGCAATCCTCCCACATCTGTTGACTAGTACTGAGTCTGAGTTGTTGAGCAAGGAAGCCAAAACAAGATCATATTTGTCTCGGTACTAGGAAGTAGACATGGTAGACATAGTACCTGAAGAAAATTTTAGCTTTCTGCTATACCGGTATTAAGATGTGTCTCTGTGTTCCTAATTTTGCGGCCTCTCATTTTGACAGATGAGCGTGGTCCGGTTGCGCATAGCTAGTATGTAGTGAGGTCACCGAACGGTTCTAACCAGGGAGTTTTTTTGACACCTACCGTGAAAAACGACCGGCAGTTTTCAAGCGGCCGGAAGCGTTTTTGCACATAAAAAATTTGCTCTTATCAAGCGGCCGGGGCTTTGTTGTCAAACAAGCCCGAGCCAATTCTATCGATTCGCACTGGATAAAACGACGCAGGGGAGCCGGCAAAAGGGGCGCCCTTCTGAGGCGCCCGCCGCCTTGGTTTCTGGCGATTTGGGGCGCCCAAAAAGGGGCGCGCAAAAAACGCGCCCAAAATCAGAACAGCGAAACAGCATGGCACGGCCGCGATTTCGGAGCATTTTGGGCGGCCGCGAAAGTGGCCGCCTTTTCGCCGGCTTCAGAGCCTGGGAAGCTTTGCAAAAGGCGCCGGCGTGAAAAATAAAAACGCGAAAAATAGAAAGCGGCCCAGACGCGCAAAGCCAATCCGCATGCTATGGGCCCGGTTTTTCTTCGCTTTTTGGGCGCCCCCCGTGGCACCCGGATGGGCCCCATAGCATCGGGGCTGGCTTTGGGAAAGGAATTTTGGAAATGTGCCAAAATTTGCGACGTTTCCCAAGTGGCCACCATATCGTGCGGCATAACGTTACTCACAGCGGTATGGCGAGCCCAGAGAAAGCAAAGCCGCGGCCACGGCGGCGGTCGGCAAAAAAACGCCCACGACCTCACTACCCCCGCCCCGGCGGCTATATTTGGTACTAGTGGTGGCTATAAATATATATCCTCCGTACAGAGAATTATATAAGCAATGCGACTCGCATTGATCGCAAAACCGGCAGCGGTTTGTCGCATTGCTCGCATTGCTCGCATTGCTCGCAAAGCATTGGAGCCCGCCAGCAAGCAGCTGCGTGGCGATAAAATAATGACCATAGCCATACCGTCGAGATTCGCGAACTACTCGACGGAGCGCTGGCCTGCGGATGTAGGCCGCAGTGGTGCTGGTACACAGGATGTAGGCCTGCGGGTGTAGGCTGCAGTAGGTGCAGATGTAGGCCTGCAGATGTAGGCCTGCAGCATCGCCGCCGGCCACATAGGACTAGGTAGGGTAGGGCTAGGGGCAGCCCGCTGAAGCGGGGCCCAATAGTGGGCACTCGCTGACGAAGTCGCGAGGAGTTGTCGCAAGAGTTGCGACAGGTCCGCGCGCTCGCGACTCGCAAGCCGTCGCATTGGCGTCGCATTGCTCGCATTGCTCGCAAATCATTGCCGGAGAGTCCTTATATAATTGACTGTACCGTATAAACGAAAAAATAGAAAAAACGATAAAGCATAAGGACGCTGACGAAGATGGAACAAGAAAAACTTTCCAGCGCCTCCAACGAGTGCTCTCCTTTGCAGTTGGCTTTTCCGGGCGCTTCTGCTTCTGCGCGCCGCCGGAATTGGGTGCTGCGGCTGCGGTTCCTGGAATTGAAAATATTAAACAAAGCTGGGAAGACGAAGACAAGAACTGATACATCAGCCCAGCATGAGGCATCTTCACAATTCGGTGTTGTACCAGCATCAAGAGAGCTGCATCCATCATTAATTGGCAAAGGCAACACTACAAACTACAACTACACCGCCGGTGCCCGATCTCGTCTCCCGCCCGCTCCCTTCCGTCATACCACCTCGTTTGCAGACATCCTGCTAGGCGGGACATCATCAAGTAATTCGCCTGGTGCAGCTACGTTTTATTCCCTGTGGTCACCAACGGAACTTGCGCTTCTGGAACTGGAAGGAACAGAAGATGAACGACAGGAGCAGGAGAACCGTGTTGCTCCCGACGACAACACGAAGAACGGAGGCACAACTTCAACTTCAAAAACTTCTCATGCTCTGTCAGCAGCTGCAGGGTCAGAAGCGCGAGGAGCCGTTGGTGCAGGAACAACGGCGACGAAAAAGTATCACCGGTACTATACGGAAGTGAACATGTTTTACAACCACAGGTGTCGTGATATGAGTCAACATTGTAGAACAAGCTCTCCCGCCGGCCACCAGCACCACTTTCCTCAAAAGGACAACAAACAGGTTAGGCAGTGTTTGTCCGCTAGCGGAGACCAAAAATCTCCTGCACCATCGTCAACGCCACCTCAGCATCAACTGATTCTTATCCCACCCCAACTCCCGCTCATCCAGCAGTTCGATTCCGTGGCGGAAAGGTTGCGTATCAGATTTTGCACGACAGTCTCGTCTCATCCCGCTCGTATTCGCTGGAGGCCAGAAGAAGCAAGAATCACCGCGCATGGAAGTACAGAAGTGTAAAGTTACGTGGCTCTGCCTCTGGCTGTTTGTGTTTTTGGGCCTTCCAATTCGTCCCGCAACTTCCTGTAGCATAGCAACAGTCCCCGTACTTGTTATGCAGAACACTATGTATTTGTATGGGAATGGGTCTGCTGACAAAGATGTTGAATGCATTTGTAGACGTTTCGCTTGTTGGCGTTGGCATGCACTTGACAAATGTGAATGAAGGTGGAGATGAGACTTCTATGCAGTAGTTCCATACCGCAGGTCGTGGATCTTCTCTTGGAAAACCGACGGAATTACCTCTATAATTTTGCCTCACGACTTGGTAAACTTCTACACGGCGAAGAAACATCAAGTCAACCTGTCATGGAAGAAACGGAAACCAATACGACTTGTCATGCTTCTCCCGAAGGACGAGCAGCTTCCGCAACAGAACTTCTCGCCTTCGATTACGCGGAGTTGCTATTTCGTCATCCGGGGAAGGTCGCGCGTTTGTCTGGTAACCTGGTTAGGGCGGAGCGACTGACCAAGAGCAAGAATATGGGCGTGGGTGCCAGCAATATTACAAATGGATCTGTGTTGCAGAATCCGAATGAGAACCTCAGCCGGGGGACGATAATTTCATCTTCTGCACCTGTAGACATGAAGTCTTTGGTCGACGTGAATTTGGCAACCGGAGAGGTTGAAGAACTTGAGCCGGCAGATCAAGACGTATGTAGGTCGAGCGAGGAAAGCAAAAATGAGTCTGTCATGCAAAATGGCAATGGCCGCAGCCGCAGCGGACGCCTGCATTTATCTACTTGTGCGAATGGAACATCAAATGGGAGAAGTGCCACGTCTGCGTCCACCACGTATGACCAACGAGGAAAAATATCCGAGCCCGCTGCAGATGAACAAAACCGTTTCTTGGCCACCGTGCTTCGCAAAAGCACTCGGGAGTTGCTGAGAAGGAATCCCAAGCGACCAAATATAAAGAACACTTTGCCGAAACCGAATCGAGAACAAACCCCCGCGGAGCAGGTGGTAGCCACCGCACACCACGACAAGAAGATGATTTTGCCGACCCCGTCATCATCATCGTCCTATGCTGGTGCGACTAGACGTAGTTCATCTCCTACAACTACTTCTAGCAGCTTCATCCCGTTGCCCTTCGAACCCTTCCCGGTTCCCGGAGGGCGGTTTCGGGAAGTGTACTACTGGGACTCCTATTGGAATTGCCTCGCGTTTGTGCAGCAACAGGAACAGCAGAAACAGGAGGCACAGGAACATCAGCAGAGACGAGCTGCACACAGTGAAGATCGAGATCCTCTTTCTCTGATCGAGAATGTTTTGAAAAACTTCCTCTACCTTCTCAACACGTTCGGGTTCATTCCCAACGGAAATCGGGTGTACTACTTGACAAGAAGTCAGCCCCCGATGTTCACCGAGATCGTATTGCTGTGGCTGAAGGAAGTGATGCTACAAAAATGTTGCGCCAAGGAAGAGCGTGCGGGTGGACGACCACAAGCGGCGAGTGATACTTCATCTGCAGCGAAAAGTAGCGACAAAAGCTCGAGAAATAAACGAAGATCTGCAAATAAGTTCTTCGAGACGCACGAATTTCTGCCGACATTTGAAAAGTGGCCGGATTCGCGGGAGGCCGTGACGGACACGTTGTTTTACAATGGAAACAAAGAAGAGCATGAAGATACTAGTACATCAACATCAAGTAACGACGGCACCAAAAACTCCGCCGGCGCTCGTCTAAGTTTCTTCGAGGAATTAGTCGCCGGCGTGGAAAAGGAGTACACCTGGTGGATGACGTATCGGAGCTACACGCTGTTTTGCGCCGAGGAGCCCGAGGAAGATCAGGATGTTCAGATGAAAAATGGAGACAGTACGAGTTGTATGGCGGGAAGCGCAAGCGGCGGCGTTCATCTCCGGGAGTACACCTTGAATCACTACGACACAGGATCGGGCGTGGGCCTGCATCATTATTATTCCGCTCCTGCGCGAAGGATCACGAGCGCTGCTTCTTCCTCTACCTCTACCTCTTCGAAGAGTAAAATAAACAGGAAAACCTCCTCCGCGTTGCCCCCTCTGTCTTACTTTTCCTCGGGCGAAGAATTCCCACGACCCGAGAGCTACGAGGCCGACTGGAAATTAGTGAACAAAAATGTTGCCTGTCATAGAAGTCGTACTGCTAATTGCCCTGCTCAACCAGAACCACCTTCCAACACCATCGGTCCATATCGCGCGATCCGTGCGACTTGCGAATCTGGGTGGGACTTCAGCAGCCGCTGGCGGTTAGGCTCGTATCTGGGCAGTCCGGGCTTTTGCTTTCAACAGTCCACCTCCATTGGAGAACCACGGCGAGGATCAACTTCTAGTACCTGGCAGGAAACTTCGCACGAAGATCATGGGGACGGGGAGCAGCTCCTTGGTGAGGACGAGGAGCAGGCCGCTATTAACTACGAACAGCCAGGAGCAGCAGCAACAAATACAATACAAGCCGACGCTCTTGCTTCATTGCAACACCAGGGCGCACCTAGTGATGAAGATGAAAATAGTCTCCAAACCCCCTTCGTTTTCCCGACCGACCTGAACGCAATTCTGCACCGCGTAGAGCTTTTCCTCTCCAGGTTCGCGGCCAACGAAACGAAGCGGAAGTTTTACCAAAAGCAAGCGGCGAAGAGGCGCCAGGCTTGTCGGAAGTTTTTGATTTGCCCTATGAACTGCAATAGTATCGTACTCGTCTAAATGCATTACAAATTGCCTCAGCATGAGAAAAATTTGCAATGCGGGTTTACCTTAAGAAAAAGATTTGTAATGCAAGACTTGCATTTATACGAGTGCGATACTTTTGCACAGGATATGCCCGGAGACAAACCGGTTCGGGGACTTCCATTTCAAGATGATGTGCTTCCAGGCGAGTGAAAGCTGCTATTTGTCCGAGGTGTTTCCGATCTGGGGCGGGCTGGACTTGCCCTGTAGTTGTTCAACATCTAACAGCAATACAAACAAAGACGCGACCGCACCGTCTATCGATTGGGCCGCCGTTCTCCATCCCTACTACGCTCTTCCCGCTTCGAAAGAGAATCCGGTGTTGTTCACGAGCAATTGCAGAAGACGACGAGCAGCAGGCGCCACTACTTCTCCCACTGGAACTCGAAATTTCCAGAATGGAACCTCCCACGAGGTAAAAGAGCAGACGTCTGGCCAGGTGGTTGACCAGTGGGACTATCCCAACATCTGGGCCCCGCTGCAGCACATCGCAGGTCGCAGTTTACGCTTCGCGAAAGCAATCATGATGCGGCTTGAAGGAGGTCGTGGTAGCGCCATCCCAGCTGGAGATCGTGGCCGTGCAGGCACTACTTCTGCTGGTTGTAGCTCTTCGTCTTCCAGTTCAATGGTGCATATAATTCCCGATGACCCTGTGGAAGCTTTTGTAGAGAAGTGCGTCAAGGCGGTTTGGGACCGACCGATATATCATGCACCAGCTGCACAAAAGAGTCCGGGAGCTGCAGTAGATCATGACAACAACGGAAAAACAACCCCCGCCAATGTAGTTGGTACTGTGAAAAACAGTTCATTAGAGCAGAAACTACTAGAAGACGAAGAGCAAGAGGACAGCAAGCGGCCAATTTGGGAGAAGTACAAGGTAAACGACATCGGCTACGTTGCCGGTGGTTCCGGCGGTGAGTACGAACCGCAGCTGGGTTTTGGATGGACTAACGGGGTAGTCGTGGATTACTACCTGAGCCGCTCGCTTGGCCGAAGTAGGTCAGAATCTGAAAAAGTTGCATAGAGATGAACCAAACTTGACGAGCCATGGGGTCGGTAGTATCGTGAGCCTATGAAGGAAGGTGGCACGACATCAGACCAGTGTAATCGCTTTTGCCTATTAGTATAGGACTGTAGTTGTAGTTGAATGCTGGTGTGGTGCCACTGCCACTGGTCGTGACCTTGGCAGTGCATTAGCATCGCTTGCGCTTTTCTTCTGTAAAATAGACGCACGAAGGAGGAGCTCCTGGAAGGATCAGGATAGCGCGTCTTCGGTTCATCTTTCCTCTCAGACCCTGTGACGGCACGCTCTTTGTCCATTTTTCGGATTCAGAGACAGAGAGAAAGAGTTGCGCATCGTATCGTACTAGATGGCGCAGCACTAGCTGCCTCTGCGACTAGTTGTAGTGTGCTTCGGTCTTTGAAATAACAAATTGGAAACAGGACGTAGAAGTACGTGCACGTATCAGAGCAAGAAACTGGTCGAAGTAAAAATCGTAGTCGTACAACTGATCTGTGAAGGAGCTTCGAAACAGAAGTGTAAAGTCACGTGTCTCTGACTGCTTTTGTTTTTGGGCCTTCGAATTCGTCCCGCAACTTCCTATAGCATAGCAACAGTCCCTGTACTACTTGTTATGCCGTCGAAAACTATGTATGAGTGCGGGTATGCTGACAAAGATGTTGAACGCATTTGTAGACGTTTCGCTTAGCGTTGGCATGCAGTTGACAAATTATGTGAATGATCATGATGGTGGAGATGAGATTTCTTTGCAGTAGTTCCATACCCCAAGTCGTGGATCTTCTCTTGGAAAACCGACGGAATTACCTCTATTTTTCCTCACGACGTGGTCAACACTGCGAAGAAACAAGTCAACCTGCCATGGAAGAAACGGAAACCACTACGACTTGTCATGCTCCTTCCGGAGGACGAGCAGCGTCCGCAACAGAACTCCTCGCTTTCGATTACGCGGAGTTGCTATTTCGTCACCCAGGGAAGGTCGCGCGTTTGTCTGGTGACCTGGTTAGGGCGGCGCGACTGACCAAGAATATGGGCGTGGATGCTAGCAATACAAATGGATCTGTGTTGCAGAAACCGAATGAGAACCTCAGCCGGATGGTTTCAACATCTGCTGCGCCAGTAGACATGAAGTCTTTTGTCGACGTGAATTTAGCAACTGGAGAGGTTGAAGAACTTGAGCCGGCAGATCAAGACGTATACAGGTCGGGCGAGGAAAGCGAAAATGAGTCTGTCATGCAAAATGGCAATGGCCGCAACGGGCACCTGCATTTATCTACTTGTGCGAATGGAACATCCTCGAATGGGAAAAGTGCCACGTCTGCGTCCGCCACGTATGACCAACGAGATCTTCAAGATGGAAAAATAATATCCGACCCCACTGCAGATGAACAAAACCGTTTCTTGGCCACCGTGCTTCGCAAAAGCACTCGGGAATTGCTGAGGAGAAATCCTAAGAGACCAAATATGATCAAAAACACTTTGACGTCCAATTGCGAACAAACCCCCGCGGAGGTACCACCCACCGCACACCACGACAAGAAGAAAATTTTGCCGACCTTGTCATCATCATCGTCCCATGCTGGTGCAAAGAGAGGTAGTTCATCTTCTCCTACAACTACTTCTAGCAGCTTCATCCCCTTGCCCTTCGAACCCTTCCCGGTTCCTGGAGGGCGGTTTCGGGAAGTTTACTACTGGGACTCCTATTGGAACTGCCTGGCATTTGTGCAGCAACAGGTGGAACAGCAGCAGAAACAGGAGGCACAGGAACATCAGCAGAGGCGAGCTGCACACAGTGAAGATCGAGATCCTCTTTCTCTGATCGAGAATGTTTTGAAAAACTTTCTCTACCTTCTCAACACATTCGGGTTCATTCCAAATGGGAACCGGGTGTACTACTTGACAAGAAGTCAGCCCCCGATGTTCACGGAGATCGTATTGCTGTGGCTGAAGGAAGTGATGTTACAAAATGAATGTTGCGCCGAGGACGAGCATGCGGGCGGACGACCACAAGCGGATAGAACCAGAAGTGGTACCGATAGTACAACAGCGATGAGTTGTGCAGCGGACGACAATCGCGTCTCGGAGAAACCGCAGTCCTCACACGACAATTATGCGGAGGACGACAATGCTGACAATCATAGTCGAGGAGGAAATAGAGACCAAGCGCCGGCGCGCGAGGTGAAAAATAAAAATAAAGATTCTGGAAGACTAGAAGATGAACTGGCAAGTGAAGATACGTCTTCACAGAAGACATCGAGTAGAGACAGAAAAAACCCGAGAAGATCAAGCTTCTTCGAGACGCACGATTTTTTGCCAACATTTGAAATGTGGCCGGCATCGCGGGAGGCAGTGACGGACTCGCTGGCGGACAAAATTAAAAAAGACGAAGAGCATGAGGATGATAGTCGAAGTAACATCATCAAAAACTCCGCTCATCTAAGTTTCTTCGAGGAATTAGTCGCCGGCGTGGAGAAGGAGTATACTTGGTGGATGACGTAAAAATCGTAGTCGCACAACTGATCTGTGAAGGAGCTTCGAAACTACACGAGAGCGAAGAAGTGCGTACAACCACCGAGTGGAGTTGACAACTTCGTACAACCAGCATCACCACCTCGACATCTTCGCTACCTATAATATTAATAGATGCTCGCTCGTCTACTTCGTACAAAAAAAAACTGAAAAAACGTTTTGACGTGCCGGCAGTACTCGAGACAGAAATGAAAGTCAGACTTTTGTTGATCTGGATCGTTCTTCGCTTGCCGAAAACACCAGGTCCCCAGCATTTCATTCTCTAACCTGTGATCATCTCCGTTTATTTTGTTCGCAAGCTACGTGGTCTCTGGCTCTGCTATTCTAGTTTTGTGCCTTTTTTTGACACTTTTTATTCAATTTGCAAGGGAAGTAGTTCTTGTGCTCACGACTTGAAGTCGCTTGTAGTCGATCAGTTTCGTTGTCAAATCGACTTTCATCCACTTTTTTGGACTTTTTGGACTACAACTATCTTTTATTCCTTTTGAACTACGACAACGGGTATAAAAACCGGAGCGCGACGAGGCTTCTCAGCTGAAAACGCGTGGACCCCTGCTAGTACTACAACTACGTGCTTTCGCCCACACTTATCGCGAGAAAAAAGTGTTACAGTTACACATTTGTTGTCAATTCAGCAACACAAATTCCTCTGCATGAGAGAGAAAACTTGCAATGCGGAAATCCTACGGGAAAACACCTATGAAAGGAGGCTCCTATGCATATCCGGCATGACAGAGCTTGTCTGTCTTGCTTGGCCTGCAACACAGTGTGTAACTGTAACACTTTTTTCTCAGGATAACACTACATCAATCTACACTATGTTCGTCCACCTGGCCGCGTTCCCGCCGCTGAAGGCGCTGTGGACCTTCTACTGCCAAAGCTGCCCAGGGATGCAACTTATGCATTACAAAAATATCGTACTAGTATAAATCGCAATACAAATTTTTTCAGAAGGAAAAATGGAGTTTGTAATGTTTATTTGGCTAAGAAACAAGTCGCACAACTGATCGGTGAAGGAGCTTCGAAACTACGCGAGAGCGAAGAAGTGCGTACAACCACCGAGTGGAGTTGACAACTTCGTACAACCAGCATCACCACCTCGACATCTTCGCTACCTATAATAGATGCTCGCTCGTCTACTTCATCGTACAAAAAAAAACTGAAAAAACGTTTTGACGTGCCGGCAGTACTCGAGACAGAAATGAAAGTCAGACTTTTGTTGATCTTGATCGTTATTTTTCCCTTGCCGAAAACACCAGGTCCCCAGCATTTCATTCTCTAACCTGTGATCATCTCCGTTTATTTTGTTCGCAAGCTACGTGGTCTCTGGCTCTGCTGTTCTAGTTTTGTGCCTTTTTTTTGACACTTTTTCTCAATTTGCAAGGACAGTTTTTGTGCTCACAACTTGAAATTAAACCTGCAACGAAGTCGCTTGTTGTCGATCAGCTTCGTTGTTCGATCGAGTTTCATCCACATTTTTGGACTTTTTGGACTACGACTATATTACGACTTACGGATACGGGTATAAGAAGAAGAACCGGATCGTGAGGCTGAGGCGTACCAGCTGTAAAGAAAGAGATCCCTGTTAGTAGTGCCGCGTGCTTGTTTTGCAGCCCACACTACAATCTACACTATGTTCGTGCATCTGGCCGCGTTTCCGCCGCTGAAGGCGCTGTGGACCTTCTACTGCCAAAGCTGCCCGGGGATGCAACTGCAGGCTGCGGCAAAGTCCGCCAAGGTCATCACCGACGCTGGTTCAATTGTGCCGGTGGTCCAGTCCCCGATTCCGGGCACGAAAGTCACCGATTTGGTTGCCCCGGTCACCACGCACCTCTCCCTGCAGGCCCAGTCGCTGTTTTCCTACGGGACGAAACTGTTACTGCAGTGGTCCGCGACGTTTGCGAAAGTGAGTGTGCTGTACGGCTACGCGTCGTTGAGCAACCGCGAAGTGTTCGACATCTACCACGAAAGGCAGGAGTTTTAGGAGGAGGGAGAACACTTGTTACGCTCGTGAGAATGTGAATGCCGATTTTTTGGAAAAAACAACAACAAGTGAAAGTGTATGATGAACATCAAAAGCTAGACGATAAGATGAAAAAATACTAGAACGTCTAGAGAAGCAAGTCATACTTTTTGGAATACTAAAAGAAGCTGAAACAGCATAGACTAGAAGACATAAAGCTTCAAAACAAGAGTAGAACAAATTTTCTGACGAAGATGAATCTTTAGCAACGGTGCTCCATCTACTTGACCATGACCTGCCGCGCTACTATGAGCTAGTGTTTGTTTTTGAATACAGTTACATACAACCGTGTTGAGCTCCTGCTATGTGATATTTATCTGTTGAGAAGTACCACACTAAAACACTTCAACAGACTTCTTCATCATCATCAACTTCGCAAAGATATGAATGTAAACAAGTTTGTGAACAGCCTGCTCTTGTTCTCGGGAAGTTAGATGGGGAACAATAGGAAATACTTCATCACCGTGTGATTTTTATGAAATTGATACGACTATGAGCAATTGTGACAGACTGTAATATGTGCTTTGGCCTTCCCTTTTGATGTGTTAGTGTTTGCTTACCCGCCAGGAGCTATTTTCGAATTTTCCGCTCTAGTACTCATCTTATGTAGGTCAGTTTACCACAACCGCTCGGCGCTTTAAATGCGTTCACAAAATGAAAACTTACATTTGGTTTTGCATGGCTAACCACATTCCAGTGACGCAAGATTATTCTAGTCTGGCTCACATGGGGGACAAAGATGGTGGGGCGCGCGCGCTCGTCGGTTCGTTTTTTCGGATTCGCAAAATGGCAGGAGAGCGAGATCGAAGAAAATCGCGCTCGTTTTTTCAAATTAATGTGTAGCAGCAAAAAAAAAAAAACTGTCGCGCGCGCGAAGCCGTCGCGCAGCCGTCCGGGCCGCTCGGCCGCCCCCGCGCCGGGGCGCAGGGCGGTGCCGCTCGCGCCCCTGGAAGCCTTTCGCTCCGCCGAGCGCACCGGGGCGCCGCGAACGCAGCGAAGAGGCGCGAGCGGCCCGGGCGGTCCGAGCGGCGCAGCCGCCCGGGCCGCTCGCTGCGCCGCTCGAGCCCGTCCCGCCCCCGGCAGCGGCCCGGAGCGCCGGCAAGGGCCCGAGCGGCCGGAAGCGCCCCGAGCGGCGCGGGCGGCGCCAGGCCGGAATTCCGAGCGGCGCGAGCGGTCGTGGGCGCGCGGCCGCCGCTCCCGCGGCGGCTGGAAGTCTCGGGGCCTGGCCGCTGGTGGTCCAGGTGTTCGGGCCACAAGGTAGGGGCCCCAGGCTAAGAGTGCTGTCGCATTTTCGAAAAAAATGCGGCGTTCTCGGTGTTAAATTTGAAAAGCGGCAAGACCCTGGCTCAGATCATGGCGGCGGGCTGTGCGGCCAACGTGGCGACCCCGGTCGGAGGCGCGGCGCTTTGGGCGGATCCCATGTATGAAAAAAAATATTTAAAATCCTGAACGCATTTAAAGACCCTAGCGGTTGTGGTAGAACTGACCTACTTGACTCATCTATCTCTCCCTGGTGCTGGTGCTAGTTAGTGCCACGCGGGGAGAAGTGTCATTTGAACTGCCCTTTCATCTCAGTGCTCACAATATCTTCCTGCTGGAAATAAAAATTCTACCCGTAACGCCATATGATTTCAACAGTTTTACTACGACCCTTGTTGCTACCATATCTTCCATCCGAAATTGAACTGTAGCGAGCTAGGTAGAAGTTCGCACTGTCTATACGTATGACTACACAGATGCAGCTGGTGCTAGTTCAAGTACTAGAAGTCCACACCGACACTGTTCCGGCTGGTGGAACTGCTGCTAGGAAAAATTGGACAAACACAAATCGCTGCTGTAGTCACACGTTTCGTAGTCGTCCGTGCTATTTGCATTTTCCCACAAGAAAATATGGTCTCGCCTTTTATCTCATAGGTATTTTCTTTAACCTAGACCTTTACTACCCTGGTGGCTTTGAAAAACAGAACGCTCGAAGGTTGTTTGATCATCTTCGTGTTGTGCAAGGACACTTTTTGCGACCTCGCAGAATGAACACCGCTGCACGGCCGGAGATCATGATCTTCTTCCAAAATTTTCCGTACATTAGAAATTCGTATTTCACCAATTAATTTTCCAGTTCATCGAGTACAGTGCGAGAAGGAAGTAAATAGAACACAAGCTCAAGCTGATCTTCTCGAGTTCTTTGACTGAGCGCCGCCGACATGAGAACTACCATGCCAGTAAACTGATAATATATACTAGAAGCTGCAGCAGCTACAAGTTGAGCAGGCGGTAGGTTTGCGCTGAGCATATTCGAACCGAAAAAAAGAAGACCACTCGCTAGTTCTAGTGCCTAGAACACCACCTTCTCAGGGAGCTTATTTTGACGACAAAGAGATCTTCATCACTTGCACGACTTTGAGCTGAGATGACAACTCTGCTGCTTGACGGGGGCAGCACCCAAATTATAATTTGTCAGATTTTCCCGAGCTTCCATTTGCTACAGGAACTATTTATACGAAAAGGAAAAACAAGTTGCAGCTGTTGCACGACTGACACCCGACGTCCTGGGCTGATGCTCTTGGGCCGGCGAAGTAGTAGATGTTCATTTGAAAGTAGAACCCTTGGCCTTGCAGCATTCGCGCTTTGCTCAGCGTGATTGATGTGATTGAACCGCATCGGTGTAGTGTGCACAGTACAACTGGGCGTGAAATCTACACTAGAAAAAAATATCCTCGGTTTTGTTCCCGACGCCCTGTTAGTATCTATCGGTTGCACAAGAACTCTTCTGACTTCATTCGGTGGCTTCACCGCAGCTTCCCCAAAAATGCTCTGCGCGCCGCAAGAGGAAAAGCGTGCCGCGAGCGGCGCCATCGCAACACCATCACTTTAGTGTTGCTGTGGTCTTCGCAAGCGGTCGCGCGTCGTCGAACTACTACATAGTGTCTGAGTTTTGGTCGTGCCAGCTTGTTGGACGAGTAAGCAGAAGTCTGTGACCATTAACTACAGGGCTTTTAAATTTTTTTGAGATGGATCCCGAGGCGAGGGCGGGTTACTTGGTGAAAGAAAGACATCTTCTATTTCCTATGACAAATTTCAAAAGTATCCGCTGAGAGGGGTCCCTCTAAACAAGGAAGAACATTTTTTATCTGTCGTTGACCAAATTAGTAGAAAAATATAAATAAACAGCAGGCCCTCAATAGAGAAAAAATTCAAAACTATCAAAAAAGAGATCATGAACGTGACGAGTGCTCTCCTTGGGCCGCTGGAGCAGTTTGGGACGCACGGATTGCTCAGCATCCAGCAGTTTTTACGCAAGAAAAAAAAGCGATCCCAGGCGGATGCGGAAGGGGATCACGACAACACATAGAAAAATTCGCAAGAACGATGACATTTTTGCCGCAGCCGCGTGAATTTTTGTAAATGTGACTTTGCTTTCGCAGGGCGGAGATTGGACGGAAAGCACACATAGGCATGAGACGCTTGTTACTCCTGGTCAGGAGGACCATAATTCTTGATTGCAATAGAAATTATTTACAGGCACGACTGTAGGGAAGTGCAAGTGTCTTCGTTCAAGTTGTGGTTTCATTCCCATCTGCTCTTGGAACTTCTCGTCCCGCATACCGCATTGCCTCCTGCTCCGTGGCGGTGCTGGACAACTCGGGGTCAGCGCTGCTCCTAGTCGGCAGCGCACTTCCGACCATAGCGGAAACCCTCTTGCCCTACACGTATGTGGCGCTGCTGATTTGCGGTTTTTTGTCGCAATACAACTTCCCGCTGAAGTGAGGATTAGGAAGTGGAAACATACATAAACACTTACTGAATGTATGAGATACAGCGAGACATTTTACAATGAAGCTGCACTCCACCTGAATTTAGTCGTGTTTTTTTTTCTTGCTCCTCGATGAAGAGGACCGCCTTAACAGTCGAATTAGCTGCAGCTACATTGGTGCCTCGTCTCAGCGGCCAGGCTCCCTTGTATATTGATTGTTTCGTTCGCAGGACTACGGTTGGAGAATTTTTACGCAACGACCGCAAAAAGCACTTTTCCGCGAAGAGCACTATCGAGCGGCAAACCTATTCATTGTTAGGCCCAAAAAATACAGAACGAAGTTATACCATCAACGTGTTCCACTGCTCATGCTTGAAATAAATTGCGGGTATGAGTCATCTACGTACAACCATCTGCTTAAGTAGGCGCGTTGAGTGCTGAGCGTCCGCTGTTTTGATGCCTATGATTGTAGGGCAGTAAAGCATTTGTTTTGAGATTGAGCGACGAGTTGCTGCAATCTGGTCTGTGGATTTCTATTTGTTGCTGTGGCGAAACTTCTATAACTAAAGCGAAAGATCTTGCTATTGCTACAATTCAATGCAGAAAACGAAGCACAGCAAAAGCAAGTAAAGTACACAGCTGTGATCCTATTGTTCAAATATTCTATCTTTGACGAGTTGTCCTTCGATATTGTAGTTTGTTGAAAACGAAAGAAGAAACGCACAAGCACGAAAATGTGGTCCTCCTGGTCCTCTGCAAGTTCGCAGTTTTTCCACCGCTCCGTCGGGCAGACGTCTGCAGCTGCGTGCTCCTCTATCCGGTGGAATAAAAACGCTGTGCCGACGAGTACGACCACATCACCACATCAGGATGACTTTTCGTGCCATGATAAGGCTGCTGCAACATGGTGCACAGAGTCCGAGTCACACCGTCCCCGCGCATGCGCAGCTCATCATGTGAGAAAACAACCCAGCTCCTCAGGTTTCCGGAAACAGGACGAGCGGAAGGCGGCCCCTAGTACGAGGAGCGGGGCGGTGCAACTTCTGGCGCCGTCGAGTAGTTGTTCTCATAAAAAAACATCAACAGGTACAGGCCGCTCAGGCAGATTGTTGACAGGAGCTGCCAAAATAAGTGGCAGAAGGCCCACTCCCAACACGAGCACTTCCTCAGCAAGAACATTCGGGCCAGGCGTGGCGCGGCCGTTTTTTTGGGCAACAAGGGGCGTTACCTCAAGTACAGGCTCAAGCTGCGCGAATAAAGCATCGGCTTCTTCTTGGCACAGAAGTAGAGAAAGATTCATCTTCGACATCAAGAAGCCGGTCGTTTACTGCCTTGAGCATGACAACTGGGACAAATCGCGGCTTCCCCCACCCCAGGTCTACCGGGGCGTAGAATTTTACCCCACTCCGACCCGGTTCCTCCCCAGGCTGGGCCTGCAGCAGGGCAGCGGAAAGAAGCTGTTCAAGCAGTTTCGGGTAAAGCCCGGGACTATCGCGAGCAGGCGGGCGCTGGTCGAGTCCTTTCTCACGCCGAACGAGCTGTTTTTCGTGCACTACAAGGGGAAGCTTCCGGAAGAGCCCGACATCTCTTGGCGGTTGGAAGTGGAGACGGCAGTCGGTGTTGCGTCTTCCACATCTTCGTCCTTCGACGTAACCTATCCACAGTGAATTTCCCGTACACGTACAAATGCGGTCTCTGCATGACAGAGCTTGGCTTCGCTCCTAGTTTAGCATAACAAGTTTTACGCTCCAATAAATTGGTAGAATTTGTGATGCATCTTGTACATGTACGGAAAATTTGTATTGCATATAACTCCTAAAGTGATTGCCGTTCCTGCCTTCCCATCCAGCTACCAAACCATGAGCAGCTTCACACCGCCCAGCGCAATGCCGACGAGTAGTACACAGTACGATCTTCACGAAGATCGTACTTCAAGAGCTGCCGGTGCATCATCATCACATTCGCAGACATCAAATATGAAACACCAGCAGAATTTGAGGCTGACGCAACAAAAAACGGTCCTGAGCCTCACGCTAGATGATTTGCGAACCAAATTTCCGCAGCACGACGTGGTGTGTGTGATTGATTGTTCCGGAAATAGTGCGGTAGGTGCTGGGGGAGGCACAGGTGGAGCAGCTGGCGCAACCGCTAGTAGCACAACTCCCAGCACGACAAACTCGCCCGAAATGATCGGCTGCGCCCGCTGGACCGGCCCGAAGTTGCGGGATGTGCTGACCTATGCATTGCAAATATGTCTGGGTCTGGAAACCTGTGATGCTAAATTGCGCATGATTGCCACGCTTGACAAGCTTACTCTCGGAACGCTTTCTGATGCGTAACACGCATTACAAATTGCGTTCTAACGTGACAGGGGAAGCTGCCCACTTGCTGCTCATGCAGCACAGATTTTCCAGGAATGCAAGAAGCGCATTACAAGTCCCATCTTTTCAGACGCAGACACATATGCAGTTGATATGACCTACTGCAAAATTCTCCCGGAAATGGCAGCGGTGTCTGCATTATGCATTGCAAATATGTCTGGTAATGGAAAAATTCCAGGTTTGTCATGCTCTGCTAGCATGACTGGCAAGTCTGTCATGCAATGTACCCAAAAGCGCCCTTTTTGTGTCATGCGAGAACTTATTTTCTCATGCAGAATAGGCAACACCTAGCGACTCAAAAACCTGTGATGCTAAGCCGTCATATCTGGCGTGCTCTTGATTCGCCAACCAGCATCACAAGTTTCCAGACCCAGACATATTTGCATTTCATATGCATCCTCAAGCGCCGGGCGAGCTTCGACTACAGGCTCCGGTGGTGGTCCGAATCAGCCAGGCGGGCCGCACCGGGTCAGGGTCTTGCACTTTTACTCGGATGAGAAGCTGCTCCCGGGTGGAGGTGCAGCAAGTACCTCTACGACCAGCGCCAGCTCTGGTCAAGAAGCTTCTAGCCACCAACAGCAAGCCCGGATCTCCATTCCCCTAGACCGTGCGTTGTCCCCCGCCGGTTCGAGTGCGGGGACGGCGTTTGACGATGCCATTCTGGCACTGGAGATGAACGGTTTTGAGCTCCCCTTCGAGCAGGGGTTTCCCGTCCGGCTGATCGTACCTGGTTACACCGAACAGAATATCCTGTGTAAAAACGTCGCTACCCCATAGTCAAGATGGGAAATCTGCTAGACAAATCAACGCGCTTTGGCTGTTGCGCATGACAAGTTTGGCGTCGTGGTGTAATACTGTTTAGCTAGTTAAGCAGCGTCACAGATCTAGTATATCAGGCCGATTGGAGCATCACGAATTCCAAAACGCTACTAGCAAGTAAGCACTTCGCATGGGGCTCCGCATGAGAAACATTTTCAGCATGCGCAGTTGCGTTACAACTATGCATGGGGTGGGGACGTTTTACATATGATACAGAAGCAATTGAAATGGGTGAGCCGCATTCTCCTCGAGACAGCGGTGGGGGAAGAGGCTTCGGCGATGGGCTACACCATGATGAAACGCATCACGATCCTCGACGAAGCCACCCGGGACGCCGGCGAAAACGCGTTGACTGCGTTGATCTGCGTGCCGGAAGAGCAGGACACTTGCTACGTCCAGGAAGGCGCCGAAGAGGCAGCCACGGTGGAGGTCAGGGGCATTGCGTACTCCGGAGGCGTATGGATTGCAAATATCTCTGGGACTGGAAACTTGTAATGCTAAAAGTGAATGATAGACGCACTGCAATACGCAGCTACGCATGATAAATTTTTTGGCTGCCGTGATGTCTTACGTATTCCGCATGGCAAACTGCGTTTTTGCATGGCAGGTAAAGAGGGCTTCCTCGTGCCCATGCGAACACAGATTCTCGAGTCATGCCAGACAAGCATGACAAACTTGCATTCTTCCAGACCCAGACAGTTTCGCACTTGATAAGGCGGCCACGGAATCCGGAGGGTCCAGATCTCCTCCGACAACGGCAAGAAATGGATCGCGGCGGAGATCTACGGCACGAAATACCCTCACGCCTGGGTGCAGTGGAAGCAGAAGCTGGTTTTGCCCATGGAGGAAAAGAAGAAGTTGGCAATCAACAAGAAGTATCCTGTGTAAGAGTATCGTACACGACGTATAAATGCAGGTCTTGCATGACAGATCTGCTTTTTTAGCTTGTTCTGCATGACAAATTTTAATTTTTCCTTTAGGAAAAATTTGTCATGCGTTTTGTACTTAGTACGATACTTCTGCAATGCATAAGAAGCTAGACGTGGAGATCTTGGTCCGCGTCACGAACGGCGTCAACAAGACGCAGGAGCTACGCGATTGCGACCGGGTGACCGTGTGTTTGCAAACTGTGAACGATTTGGCTTCCGTTGGGGCGGGATTTGACCGAACCAAATCGAAGCGGATGAACAGTCGGAAGCCGATACGCACCACAATAATTCATTCCCGTATGAGCGGGGTAACAACTAACTCAACTAACTCGGGATTCTAAGTGCGAAAATTTTGCGGGCGGCCGAGACTGGTCGCCGCGCACGAGCTCCCTAACCAGATAAGGGTAGCTCGTGGCGACCACTAGCTAGCAGGCAAGTCGTGCTGGCAAAGGCCGACGATCGCACAGTCGGCGACAGCCGGAATTCCCTACGCGGATTCGTGCTTTTGTGCATGCTATTTGTGCTCTTTGGGTCTTTTTTGAAAATCGGCGGGGCAACGTTTTCGCTTTCTTTGCAACGCAGGCGGTGCCTGTTTTGTCATGGCGAAACATTCCCTGCCGTGAAGCTAACATTTATGAAGCACAACAATTTTCCACGCTTTCCGACTGAAGCGAGTTTTTGAATGAAAGCACAAAAATCATGTACAAAGCCGCACGATTTGCATATGTTGCCAGGACGTTTGCAAAGCATACCTCTGACCGAAGTTGCCGGCTACGGCTCCGGCGTCGCTATAGAGAAAAAATTTCGCACCTATAATCCCGAGTTAGTTGAGTTAGTTGTTACCCCGCTCTATTATATTTATAGAAGAGATAGTATGCAAAATAAACATGCATCTACAAAAAATTTCGACGCTGGCATGGTCGTGCCACTGGTGATGCTGAACGGGGTCAAAGGGAAGTCATTTGCCTTGCGGAGGTGAAACCGCATTTATAATATGTTGCACTTCATGCACGGGAATGAATTTCCAACGGATAGCCGAGCAAGGTCGAAAAGGAAAGCTTCAAGAAGGCAGAGACGGTGATCAAGTCCGAGGTGCAGGTGAAAGCGGCGGAAGAAAGTGGTGTTTTTAGGGACGAAGAAGACTGAGTTGCTAATGCTGGCCCCATGTAAGGAGAAATTGAAGTACCTGATAAAAACGGCATCGCAAATAATGTGAACGTCTTTTCAGAATAATCAACAATTTTGAGGAAACGTATATACGAAAGTTCGACTGGTCGGCTTGGGTGAGGATATTAGCCTGACAATTTCGAAAAAGCAAAATTATCATTTCACAGAGACAGGGCCGCCCTGGGTCCATCCTCAATAGATCAACATGATCCTGCTAGCTTTCCTAGAACAAGCAGTCTGGTGCTCACACTGCTCAAACAAGATGAAGATAGATCAACACGATCAAGGCACGGTGAAAAAAAGCAATTACAAAATTCTTCCGACTGCTGACGGGTTGGTCGAGGTGAAGCAGACTTCGATCTCGAAGAAGAAAAAGAAAAGGTGACATAGAAGTGATCACGATCACCTTGTAGATGTCGACATGAAATTCCAATTCGATAAGGTGGATACTAATCTAGTTGTGGTTCTGAAAATACTTATGATCGTCACCATAAAGTTGTACAAGGGATCAGCATCTCTCTTTCTACTGTGTGTCCAATAGTACTGGTAATTTTTATTGGCGCTAATGAAGAATTTGAATTTGGACAACAAGGACAAAGTGGATTTTCTTAGTTGTGCCTTTGGACAACGATTGATGTTGAATCCAAATTTCATTCCAAGAAAAACTTCGACCAGCGGCGACCTTGGTGTCGATAGGAAGAAACTTCATCTACGAAGAACCATCTAGTAGCTGTAGCAGTAGCTGCTCTCACTTGCAGCGCAGACGCAGTCGTTTTCTTTTAGAAAATCATAATCAGCATCTGTTTGTTGAAAACGTCTTACCTTATGCCTATGTCTTCACCTTTACCCCGAGCAGGATATCAGTACGCCGCTATTTACTGCCTAGATCCTCATTTTCATATATTCATTTACACTCACCCCCTTTGCTTTCGTCAGTTCGCCTGTACGTAGTTTCGTGTATGTTGCACGGTAATCTCTACCCCAAGAAGAAGAACATCATCGGATCAATAAAATGACCACCCCGGCGCGGCTCCCCTCTGCACGGCGACCCACCTCAGCTCCACCGCTGCCAAACGTGCAGCGAGCAGCTCCACCGCTGGTGCCCAACAACGTGGGGCACATGACGACCCCTGCTGAACAAGGTCCTCATGGCCCGATCATGCCGAACCCGATTCTTCCTCCCCCGCCGGCTGCACCGGGGACGACGAGGAACGCAGGGGCCACCATGTCGAGCAATAATCTTGCTGGAGCTCCTGCTCCTGGTGGAGTTTTTGGTGGTTCTCTACCAGTACCTCCACCAGCACCCCCGCCACAATCCCTGGGTCATGACCACCACCAGCACCCTACCTGCATGAGCCCCGGGTACATCGCCGATTACCTCCCGGGCCAGGATCGGATCATGCGCGCGACGCGCGACTACAATATGGGCGAAACAATTTTCACGGAAGAACCGGTGATGGTCGCTCCGGGCTGCGATTTTCCCCACCGGAATTTTTTCAAGAAACCGTGGAGCGAATTGGAAAAGGAAATGTATCCTGTGCAAAAACGTCCCCACCCCATAGTCAAGATGGGAAATCTGCTACACAAATCCACAAGTTTTAGCTGTCAAGCATGACAAGTTCTGGCTCGTAGTGTAATCCTGTTTACCTCGTTCAGAAGCATCACAAATCTAGCCTACCATGCTGATTGGAGCATTACAAATTCCAAAACACAGCTAGAGAATACCTGCCATGGGGCTCCGCATGAGAAACATTTTGAGCATGCGTTTTTGCACGGCAACTCTGGGGTGGGGGCGTTTTTACTCAGGATAAAATGTTTCTTTTCGTCAACGAATGGAGATTGGAGAAAGTCCGGGAAATTGAAGAGGATAAAAAAGAAGAAGCAGCTCAGGACAATAAATCCTTTGGAAAAAAAACCAGCGTCCTAGTCGATTCCCACACGACCTACTGTACGAATGTCTTCAAAAATATCCAGGAAAAAAACTGTGTAAGTGTAACTTTGTAGGAAGATCAGCAGCACAAATTCGTTTTGCATTACAGGGAAAACCTGTCATGCGCAGCTAGTACGTGGAAACACCTATGAAAGTGGCCTATGACGCACCTCTAGCATGACGAGTGTAAACAGTTTAGCATTTCCTGCATCACAGACTTACAGCTACACAGTTTTTTTTGTTGCATACAAAACCTACACGACAGTTCAGTCGAGACGTTTTTGCTGCTCAAGCAATTCATGCAAGAGGGGGACGAAATCCACTGCGAAGAAGATATTCGCTTACCTTTCGAACGACAGCGACGAACAGAAGATTATCTGACAGACTCCGAGTCCGAAGATGAGGCAGAAACTACAGGCAAAAACATGAAGAATTCATCTGAATCTGAAAATCAGAATTCCACATCAAAATCGAAACCCCCGACGACCCTCCACACGCGGACCTTCCACCAATTTTTGAAAAGAGCGAAAGTCCGGGGAATGATGTTTGATTCCATGAATCCGGAGTCCCTCGGAAGTGCGTGGGGTTTCATCGGATTCTTCGCGCAGTTTCTGAAAAGTATTCTAGAGCAAGCAAGCGTCGGGGAGCAGGAGTGGCTGAGAAAGCAACCCAGTTGCTTCCCGGAGGCTTTTTCATCCGGCGGGGAACAATGCGATAGTGAAATGCAAATGCCGGTGGACCAGGAACAGGATGCAGCCATGGTAGACTCCGCCGTCGAAAAAAAGTCTGGTGACGCAGGTGGGATAACTACGCAAGAGGATGCTCTTAAGGACGAGAAGAAAGAGAAAGTCTCAAGCGACAATAAAACTCCTGCCAAAAACAACGATATCCTTATCCACCCCGCGGCTCGTTACATCAAGTACAGCAGACTATCGACCGACCAAACCTTTTCCACAGCCGAGAAAAGAGAATTCTACCAAACGACCATGAAAAACGAGGCGCGGCGCTACGCGAAGGAATTCTGTAGTTACTTGTTTACGCACTTGGACAGATTGAAAAACGAGTTCTCGGACGAGCTGGAGCAAACCTGGCTCGCCCAGGTGGAGAAGGTAGAGAAAACCCGGCCGTGCTACAATTTCGACGAGTGTGACCCGAGGAAAAACAACTGCTTGATGAATTACCCGGAAGTGTATGAGATTCGGAAAAACAACATGAGCGCAGCGGGTGGAGGGACAAATCCGACGGCTTTTGTCTGCCCGCAAGATTGGGACGGGTTCGGGCAGTTGCAGCGTTTTTTGGAGCAAAAAGCGGAAAACTCGACGCCGTTGAAGTTGTATCCTGTGCAAAAGTATCGTACTCGTAGGTACTAATTGCGTTTATGCATTACAAATCTTTTTCTTTAGGCAAATCGGCATTACAAATTATATTTGTAATGCTAAGTGAATTTCTAATGCAATTTATACTAGTACGACTACGATGCTTTTGCATTGCATAAGCTGGCGAGTCGAGTGAAGGATTACTTGCTGTATAAGGAAATGAAGGACAGGATTCCGTTCCTGAGTCAGGAAGATCTCATGGGGAAATACGATGGTACGAGGAACGCGAATATTACACCGGCGACTGGTGGACCAACGACCGGAGCTAGTTGTAGTCCACAGGAAGATTCTGGTTCTGCCGGCACAAGCAGCATGACGCCGAAGATGATGGCCTCAGAAGATTCAGTTTCAACAACCGAAGCTTGTTATGAACTGCAAAAGTATCGTACTCGTACAAATGCATTACAAATTTCCTCAGCATGAGAAATATAAATTTGTAATGCGGGTTTACCTTAAGAGCAAGATTTGTAATGCATGTTTGCGATTACTACGAGTACGATACTTTTGCACAGGATACTTGTTCAGGTTTGCAAATCGGGTCTGAATTCTGCGTGGCCTCCCTGGTGAACGAAGACCCGGCGTACACGTACGAATTGCAAATAAAGCATCGTACTAGTTGTACTAATCGCATTACAAATTTGCTCAGCATGACAGATGGAATTTCTCATGCTGACTTACCTTGAAAAAGAGATTTGTCATGATACATAAATGCGATTACTACGAACGAGTGCGATACTTTTGCACAGGATAACACGGGCCGGGTGACACTGGCGTCTGGGGAGACGGTTTGTGAGGTTGATAAAACTGCAACGGCGGGTGATAAAAGAGGTAGTTCTAATTCTTGCACAAGTACAACAACCATGTCTGCCCCCCACCGGGAGAAGCTGCTGAAGAAGTACTCCGAATTTCTGAAAAAAGCAGAAAAAGATTTGCAGCTGCAAACCGAGGACGCCGTGCGGAAGTACGCGAAGTCGATTATGGTGTTTGATCCGCCAGGGAGTACTTCTAGCGGTTGTGTTGACACCAGCGGCTCAGCTCCTGCAGAGCATACAGGTACATCAACTCGTGCAGGGGATGAGCCATCATCTACCCCGGCTCGGGTTGATGCTAGTCAGGCACTACCCGGATCTGGAAATAAGGACTCGCCCGTCCAAGAACAGCAGCCGGAGGCTCTAGTCCTGCCAAAAATCAAGACGAAGAATAAGAAAAAGAAGCAGGAGCTGAAATTACTGCAGGAGAAAATGCTGGAACAATTTGAGGAAGAGAAAAACAAGACGAAGAAAACCTCGATGGAGAAGAAACTGCTGCAGATTCTGGACGATTTGAACCAGATTCTCGGTTTGGTACTGGAAGACGAGGACGAAGAGGAGGCGGCATTTTTCAAAGAATGCGCCAAAGATTACCAGGAGCACGTTGACAGAGTAACGTCGCGGATGGAGCAGGAAACGAAAAACTTTCTGGCAGAAACCCGAGTATCAACGGCAAAAATGTCTGGGTCTGGAAGGATGCGAACTTGTCATGCAGATTTTCCATGACCCATGAGGTCTGGAATCGGGACTTAGCTTGACAGACTCTCCGAGGTCTCTGCCATGCCTCTCATGCATGAGAAACTACCTCCCAACTTGGTCGAAATTGGACAGCTTTTGGCACTCATGCAACACAGATTTTTGTATGCTTAAGATTTACCATGACAAGTTGAAGTTATCACCTTCCAGACCCAGACACATTTGCCATTCATATCGAGCAGTCGGACAAGATTTGGCGGCGGAGTCTGCTGCATTGCAGAGGAATGTTTTACTGGGAATAAATCCTGTTCCACCCGACCAAAACGGCAATAACCATACCGTCAACGACTGGCTGAACCCACTGAAATTCGCGTCTCAACTTGTCACCCTGCAGCAATTTCACAAGCAGAGGGCCCTGGACCTGCGGAAAAAGTGGTACCGAAGCAAGGAGTACGAATTTGAGAAGACATATGGGGGTGTCAGGATTGAAATCGTCAAAGTTGAAATTGTTTGTAATGCATAAAATCGATGCCAGCTGAAGCCCAATTTCCCAGCGGCGCATGACAAATTTCGGCACCGTCTGAAGCCAGTTTGTCATGCTGTTGAGGGACAGCAGGCGCCTTTTGTCGTGCTACTTTAGCAGCTCTATTCCAAATCCGAAACAGGCTCACAATCGGCCTCATTTGCAATCCTTGCAAGAGAGGCACTTCATGTCTTGCAATTTCTGCATGAGAAATTATTTCAACTTTGAGGATTTCAATCCTGACGCTTCCATAAGACAATTCGGCACAGCGGGGGCAGCACGCGGATCGTTTCGGGCAGTGATGTATGGATTACAAAAATGTCTGGGTCTGGAAGAATGCAACTTGTAATGCGTATTTCAGAACACGGAAAAGTCTCTCATGCATACGTAGCAAAAGCTGCCCACTTTCTGTCAGCAAAATAGGGGATTTGTCATGCGGATTCGGCATTGCGGAAGCTTCTCGAAACCTGTGATGCTAGAGCTTCCATGCCAGGCCTTCTGTGTCATGCAAAAACAGCATGACTCTTTCAGACCCAGACATTTTTGCATTTGATATGATGGGCCGGTGAACAAGGGGAAGAAGTTTACAAGGGCGCACGTGCACGGGTTAGCAGCTCTGCTGAGCGTCTGGGATTTGAACGCGTATGATATGGTGAAAGATATTAGTACTGTCAACGAGGAGGAAGAGGAGGAGGATGCAGATGCTGAAATCTCGCATGCGGGAACAGCAACAGAAGGACAACGACAAGCAGACGGAACTACATCTTCGACATTGCCACATCTTCAACAGCAGAACAACACTATCACCCCGCCTAAAAAGAAATTCCACAAGGCGATGAACATCCGGAAACACAAAATCGAGAACCTTGACAACACCGACGATCCCAAGTATTTCAAGGGGCTGAATCTGCGGAAGAATTTTCAGGACACTTACGAAATCGCCGTGCGATTGAACGAAGTGGACGAAGAGAATCACAATCATGATGAAAAGAACCAGCGAGGAAATAGAACAAGCCCCGGAAAGATGAGCAGCACTTCTGCTAGCGCCTCTGAAGATCCACCTACTTCCCGTCGCGCCCTCTTCCCTGAAGTCGCCCTGATTTCCCACGGCTGTCACCCGAACGTCATGATTGACACTTCCGAGAAAAACCACGCGGTCGTACGAGCTGCGAAGAGGATCAACAAGGGGGATGTGCTCTATTCCTGCTACGCGACAAGCACGGCGCAGTTTTTGCAATTACCGCTTGCTCTCCGCCGAAGATATTTAGCCCACAAGCGGAACTTTTTCTGCATTTGCGACCGGTGTATTTACGAGGAACGGCGGGAGAAGTATGAGGTGTATTGTGGGGAAGTGCTGAAGCTCAAGGACAAATTGTTGGACACAATAGTCCCCCCGACGCTGATCAAAGAAGAGCATCGCCCGGAGGACGGAGGTCAGGGGTTTTCCGTGAATGGAGTTCTGAAACCGAGCTTGTTTCAGCAGGAAAATAAGAAGGGAGGTGGAGAAAAGAATTCATGTGCTATTTCTGGTGGGGGAGGTGGACAAGCCACAGCAGCTTCGTCTGGTAGTTCTTCTTCATCTGCTGCTGGTGGATCCTCTTCTACTTCCACATCAGCTTCGGGAAGTAGTAGTTCTTCTTCCGGCTCCTCTTCATCTTCCAGTGGCAGTTCTAGTAGCGCAAGTTGTAGCTCCGGCTCCTCTTCCAGTGCTGCTTGCAGCTCCTCGTTCAGCGGTTCCTCTTCCAGCTCCTCCTCCTCGTCTTCCAAACTCGCCCAACACGAGACCGTGCAATTTCCCCAGGCGCAGGACAACACGAAGAAAACCTGGAAGCAAAACACGTCGGAAGTGGGGTTCACGCGGTTCGTCCAAATCCTGAACATTGACGAAGTTTTCAACGAACCGCACTTGTTAAAACGGAACCCGAACTCACACTGGTTCGAGCACTGCTGGGCTCGACAGTCCGGGCGGGATAAGGACGCGAGTAAATATTTACAATTCGATCCTAAGACGTTCGGGGCGAAGGTGGAAAACAAAATGAAGTACAACAACGGGAAGCAGTTGAACTACTCCCAGTGCCACTTCAAAGCCTTGCAACAAATGGTCGGCCGGGAGTGCATTTTGCCAGAAACGAAGGCGTTGATCCCGATCCCCGACGCTGTGACGGAGGAAATTAAACAGTTCCGGCGTGTGGGGGATTTGTGGAAGTTATGCTTCGAATACGGGTTGAGGGCGGAAAGTGTTGAGCAGAAATTGGAAAATTTCGACAAGCAGTTGTTCGAGGAGACGCTCGGTTCAGAATACGGCTTCGCGTGGGCGAGTATTCAGATGGGGCTGGAGTGCGAAAACTACCGCAGGTTTATGGACATGAATTTCCAATGGGCTTTGGTGGAAGAGAGGGAAAGGAACAAATCTCTTCCGAAAAACCAACAGAGTTTTGAGCTGGAAAAGTGGATGGAACGGCATTCCTGGGAAGACTGGTATACCTTAGGCGCGAGTAAGGCGAAAAGCATGAGTGAGCTTTTTGAGGTAGAATTCCAGGCGAAACTGGAAAACGCGAACAGCAGTAGTAGTAGTAGTCCTGCTTCCGGTAGTTCCGGAGGAGCTGCGGTCCTTGCGGGTGGTAACAGTAGTACTGCAACAGCATCAAGTAAAACTTCTTCCTCCAAAACAACTTCTAAATCGAACACTAAAGCCTCGAACCTTCTTCGTGCCGCCGCCGCTTTTGAGAAAGCCTCGACTGCGCGGCCACCCCTCGCCGATGCGATCCGGTTTGGGCACTTTCACAACATTCGTGAACCGGGTCAGAACGACATTCGGTATCTAAACCCGAGAAACGCACCCTTTGGGTTGGGCGGGGGCCGCGGCGGTGGGGCCTCTACAGGTACAGCAGCTTCGGGGATGAATATCTTGTCGGCGCTGGCCCAGAGCGGTGCCAACTTCTTGGCGAGCTCCGTTCAAAGTAGCTCAGACAGCTCGGAAAGGACAAATGGCGGCAAAAATAATTGTCCAGTCGAGAATAAAATCTTTCTCCAATTTGACAAGTGTTCGGACTACCTGCCGTTGGAAAACGACGCCTGGAGTCTCTACGAGACGGACCGATATTTGATGCTGGAAACCAAGCGGTGCGAGTCGAAGTTGTTCAAATTTGAAATGTTCCAGCTGGAATTATCCCAGTTCCCGCTCTCCTTGTCCCTGGAGGAATACATTGCGGAGATCATCAAGCCCAACGTTCTAAAACGCGCGTTCGAGGAATTCAAGGTGAAAGATTTAGCGAAAGACGGTAAAAACGCCTGTTTATCCGCGCTAAACAACGGGAAAAGTAAATTAGAAGCGACGGTGGCCGCAGCGAAGGTGGTTGCGACGAACACAGCGTGGAACAGGATTAATTCCATATGGATATGTCAGAGTTGAAATCTTCAAAGTTGAAATGATTTGCCATGCATAAAATGGATGTCAGTTGGAACCCAGTTTGCAGGTGGCGCGTGACAAATTTCGGTGGTCCCTAAATCCAGTTTGTCATGCTTTTTAGGCAAAGAAGAGCGATTTTCTCATGCTACTTTCGGAGCTCGAGCTGTAACCCCAAACAGGCTTGCAATCGGCCTCGCTTGCCTGCTCTGCAACACACGCGCCTCGGGTCATGCATTTTATGCATTACAAATTGTCTCAACTTTGACGATTTCAAACCTGACGCTTCCATATTCCAGCCCGTCTAACTTGAATACGTGGGACAAGAAGGGCTTAGCTAGTTCTACTTGCATCCTGAGTAAAAACGTACCCACACCAGAGTCAAGATGGGGATTTTGCAACACAAACCTAGAACTTTTGGGGGTCACGCATCACAAGTTGCAGTCCGTATTGTAGTGCAGGTTCGCAAGGCCAGCGGCATCAGAAATCGATCTGCTCATCCTGTTTACAGCATTACAAATCCCAAAACACGACTAAAAATGCCTCTCCTGGCGATGCGCATTACAAATGTTCCTGTCATTGCAAATCTGCATGACAACTCTGGTGTGGGTACGTTTTTACTCAGGATAACTTGGGACAGAAAATTATCCGAGAAGGAGGAGAAGAAAGTCCGCGACTATGCGGAGAAGATTATCACAATGAAAAATGCCCCCTTCCCATATCAAAACGGAAATCTGTGATGCAGATTTGTGGTTACAAATCAGCTTTGTGATGCTAGAAGGCAATAAAAGATGCGGACTGTAGTGCTGCCTAGCGTGGTGGGAACGAAAGCCTTGCAGCTCCAGGATGACAGGAGGCAACTGGAAGTGGGAAACAGCATGACAGATTACCTGCAATTTGGGCCGCAGCTTCGTCTCTTGGCCTTCTAGCAATACAAGTCGATTTGTGTACTCAAATACAGCATCACGAATTCGCGCATCTTCCGTTTCCAATATGGGGTGGGGGCTTTTTTCACTTTGATGAAGATGTTTTTGGAGGAAAACTTCCGGCAGCATTTCAGCCTTTTTTCCGAGACGCAAAACGCAGAGGAGAGCTTATTACCTAACTTCTCTACTGCGAAAGTGTTTGACACGGTCCGGGAGGATATCAAGGAGCGGGGGCACGTGGAGCACCCGGTGAAACGGTTGTCGAACGACGAGACAAGCTTTTTGCTAGCGGTTATCGAGTTTGAGACACAGGCGAAGTTCGTGATTGAGCAGCTGGCGCTGCACTGGACAGCAATGGAGCATGAAAATTCGCTATTCGGAGGGGAGCAGAATGAAGATGAGGTTGCGGATTTGAGGAAGTCATGTAGTAGTTCTAGCGGGAATTATAACTACACTTCTGAATTTGACCCGATGTTGTCACTTGTTCAGGAGCAGCCGCATGAGAAGCTGTGCTATTACGATCGCGATTTGGAGACGGAGTTGATGCGGCGGGCACTAGTAGTTTCATCCAGTGGAGAGGACGACCTCACCGAGCAGCAAGAACTACTCGAAAATGAAGACTCTGCGAGAGTAAAAGACACCACATCAATGCACTTCTCTCTCCAAAACGTGAAAGCCACACTTGATGACTACACGGAAAATTTGGACAAAAAAACGCACAAGGACTACATTTCATCATCCACCGGGCAGACAACCTCCCAAACGGCGAGTGTAATCGAGGTCTTAGAAGAGGAAGTGTCGAGGGAAGAGTTGCGACAAGTTTACGGTGGAACAAATCAAGATCAACATGTGTCATCAAAAATAAATACCTCCTCTACCACTTCCTTCCCCGCGACCGTAAAGGACAAGCTGCAGTCCATCATCCGCACGAACCCAAACATCGAGGAATTTGTCTACCATTTACTGGCAAAAGACATCGCGGTCCTTGACAAGTTTAACTTCGACCTCTGCAGTCTCACTCCCGAGAAGGAGAAAATCCGTTTCACGTACCAACAAATTTTGGAGATCCTCGTATCCTCAGTAAAAACATTCCCACTCGCCCAGAGTTGTCATGCAAATGCGCATTGACAGGAACAGTTGTAATGCGGAGCTCCATGAGAGGCATTTCCAATTGTGTTTTGGAATTTGTAATGCTGCAAACAGGACGAGAAAATGGCTTTCTCATGTGGCTTCCCTTGCCAACCAGCTCCAGCACTACACTGCAGAGGAAAAGAACTTGTCATGCACAGCTTCCAAAACTTGGAGATTTGTGTTGCTAGATTCCCAACTTGACTATTGGGTGGGGACGTTTTTGCTTAGGATACCTCGACCGAATCGAAAAGTCTGCGCAGGATTTGCTGAATGAGAAGAAATTCTACCGGCGGAAAATGATGTACTCGGTTATCCACAGGGAATTTCCCGTACACGTACAAATGCGGCCTCTGCATGACAAAACTTGACTTCGATCCTAGTTTAGCATGACAAGTTTATATTACCCTTTAAATTGGTGAAATTTGTGATGCATGTTGTACATGTACGGAAAATTTGTATTGCATATCGGTACATGAAAGAAAAGCGACGGTGATGCAGGAAAACATTCAACTCGAAGCCAGGCAGAACAAATTGTCCGCAGAGAAGGAGCTGGAAATGGCGAGAAAAGCGACACGGAAACACGAAGTCGAGAAGTCGGTGGCGTTAAAATATTTGAATGATTTGGAGATTGTCGAGAAGAAAAATTGTGCCTGGATGTTTTCTTTTTTCGCGGATTTGAAGTACAAACTGCTGAAGGAAGCGTGGGAAGAAGGCGAGTTGCGGAAAGAAATTGAATTGAAAACCGTGTTGGAGAAGAAAAAAGTCAGCAGGCAGGAGGCAGAGGAGATAAGAATGAAACAGCAAAGGGAGAAGGAAGAAAGTGACGCAGCTGCGGCTGCCGCTGCCGCTGCGGCTGCAACAGCTTCTCCGGCCGTTCCAGCCTGCTCCAACAGGGCAAGCCCTGAAGATGCAGCACGAATGCCGCGCAACGAAGACGTTGAAAACGAGGATCATAAGCGCCTATTACCACCACGATCTCCCCAGGACAAAGACACAAGCAAAGGACAACTACATCTGAAGAAGAAAACAAAGACAATCGACACCCGCTCGTTATCGATGCGTGACCAGCACGGGAATGTGCTAGAGCTCTTTCCCGAAATCGACGTCAAAACAGGGAAAGAGATTTGGGTTTCTAAAGTCAACGACCCCACGGGGCAAAATGTGCCGAAAAATTTAGAAGAGGAGCAAAACTCTCGACTAGTGATTCCCGGTTCCGTCGTCGAGAAAATCAAAGCCGCTAGTAAAAACAGCCCGGGAGAGTCTGCGCGACTGATGCAGCAACATTTAGCCAAAGACCGGTTGGAGAAAATGAAAGCCAATTTCCGCAAGCACAACGAGGGAATTTTATCGGAAGCACAAATTCAAGAAGAATTAACCATTATGACCCAGTGGTCTGCTGCGCAGGACCTCGTGGACGAAGCGTTCGTGCGGATGGATGCGACTTTACGGACACCGCTCATGATGTATTTCGCGTATTTGCAGGACGATAGAAACTTCGTGATATTGGATTGTTTTGACAAAACGAAGCTGAATAGAGAGTCGGTGAATTACAACCCGCGGAAGAACAGAAAGAACAACCACAGTTGTAAATTGAGTAAGGAAGACTTTGAAGAGGCCACGCTGATTTGGCAGGATCTGATATGCAAGAAAAAAATTGTTTCACTGTGATGATTTTGCAAGATCTGCATTACAAGTTTGTTGCACATGACACACAATATTTGCCATGCGTGCTTCCCAAGGGAAAACACGCTTGAAAACCCAATGTCTTGCAGGTGTAGCAAGACAGAGACTTTGGTGCTTCGTTTTCTGCATCACAAGTTCACAGTGAAACAGTTTTTTCCTGCGATATCTGATGGACAGATTGTTGGAAGAAAATCCGGAAGCGGCGGACGTGATTTATAAGCGGGGGAACAAAAAAGATAAAGAACTTGTCCAGCAGGAGCAGAATGAGGAACATGAGCATGACAACAAGCCGCGGGCAGGAGGAGCGTCTGGAAGCAGAAGTGCTGCTGTGTCCTCTTCTACTAGTACCTCGGTACTTCCTGAGCTGCCATGTGCTGCTCCCTCGACTACTGCCACCACGACAACTCCTACGAGTGAGAACCTCAATCAAAACGCAAGCTCTAGTAGTACTGCAGCCTCTACTTCGACGTCTGGCTCCGGAGGCGCCACGTCCTTTTGGGACAAGAAGAAGCCACTGAAAAAGAAGCAGAAACAGAATCCAACGGAAGAAACCACCAGTAGTGCTTCTAACAACAGCACGCTGAGCATGGAAGTGGACCAACTCCAACAACATGTTGCCGACCATCAGAACCAAACCGACACCACGGAGATCGTGACGATTGAGAAAAAGATCCCCCAGATCGTCTTCACCCGCGTGAGACACGACTGCATGATGCTATCAAATGCAAATATACCTGGGTCTGGAAGTAGATGCAAGTTTTGTCATGCAACTTTCGCATGAGCCAGAAGGTCTGGAATGAGGGCCTGAACATCGCAAGTTTTGAGAAGGCTCCTGAATGCTGAATCCGCATGAGAAGTGCCACCTTCCGATATACTCAAAGTGAGGACTTTTGCTGGTCACGCAATGCAGATTTTTGTGTCGACCAGAGTTAGCGTGACAAACTCGGACTCTTCCAGACCCAGACATATTTGCAATGCATAAATGCAGCGCCAGTACCAAGCTCGCACGACGCTTATGAAATGCAAAAGTATCGTACTAGTATAAATCGCATGACAAATTCCCTCAGCATGAAAAATGGAATTTGTAATGCGGATTTAGGTTAAGATGGAGATTTGTAATGCATGAATGCGATTACTACGAGTACGATACTTTTGCACAGGATAACGCTCGACACGGAGCAAACTTTCGATGGTTGTGCGGGGGTCCTTTACAAGCACACCGCGATCTTTTCTACGCACGACAAGATTGTGGAGAACGCGTGTGTGAATCTCGATTTTTTCCGGGACTGGTACGTGAACGAGCACTACAGTTGGAAGGCGAAGAATATCCTGTGCAAAAGTATCTGATCTGGTAACCAAATGCGTGCGCGCGCGCGCGCAGAGCGCGCGCCGGCCCACGAAGCCGGCGCGCGCGCTCTGCGCGCCTGCGATATTGCTTTAGCAAACGCAGCGCGAAGGCACTTGCCGTTACCATATAGGGCAACCGCCGGGAGGCGTGAAGGTCAGGGAAATGGCCAGAAATGAAGCGGGAGAAGGGAAAAAAAGCGGACCAGATGGGAAAATGGCCAGGAGGTCAAAAATGTCGCAATAACGGCAGAAACCAAGCGGGAGAAGGTGAAAAAAGAGCACTTTTGCGGTCTGGCCCACTTCGTATCTGAAAAAGAGACGGACTATTTTTTGCTCCGCCCGCTGGCCAGCTGCGTTGGAGAAGCAGGCCCGCGACCTGTTCGGAAGCCTTGGGTCGCTTCGTAACTGGAAAAAGTTGGAAAAAAATGGCAAAAAATTGCTTCATAACGTGGGTGGAAGCAATCGTCGGACTTTGTGCAAATCACCCGGGCCACTTGGAAAATGGGAAAAGATGAAAAATTGCGCAAAAGCGCAATCCCTTCGCAGGCTTCAAAACTGCCACCCAGGTGCGGGCGGCGAAAATGTCCAGGCCGCCCGGGCCACTTGGAAACCAGAAAAAGATGAAAAATTGCGCGAAAGCGCAATCCCTCCGCAGGCTTCAAAACTGCCAGTCAGCTGCGGTCGGTGAAAATGTCCAGGTCGCCCGGGCCACTTGAAAACCAGAAAAAGAAAAAAAAATGCGCAAAAACGCAATCCCTCCGCAGGCTTCAAAACTGCGAGGCAGCTGCGGTCGGTGAAAATGTCCGGAGCCCTTCGGCCACATAGAAACTTGAAAAAAAAGGAAAAATTGGCAAAAGTTGAGAACCCCCGGCAGGCTTACAAACTGGCCACCAAGGGCGGTCCGGCGGGCGCGCGCTTGCGCCATACCATCGCGATTGGGGAAAAAAAAATGCATTAGAAGCGGGCGGAGGCATGTCCCAAAATCCACGTTTGCTCTGGGTTGTGGGCACCAATTCGGGACCTCCGCCGCGTCTGAAATGCCCGACTTTGGTGGCCCAGCAGGGTCCGCGGGTTTGTGGTTTCGCACATACCTTCCTGGCCAGGGGGCCAGTTTGTCATGCAGGGGGCTAGAAAGGATGCCCCGCTGCGAAATAGCAGACCGGATTTCGCCTGCGATGCTTATCGCAGGAGCCTGCGGGCCGCCGCGGGCTCCACCACTTCCCCGCGGCCCCGATAAGCTTTGAATGCGAATCCGGAAGCCCTCGATGACCCAGATACCTTCCTGGCCAGGGGGCCAGTTTCTCACGCAGGGGGCTTGAAGAAGAAGTAGTGGGACTGTAATCAAAAACAAATAGCCCCAAAGCGCGGCCCGCAGGGCCGCGTTTTCGCCGCGCGGCTGGTTAGGCTTTCGCGCTGGTTAGATTTTCGCGCACGCATTTGGTTACCAATATCGCCCTCCGGGCGCGACCTTCATACTCGTATTGCAGTCATGCATTACAAATATACATCCGCATTACAAATTTCATTTCTCATGCTGAGGAAATTTGTAATGCATTCATTATACGAGTGCGATACTTTTGCACAGCATAAAGAACCCGGTGGGAGCGAGTTTAGCTGAGAAGAAAGCGAGGGAATACACGATTCTCTACAAAAACGTCTACTTGTTCCACGACGCTTTAGACAAGGCACATTTTGTCCTAAACTATTGCGTCACGAAACAACAGGAAGTGTATGAATTGCTAAAGGACAACAAGACGCTGTACGACTGCACACAACCATTGAAAGTCGTTGATCCGTGCTTCGTATGGATTGCAAAAATGTCTGGGTCTGGAAGATTGCAACTTGTCATGCTAAATCCGAATGATCATGCAAAAATCTGTGTTGCATGAGTGCCAAAAGCTGTCCACTTTCGATCAAGTTGGGAGGGAGTTCCTCATGGTGGATTGGGGGCATGACAGAGACCTCACAGAGTCTGTAATGCTAGGCTCTGCATTCCAGACCTCATGGGTCATGAAAGATCTGCATGACAAGTCTACACTCTTCCACACCCAGACATTTTTGCATTTGATACTTCGTGGTCGGAACGAACGCAACGGCAACCGGAGGGGAGGATCTCCTTGAAGACCCCCGCCGCCGTGGTCGCAACACCCGAAAAACAACCGCTAGCCCGAGCGAACAGGAGCTGCAAAAGGAGTGGTTGATGAAGAACTTCAAACTCCGGTCCGGGCTTTTGCTGTTAAAAGCGATGGAATTGCTGAGTCTGGTGGACTCGAAGGCGTTTGATAAAGTGGAGATAGTAGAGGATGAAGAGGACGATTTTGACGACGACGACCATGATATGAACGCAGAAAATTATAACGACCTTGCGAGGGTGAAGGCGCAGTTCCAACCGGAGTACGAAGTTTTAGTCAACGACTACAACAACGCGTTGGCCGCGTTGTCCACCGCAGAAAAAATCAACGACAAAGACCTCTACCACACCATCGTCAAGAGCCAATTCACGATTCCGCAGTCCCAACTGTTCAGCGAAACAGGCGCTTCCTTCGAGACTTTTTCCAAAATGATTGACGCGAAGAATGCCGCGGCGGAGAAGGCCGCAGTTGCGTCTTTGACCGGGTCGTTTCCACCTAATCCTAAAGGCGGGGGAAATACTACAATCAACGGTCTTTCCGTGGATGACCTCGCGAAAATCGCCCGGAAGGCCAAGGATGAGAAAACACTGGAGCACTTTGAGCGCCTTGGGATCAGTAAAAAACACTTCGATTCTGACGGAGACCGGTACCGGGAGAACTACGTGAAGTTAACTATCCTGAGTAAAAACGTACCCACACCATAGTTGTCATGCAAATCTGCATGCTTAAAATGTTTGTCATGCGGAGCCCCATGAGAAGCATTTTCTAAGGGTGTTTTGAAATTTGTCATGCTCCAATCAGCATGAGAGACTAGATCTGTAATGCTGCTGAACTAGCTCAAACAGCACTACACTACGCGTCCAAATTTGTCATGCGAAACAAGCAAAGTTGGCCGATTTGTCTAGCAGATTTTCCATCTTGACTCTGGTGTGGGTACGTTTTTACTCAGGATATTAACCGGATGGGTGCCTCTGATGAAAAACTCCTGTATGGAAGCGTCAGGTTTGAAATCGACAAAGTTGAAATGATTTGCCATGCATAAAATGGATGCCAGGCGTGGCCCAGTTTCCAAGTGGCGCATGACAAATTTGGGTAGAACCGAAATCCAGTTTGTCATGCTGTTTGGGTAAGGAAGACGCCTTTTGTCATGCTACTTTAGCAGCCCTATTTCTACCCCTCAACAGGCTTCGAATCTGCCTCCCTTGCCTATTCTGCAAGACAGCCACTTTGTGGGTTGCATTTTATGCATCACAAACTATTTCAACTTTGTCAATTTCAATCCTGACGCTTCCATATCCTGCCTCGTGAAGCTGAAGGGCATTCCCGGGGTGGAGAAGGTGACAAAAAACGAACAGCATTGGGTAGATTTTGACAACGAGTTGGATTCGTTTGGTTCGTTGTTCCGGGAGTTGGTGACGTTTATGGACTTGTTCGTCAAGAAGTATTACCACCCGGTTTTGGAGATCGAACCTTCGAATTAGTAGCGGGTCATGGCGGGGTCTGCGGCATAAAGAGGAACAAGCTTGTGCTAGGACGAGTGGACAGTCAGATGATGTAGATTTTGGTGCCTGCTTCATGGTCTTGATTATGCTCGCTGTGTTTGAAAAATGGACCCCGGCGACTGGGTTCTACTCTGTTGTGTCGCAGTCGCGGCAGGTACGCGTCGCGCTGGGCAAAGATAAAAGGGTGCCAGCTGCAGGTACTTAAACGCTCTCATCTGAATTTGTTTTGAGTAGCATGCTGCGGTCCCTTTCAACAACACAAGAAGACGCTTTATGTTTTTATACAATTTTTTTCAGATAGAATTCGTTCTGCTGCTTTTCATCTCCTAAGCACCCAATTCATCATCCTCACCGTCCCATCAATTTGGAATTCTGCCACACGACCACACTCTCACAGGTCGTTCACAAGAATCGCGTGCCGACGCGACGTTTCGCTCTTCTTCACTTTCGACTTCGTCGGGGGGCCCACCAGTCGTGACTATTGCTACTCGACCACTAGCGGGAGACAAAAATGCTGCGACCTTCCATCAAACACGAAAAGAAACTTAAAGTGCGAAAGAAAATATAACGAGCACTTCTATGTGTCGATCGGAATCGGATAGCTGTACTTCGACGTTCGAAGAAGTTTTACTTTATGAAGTACAAAAAAATGAAAAATGCAACCTAACCAAGCAAAATGAATCCTTCGCGTTGCAATCTTCCTTTGCAGTGCGCGACGAACAATCTCTTTAGCGACATTCGCGACTCTTGTTTCGTTCTACCTACGCAGAGGAAGGATCTATGAGGAAAAAAGGAAACGGGGACAGCACGCAATCCCAACGAGCTGTGATTTGGCTGCAGAGTTATATATTCTGTGTTTGCTTTTTCAGGCGAAGCGCACGGATATATTGTTTTCGCTCACAGGAGGAGTGTTCGCTTCGGATGGTATGTGCTCGAGGCTGCTAAAATCCACCTCTTCCGTGAAAGGCATGATCGCCAACACCATCAGTCTTCGAGGTTAGAACAGTCTGGAATCGTTGGCCACGAACAAGAATCTGATGATTCGTTCTGCGTGGAGTGCGTGTGCGTGTTGGACGAATTAGAAGTTGAAGAAGATGAAACGGGTTCTCTTCTTTGTTGATGTAGTTCCCTGTGTGGAAAAGGACGAACTGCTTACAAAAGACTGCTGCGAAATCAGCATAAAAGAGCGCAGCCTACTCACGAATGAAGATTGACTTCTGCTGGTACAACTTGGGGCTAGTACTTTGAACGGTTGGAGACACGGCAGCACCATCGCAAGAATTGTAAATCTCAGCTTTAATTATCGCATCCGGTTTTGGTGAAGGCGCTATCTTTGTGGGCTCAATTTGAATCTCTTTCCAGTAGTTCTATGTGATTAAACTTAAAAGCGACACATCGATCATGCAAAGATAGCCTGCCGACCGACTTAGACTTACAAACACAACCTGCGCACTCACGCCCAGAATTCTACGACCATGGCCTCCAGCCTCGGGAAGCACAAGATCTGGTCGCAGCCGCTGGAAAAATGGTTGAAGGAGGACCGGCGGGAAGCGCTCGAGGCGCTCTGCGAGTTCCACTGGGACTCGCCGATATTCCAGTCTGACAACTTCTACAATTCCGAGGACAAGATTTTCGCCACGCTGAAGAAAAAGCACGGCCCGTTCAAAAAGGGCCAGAAGACCGCGATCCCCATTTGGCTCGGCTTGGAGTTGGAACAGCGGAAGCACGGCATGCTGTGGCCACCGCACTGGCTGACCGAACGGAAATTGAAGCAGGTGTTGCTGAACGAAAAGCGAAATCCGCACAAATTTGAACCCGTAGACGAGTGGTTCATCTGGATCGCGTATGACAGTGCACAGCTCTCCTTTCCCCTCATTTGTATTGCATGAACAGCAACACAAACACCAGCACACGTCGAGCCTGTGCATGGCAAATTTATGCGCCTGCTGTAGTACTGTTCGGGCTTGTTCCGGAATTTGTGATGCAAAGAGTGCCACAGGGAAGCCCTTGGATTTGGGGTTTTGCATGACAAATGAAGGACAGGGGGAGTTGTGCACTCTCATATCGCGCACACGTTCCTGATGCACAGCATTTACTTCCGGGTGAATCCGCGGAAGGAAATCACCGACAGGTTTCACGAACTGGTGAATTTCAGGAGACACTATCCACAGTAAATTTCCCGTACACCTACAAATGCGGTCTCTGCATGGCAAGAAAACTTGTCTTCTTTCCTAGTTTAGCATGACACACTCCAAATTGGTGAAATTTGTGATGCATCTTGTACATGTGCGGGAAATTTGTATTGCATAAACACAAAGCGAAGGAGGGCCTGCGGATGATCGGGGACAACATCCTGTTGGACTGCACGTTTCTGACCAAGCCGGAGATCACGTTCATCTATCCTGTGCAAAAGTATCGTACTCGTACAAATGCAAGTCTTGCATTACAAATCTTGTTCCCAAGGCAAATCTGCATTACAAATTTTATTTCTCACGCGGAGGAAATTTGTAATGCATTTATACGAGTACGATACTTGTGCAATTCATATCATCCGAGACAGGTCAATAAAAGCCATGAGCTGGATGGAGTACCTGAAGCACCCGTACTTGGACGCGGTGGACACTTCGGTACGATGAGAATGATACTGCGAAGATTGGGTTTTTGTTTGTCATGCAGCACCCAGACCCATGAAGATGTACATGTTCATGTAGTAGTGTAGTTGTGTGTTGCTAGCACTTGCAGTTGCAAAAATCAAACAAAAACTATCCAGGAAAACGCCAGTTCCTCAGGAACGAGCTCCAAGCCTGGGTCTACGACAAACCCCACCAGCACCGGCGGAAACCGGTCCGCAAACGACCACAGCAAGTCCAACAGCGGCAGCTCGGGCGCCGGGTCCGGCAATCCAAACAACGTTAGCGGGAACCAAGGCGGGGCTTTCGCGGGCATTGGCGGGACCAGGCGGTTTGGGAACAGTCGAAATAACGCGGGCAGTAGTCTGGCGGAGTTGATGACGAACAGCTTGGGGTTCAATAATGGATGAAGATATAAATTGAAAATGGGGAGGATGTTAGCGATAGCAACCGCTTGTTTGTTTCGAATTTTTTTATCTTCACTCTGAGCTCCGATATTAAAGCCGAAGGACGATAGCATCCGTGTTTCCTGTCGTTCGAATTTGAAGATTCAAGACGATTGCGGACACATGTTTTTTTGCTAGCCTTGGCTCTGTCAATATACAAAGCAGCGCGTGTGAAGATTATGATGTGTTCGCGCGGCCACAGTGCCGTCAAGCTGCTGCTCCTCCGGGAGATCAGCACCCAGGAACAAACAAAAAGCGCTGCACAACTTCGCCAGACTGATGCACAGCATTAGCGGAAGAGACTGGACAGACGCGGGCTGGGGCCGGGGCTACTTGTGAGGGATCGCGCGCGCATCGCGGGGGCGCCGCGTCGCCCGACGACCTTGGTGCGCCGCCTTCGCCAGCAGCCACAGGCGCGGGCACAGGAATGGGCCCAGATGCAGGGCGGTAGGCTCGCAGTGGAGGGATACCCCAGCGACCCGCCTCGAAATGCCCGCGCGAATTTTGCCGCGATGCACGAAAAGGGCGGCGGCCTGGCGCTTTCAGTTGCGGGCACTCGGGCGACAGCTTTCGGGCCAGCGGGGGGCGGTTGCTTGTTGCGCCCATCGGGCAGGCGGGCGGGCTTAGCGCGTTCGCTACCCGGCCAGGCACTGGCGCCCGGCCGGCATTGCGAGCGCGACCACTCGCGCAGGCTTATGCGAACAAAGCAGGGGGCCTGCGAGGCGGGTCGGCCCGGCCGTTTTTTATTTGGGCAGCCTTCAAGCGTGGCGGGGATGGGTATGGGAACGGCGAAGAAGGCCGCCAGGCTGGCAGCTGCGCGCCATCGACCAAACGGGCCCCGGGCGGCGCAGTCTACCCCGCGGAGCGCCGCAAGCGCGCCGCCGCCGGGGACGGCGTCCCCTCCCGGTTGCGCCCCCTGCTCTTTGTTGCGCGGGCCGCGCCGTGGAGGCGGGCGGGCCCGGGGGGGCGGCCGCGCTGTTCGCTTCCTGCCCCCGGGCGGCCCCGCCTTCGTGGCGCCCGCCAACCCTCCGCGCAGGTCGGGCGGACGCGGCCCCCTCTTCGCGGGAGGGGGGCGGCGCCCGGGCCCGCCCTATCACCTTTCGCCCCGGTGTGTCTGTTGGCGGCGCACTCCCTTGCTTTCTTGGTTTTGGCGCGCCGCGCCTGTTGTGTTGTGTCCACGGTGTGGGCAAGCTCTCCGCGGGAGCTCTTGGGGCAGTTCGTTCGGCCGTGTCGAGCCCCGGCGCCGGCAACTCCCGGCGGCTGCCTGTGGCGCCGCGGGGGGGTTCTATGTGCTTTCCGCAGCAGGTACTAAAAAGAAGGCGCGCGCGCCCTAAATAGTGCGCCCGCGCCGTGCTTCTCCTCGCGTTAAGCTTAAGCTTATTGATGCAGCGGTGTGTGGCTGCTGTTTCGTTATTGTAGCTACACGCCTACCGCGTGTCACGCATTGTCGCTGAATGATTGGGGTTGTGTTTTCGTTTGCCCGGCTTTACACGCACCGCTCGCCCCACCTGCTGTGGCGCGAAATCAATGCTCGCTCACACGCAGCCCATGGCTTTTGTGGAGCGCCGCGCGAGCGACCGCGGAGGTGGGGGGTGGCGGCGAAGCTGCAAGTAGTCCGCGCGCTTTTCTTCCTTCGTCAACAAGCTGACGAGGACGCATGGTGCGAGTCGCTCATGTTCGCACTTGAAGATGAGGGGGATCGAGGTTCTTGAGGCGGTTCCGGCTCGTGCTAGAGCAGGGGAGCTTTTTGAAGTGAATTATAAAGCACGTAGTTGACGGAGGATCATTTCACCCAGGCGGAACGAGTGGTATACGCAGTCGGTGTGGTCGTGCCACTTCCTCTAAAATAACGAGAGAGCACCACATGAGTAGTTGAAGAAAGAAACTCTTGGTAGTCGACCGTACCAAAAAATTCAAAAACATCAATTATGTGGGCCTCCGACTTCTTGAACGCTGAGCCGGTTGCAAAAACCTATTTGACGCACCTGAAAGCCAACAACCTTTTTCTCCGCTACTGGTTCCGCGAAAACTATCTCCCGCCCCGGTGTCGCTCCGGCGCGTTGCTTCGTTTGATACGCCTGTTTCTCGCGCTTTCCATCTACCTAATCATCACCTCCCACGTGGTCGACTATGCGAATTGGGAAAATGGGAAGCTGTGCATGCGACTATGCATTGGAAAAGTATCGTACTAGTATAAATTGCATTGCAAATTTTATCAGAAAGAAAAATTGAATTTGTAATGCTAATTCAGGTGGTAAAAAGGTAGGTTTGTCATGCAAGATTGCAATTAGTACGAGTGCGATACTTTTGCACAGGATAGCGACGCCTGGACTGCAAAATCAGCTGTGTGTTGGAAAACTTTCCCATATCCAGGAAAAAACACCCATCCCATCCATTTTTTTGCATGGCAAATAGTGGATGTTATGCATGTTTTGCATGACAAAGTGTATTGGGATGGATATTTTTTCCTGGATACCCCACGCTCTCCTGCTTCCTGAAAACCGGTTTTTCGATCTACTACGGCGATAACGAGTATTCCAAACTCTACGACTTCCACCTCGGGAGACGGCACGAAGCGAAATCCGTGACAACCACCTCCGCCATCGCAGCCGATGCGGAACTCGAATCTTCCAAGGCTTTCAATGAGTGCCGCTACGTCGCGTTCCCGAATGAGAAAACGTCGCTCGTGGACGAGGACCGGTTTTTGACCAGCAGCCTCCCGGAAACACGAAACACCAACTCGTTGCAAAGCTACCAGGGAAGGCTACCGAGGACGCAAGTCTGTTTCCCGAACTGCCGAGCGACTGTTCCTTCCTATCCCGGTATCCACCAAGAAAAAAACTGTGTAAGTGCTGTAACTTTGTGTTGCATAAAATGCAAAACTGCTACATTTTCATGCTGGACATGCATCAGAGGCAATTTTCGCGCGTGTTTTCACGTACCAGCTACGCATGACAGGTTTTCTGTGTCATGCAGAGCAAACTTGTGATGCTAGTCCTCCAAGAAACTATGCACTTACACAGTTTTTTTCCTGGATACCCGGGGAGTCACTGTTCGGAAAGCAGTATTCGAAAGCTGCGTTGGAGCAGAACACCGTGTTCGTGAATTACCAACAGGGGCCGTTCTATGGGAGTGTCAGGATTGAAGTCGACAAAGTTGAAATAATCTGTGATGCATAAAATGCAAGGCATGAAAAGACGGTCTTGCAGGGATTGCAAGCGAGGCCGATTGTGAGCCTGTTTCGGGTTTGGGATAGAGCTGCTAAGGAAGCATGACAAAAGACGCCTGCTGTCCCCAAACAGCACGACAAACTGGATTTAGACGGTGCCGAGATTTGTCATGCACCGCTTACAATTTGGGCTTCCAACTGGTATCGATTTTATGCATTACAAGTTATTTCAACTTTGACGATTTCGATCCTGGCACTCCCATACGTTCAACGCATCACTGAAAACGTTTTTCCCCCACGAGACGGAATTTTCGGAATTACCAAGTGGAGTGCAGGCGGTGGTGTCCGCCGTCACGGACCTGGAAAACGAACAAGTCCAGTACTACACGTTGACGGGGGACAGCAGACCAAGTTGCGCTGTCACGTTGGATATTCACAGTATATCTATTCCCGGACGCGTACAGATGCTGTTGCTGTTTCTGCAGCTGCAGGACAAAACGTGCCTTCAATCTTAGTCACCAGCATGACAAGTTTAATGACAATCCCAGTTAGCGAAAAATCAAAATCTCATGCCTTTTGTACATGTGGACGTTGAGCGGGAAATTTGTATTGCATACTGGACTCCACGGGGACGGAAATTTCGATTTACAACCCAAACCACTTGGTTTGCGTCGACGACAGCGATGAGTGCGAGAAAATTGTTTACAAGAACGAAATCTGCTTCGATAGCGATAACACCTGGTGTTTCACGGTGCAGCACATCATCCTGGCGATGTCGATCGCGCTACCGATCCTATCAAATGCAAATATGTCTGGGTCTGGAAGAATGCAGGAGTTTGTCATGCAGATTTTGCATGACGATGACCCATGAGGTCTGTGATGCATGCCCTGGCATCAGAGACTCTGCGAGGGCTTTCCGATGCTCATACCGCATGAGAAATACCCTCTCCGCGTAGCACAAATTGCACTTCTTTTGCTGCTCGCGCAATACAGATTTTATGTAGAATCCAGAGGTAGCACCACAAGTTGCATCCTTCCAGACCCAGACATTTTTGCATTTCATAGATCCTGTTTCTCTACAACGTGCTGATCTTCTATGACCTGCCCAGGTGCTACAATCTCAAGCGTTACAATAGAATCTGGGACTTGTGTTGCAAGAAGTGCATGATCTACCCTACTCCCACAGGATTACGCATGACAAGTTCTGGAGTCCCAATCCGCACTACAATCTGGCGAAATTTGTATTGCAGAAAGTGGAATGCTGTCCGAGTCTGTCATGTTGATCATGCAAGACAAATCTCGGATTCTATTGTAACGTTTGAGATTGTAACGTTTGAGCAGGTCATATCTTCTGGACGACAATTCTAGACGATCGGTCTTTACACTTAATCGCCTCGGCCGGCGCCCAAGGGAGTGGTCCGGGCGGTGCAGGAGCTGTTCCTGCTGGGACCGGCGATGGCGCAGGTGGAGGTGGCTCCGCGAGTAATGGCGGCAACGCGATTGCAGGGCCTGTCGCGGGTGGTGGGGGCGGAATAAACAACGTTGGCGCACCTGGAACTTCTAGCAACTCGCCAAACCAACTAACCGGAGCAGGACCTCCGGGCGGGGTGAATCAAGCTGCGCCAGCTTCTGCGAATCTTCAAAATGCCGTTGTCTCTGCGACGACGACGCAGGCATTTTTGATGAAGGCAGAGAAGCACCAGTCGTTGAGCTATCTGGAGCAGGCGTGTTTGAAATGCGGGCTGCAGTGGGTGGTGTCGATCCTGACTGTCGGGGTAACATAGCATGTTCATCGTTCTTCTTGCATCACAAAAATTTTCGTTACATGAGTCTGTGCTTTATTGCAATTGATGGTGCACCACAAAAATAACTAAATTCCACTCTCCCAAACCATCCAGATCCTGCTGTACCTTTCCGCCGTGTTGGTCAAAGTCGCCGCGTTATCAACTGCAAATATGTCTGGGTCTGGAAGACTGCAAGTTTGTCATGCTTGTCTGACACGACTCTTGAATCTGTAATGCGTGAGCAGGAAAGCAGCCTCTTACCTGTCATGCAAAAACGCAGTTTTTCATGCGGGATGGAAGCGAAACACATAGAATTAGACGCTCAGAAACTTGTCATGCGTGGCTGCGTGGTAACGCAGTGCGCCCACCATTCACAAACTAGCATCACAAGTTTCCAGACCCGAACATTTTTGCAGGTCATACGCGTTCGGCCGCGTCGAGATGGTTTTCCTTTCCTGGTTATCAAATGCAAAAATGTGGGCTGGGTCTGAAACAGTGGAACTTGTGATGCGTGTCTTGCATTCCTGGAAAATCTGTGCTGCATGAGCAGCAAAAGCGGAGCTTGCTTTGTCATACAAAAACGCAGTTTGTCATGCGTGGTAGGCATCAGCAGGCGTCTCCAAAACTTGTCATGCCTGGCAGCCGTTGCAAGCGCTTCAATCATGCTCAATTCAGCATCACTGATTTCCAGACCCAGACATATTTGCAGTTCATACTGGTTCGTCTTAGTCATCTTTGACCAAATCCGAAATCTCATCGCGCAAACCCTCATTTGGTACTGCTTGATTCGTCGGTTCGGGCAAGTCCCGGTTTTCACGGCGGAAGAGGAGAGGCGGTATTTTCAGACCAACAACCTACAATTCGCAATGATGGCCGGCATGACGGAGTTGGATGCAAATATGGAATGCAAATATGTCTGGGTCTGGAGAAATGCACCTTGTGATGCGCATTTTACAACACATAAAAATCTCTCATGCACAAGCAGCAAAAGCTGCCCCCTTTCTGTCACCAAAATGGGGCACTTGTCATGCGGATTTGCCATTGCGGAAGCTTCTCCAAACCTGTGATGCTAGCGCTTCCATGCCAGATCTTCTGTGTCATGCAAAAGCACCATGAGTCTTCCAGACCCAGACATTTTTACAGTTGATGGCAAATGAGATGTACCAGTTGCAGTACGGAGCTGCTGGCATAGCATCATCCCCTGACTTATGGATTGTAAAAATGTCTGGGTCTGGAAGATTGCAACTTGTCATGCTGTCTTCGGATTCGAAAAAAATCTGTATTGCATGACCAGCAAGAGGAGTCCAGTTTGGTCTACACAGAGAGGGCATTTCTCATGCAGAATAGGCATCAGGAAGCCTTCTAGAAATATGTGATGCTAGGCCATGCATTACAGCCATCCGGGGCCATGCAAAATATGCATGACAAGTCTGACAATCTTCCAGACCCAGACATTTTTACATTTGATACGACTACAACCCAAATGGACCAGACCAGGAGCCAGAAGACCCGGGGCCGCTGCAAATCATCCAGAAGCTCTGCATTCGCTGTGTCGAGTGGAAATTGTTCGATTTGATCGTTTACAGCATTTTGGGCCTGTATGCGATTTTCCTACTGACATTAATCGCGGTGGAGGATTACCTGAGCAACAGTCAAAAAATGGCGTTTGAAGACACCGACACGGTGTTTCTCGGCTTATTCGCGCTAGAAATTGTGATCCGACTTCTCGCTCACACGGCGACAAACTCCATTTTCAGCTACTTCGCGGACCTTTGGAATCTGTTCGACTTCACGATCGTTTTTATCTCCTGGGTTTTCGCGCTACAGCGGTACGCGAACCCCGAAGAGGCGACCAGTAGCACGACGTTGGCTCTGTTGCGATTGTTGCGGTTGCTGCGGTTGGTCAACGGGTTACGGAAACTCACTGCGTCGGCAAACCGCAACACGCGAAAAACGGGGCGGAATCAGTTGGACAAGAACTCTAATTCCATTTCCTTCTCCTCCCCAGTCGAGCGGGTTTTGGAGATTTTTCGGGAAGTTCGGGCGATGAAGGTAATTCCGAACAGTTTGAAGGAGGAGATCACGTGGTCGATGGATGTGGTTGGATCGAATAAGCTGTACAGCATTTCCGTCGACGGGAATGACTACAATTCCGGCCAGAAAAACAACGCGAGTGCGAACAACCAAAATCTATTGTTAGAGCAGGAGATTTCCGAGTGGGTAAAAATCGTGTCCGCGGAAGATATATCAATTGCAAATATGTCTGTCTGGAAGGTGGCAACTTGTCATGGTAAATCTCAAGCATGCAAAAATCTGTGTTGCATGAGTGCCAAAAGCTGTCCACTTTTGACCAAGTTGGAAGGGAGTTTGTCATTCAGGATAGGCATGTCAGAGCCCTCGCAGAGTCTGTCATGCTAAGTCCCGCATTCCGGACCTCATCGCCCACCCCCCGGGGAGGGGATCCTTGACCTGTGGCGCTGGGAGTGGGTGTCCACTACATGATGATGATGATGGAAAATCTGCATGACAAGTTCCAACTTTCCAGACCCAGACATATTTGCAATCCATAAGACAACCAATTTAACAGCAGCTCCTTCGGCGCGATTGATTCGGAATTGGAAAAATTTCTCATCGGGCAGAGTAAAAAGAAGGAGCACGCAGAAAATTTAGAGCAGGCGAGGAAAAGGCTGATCGAGATATTGGAAACCGAGGTTGAGATCGACTGCAGCGGGTTTTTGGGAGTGGGTGGAGGCGGAGCAGGTTCTGGTGCCGGTCAGTACTATGGAAGTGGGAGGAACAACAACCAATACGAGGACGCTGATACCGCCGCAGAAGCGGAAAATCATATCTGGCAGGACATGGGGTTTCTGCAAAAGGAAGACTACATCCTGTACCAGAAGACGAAGATCTACCAGAAAATCCTACGGATTTTGGAGCACGACTTACACAACTGGGACTCTTTTGACGTTTTCGCCTTCGCTGGGGTGATATCCTGTGCCAGAGTATCGTACTCGTCTTGCAATCATGCTCATGCCTTGCAAATCCTTTTGCTAAGGTCAATGCGCATTACAAATTTTCTTTCTCATGCTGAGGATGAAATTTGTAATGCATTTACACGCGTCAGTGCGATAGTTTTGCAGTTCATAGACGAGTAGCGGCAGCAGCGATCATGGAGGTGCAGCATCAGGAGCATCAAAACCCGGCGTTGCAGCAACAGGACCACGACATAATCATCAGCAACACCACCAAAACCTCATCACATCAAACCGCATCCCCTTCGCCAACCCGCATTTAGATTGCCTCCCGTTAGTTTTCTGTGAACTGGTGATTTTCCACGAGCTTTGCGCGCACTTGGAGATGACGTTGGATCCCTGTTTTCTGTTGATGAAGGCGATTTCCGGTGGTCACGTGGCGGAAAACCCGTACCACAACGCTTTACACGCGTGCGACGTCTTGCAAGGTTTCCACTGCATGCTGCTCTGGGTTTTGGGCGGTATGAACGCGAATAACGCCAGTTACGGCCACTACGGCGGCGGGGGGTTGCACGGCAGTTCAAGTTTCATGTCGGACTTGAGGGAAAACAGCTTTGTGTCAAAAATGGCCACGAACGCGACTAACGTTGGCGGCGGCGGGCAGGGAACCGACAAAAACTTGATGCTGCAGAACCAAAACAGCTCGATCGACCCAATTTTGTCCCCGCATGAGGTTTTAGCCGGCTTGTTCGCGGCGGCAATTCACGATTACCAACATCCAGGCGTGTCCAACGCGTTTCTGGTCAGGACGAAACACCCGATCGCGTTACGCTACAACGATTCCGCGATTCTGGAGAACCACCACGTTGCTGCGGCCTTCTACCTCATGTTGGAAAATTCCCCGGAGTACGACATCTTCGCGACACTGAATGAGAAACAATACGCCGAGGCCCGGAAGATCGTGATCCAGATGGTGTTAGCGACCGATACCAGCGCGCACTTCGCGGATATCCTGAGTAAAAGCATCCCCACACCAGAGTCAAGATGGGGATTTTGCAACACAAGCCTAGAACTTTTGGGGGTCACGCATCACAAGTTGCAACTCGTAGTGTAGTGCAGGTTCGCAAGGCCAGCTGCATCAGGAATCCATCTGCTCATCCTGTTTAAAACAGCATTACAAATTCCAAAACACGACTAAAAAGGCCTCTCCTCGCGATGCGCATTACAAATGTTCCTGTCGTTACTTATTAGCTGCGCTTCTGGTGACGGCTTCCGCTTCTTCGTGCGAAAAATTTCAGATTCATAATCCATTGTTATGCTGTTGAGTAAAACAATGAGCACTTCGTTTTTTTTCAGAGCACTTCGTTTTTTTCAGAGCACTTCGTTTTTTCAGAGCACTTCGTTTTTTCAGAGCACTTCGTAAAGCAATTCAAATGATGCGTCACAACAGCACTAGCTCATGTAGAAATACAAAGCAGATACTACAACAGACTAGCAGCGTGCGGGGGGAGACCAATGCGGTCTCCCCCCACCCGCTGCGACTATTAAAAAACACACCAGGGAACTTCTTTTTTTCCAGCAGAGGCTGGTCGTGGGTTGTGGGGAAAAGACGGGGATTAGAAATAGGAACAAGATGCTAGCGCGAGTTTAAATCAGGCGTAACCTCTTGAAGATTTCCGCATCGCTTTACTTTACTTTTACTCTACAGACTAACCCACGCTAACAGACACGAAGCTTAGAAGAAAACATCATGAAAAACGAAAGCGGGCGCGGAGTCAGCGCGGCAAAGTGGGGAGTCATGATAAGGAGATATGACGGAAAACAGCCACGAGCCCGAGCCCCGCGCGGATGCAATCGAGGGACATCGGCGAGCCGCTCGAGCTACAGGACGGGGGGGACTAGGCCCCGGTGGACACGCACGCGGGAGAGGAGGGGGAAAACGGAAGCGAGGCGAGAACAAGACGCGCAGTACAATGTGCTGGAGCAGAGGACAAGAGCAGATAGTAAGAATATCAAAACAAGATGAAAAATGCACGCATACGCGCGCACTGCTTAACTGTGTGAAAGGTGTCGGCCCTGTTTGACCTGCACCTGCTGCGGCAGGCAGGTGAATTCGTAGAACTGCTTCACATGTTAAGTAACGCACACCGGCCTCCTAGTTTTAGTGATGAATTTATATGCGTCAACAGAGCGGGGCCCAATCAAAAAAAAAAAAATCTGCATGACAACTCTGGCGTGGGGACGTTTTTACTCAGGATAGCGGAGCTGAGCAGTTTTAAGACGAAGTTGGCTTCCGCGAGGGAAACCTTTCCGGACCCGCGGTCGGCGGAGGATAAACAGGTTTTGTTGAACATTTTGCTTCACGCGGCGGACATCAGCAACTCAACGAGAAAATCGGAGTTGTATTTCACTCACGTGAGCCGGACGATGGAAGAATATTTCCGACAGGGAGACATCGAACGAGACAAGAATCTTCCGGTGTCGATGTTTTTCGATCGGGAGTCCACTTCCACACCGAAATGCCAGCTCGGGTTCATCGACGTGGTGGTCCTCCCCCTATTCACGGTGTTGGGTCAGTTTCTTCCCGAAGTGCAGCAAACGTGTTTGGAGAATTTGTGGCTCAATACCCACAGAAAAAGACCCATGATCCGCCCCATTCAATTTGTCATGCAAAACGTGCACTAGTGCTCGTGTCTGCCATGCAGAAAATCGATGGGAATGCCTATGGGTGTTTTTTTGTTTTTCGTGGATACTCAACCGCACGTTCGTTCAACAGCAAGACCAGCAGTTGGAAAACGCGATGAACGGTGGGAGGAATGATGACTTGAACAAAAAAGACAAGAAAGCGACGTCGAAATATCCAGGAAAAAACACCCATCCCCATCCAATTTGTCATGCAAAACATGCATAAAATCCACTATTAATTTGTCATGCAAAAACTGAATGGGGATGGCTGTTTTTTCCAGGATACGAAACTGAACAAGTACAAAAAACTCATGCTCGACCGGGTGCAGAACTTCGGAATGCAAAATTTCAAAAACTTCCCCGGGGCTGCCGCGTTCTTTCAACAAAATAGTAATCAGAGAGGGAACAAAACCGGCAACAGTGATCAACATGCTGGGGAGAAAGACAAAGAGAAGCATGGAAATACTAAAGATTTGAACACGACCAGTCGGGAGAATCTGATCGCGTTTTTTAAGCAGAAGGTGTTGCCGAAGATCATGTTTCAGGACTGCTTGAGAAGTAGTGCGGGAAGGAACGATGTTGGTGGAGAGGAAAGGAGCAGTGCAAATCCCGTTGCTCAGCCGCTTGCTGGTGGAACAAGTACAACAACCACTACAACAGGAACAGCGACTGCGCAAAATACAGCTGCTGGCGCAGCAGGAGCGCAGCCTCGCTCTACCAATGGACCGTCTGCGACGTCGTCGAGTAGAGAGCAACAGCAGCGGGGCAGTGGAGAAAGGGAAACTGGTGGAGGAGGCGAAGCGGCTGTCTCTGCTGCTGGGGAAGTAGATGCGGTGCCGTTGAAACGGCATCAGGATTGAGGAGGTGGTTTTCGGTTTAGTGAAACCGGTACTGGCATCATCCTTAAGTGTGAGCTTTTGCGACGAAGTAGCTTGTGCTTGTTGTGTCTATAAACAGTAACAACAGTCTTTGGTTTAGCAGCTAGGTTTGAAATGCAGCTAGTGACGAGTAGCCCGGTTTTTTTTCAAAACAAAATTTCATGCACACTGATCTCTCTTTTTTTTAGCGAAGTACGCAGCAAATAAGTGCAAGTAGACCGCGGTTTAGTGCCAGATAGACACGCTGGCGTCGTTTATCGTCGAACACGTGGATCCAAAGTTACCCTGGTGCTTTGCGTAAACAAGCTTAGTACTAGCGATGTCGATGTCGTTTTTGCGAAGATAAAAAAGTACATGTTACACAGCGATCAAGTGCAAAAAGAAAAAGTGATAAGTGATGAAAAGCCTTAAGGCCTATGAGTATGATCTTTAAGATTTCTGCAAAAGAAACGCAAGCTACAACTCTCTCTTCGATTCTTAGACACGGGAAATTTTGGCTCTAAGTACTGGACTGGCAGTTGATGAAGAATCATACGAGAAGCAAAAACGATTGTGAAGCAGTATAGGAAGCGCAACGAAGCATGTTGGGTTAGGTCCCTGTCGTTACTGCTTGATATAATTACATTTGTGTTCTTCTTCAACTTCACATTAGATGAGTGGGCTACGACTCACCGGTGAGACTTTGGTCCTCAGCAAAGAAGCACAACGAGACGGACCCCCCGCCTGAGACTCCAGCCACCAGACGGGTCCGCATTTAGGCCATGCACTCGGCGGCGCCCGGTAATTGTGCGCGCCATGTCCTCCGGAAAGCTGACGCGGGGGCGCCTCACGTCCGGGGTGATGGCCGAGCTATTCGACCGGTGCGCGCGGACGTTCGGACAAGCCGAGACGGGAGCGGAGTTCGATCCCTCTACGAAGCCCGCGGGCGGAGCGGGCTGCGCTTGGTGCAGCTGTCGAACACTTTGAGCGCGCTGCGGCGCAGCGGCTCAAGGCTGCGGAGCACTCCAGGACGCCAGTGGTGCGCAGGTGTCTCGTTTCGGCCGCGTTCTGGTGGTGCCTGGGAAAGAGGCGCGCCGGCGTTCTGATTTGGGAGCCCCCGCGGGCTGCCCGGCCGGGTGGGGCGCCCTCACTCTGCCCGTCCGCTGGCGCCGCCCAGAATGCTGCGTGGCCGCAGAAGTAGCCCGGCGCCGCCCGCAGCGGGTATCGCGACGGGGACGGGGGGGGGAAAAAGATCCCGGCCTGCATGATTGGCAAGAAGGCAGGGCGCCAAAGCGGCCGGCCAGGGCGCGGCACTTACCAGGGCCCACCGTTCGGGAGTTTCCCCCGCCTCCGGCCGGATGCGCGGCGCCATTGCCCCGCACGCCAAGCTTCCCGCCGGGCAGTTTGCGCCGCCTCGCCCCGGCCTTGTGGCGAAGGAGGAGGCCAGGGAGGAGCTCGAGCAAGCTCGGCGGCCTGCTTGCAGAATAAGGAAAGCGCAGGCGGCGCCTCGTCCTGTTCTGTTCGCACAGACTCCGCAAGGCAGGAGCGCGCCCCGGTTGCTCCCTGCCCGCGCCCGCCCGCGGCGCCTTGGGTTGGTTGTCCGTAGCAGAGCCCGGCGCCAGTCTGGCCGTAGGCTGGCAGGCCCGCCCGCCGCTGGGTGGCGCGCGCCAGCGTGAAACGCAGGCGGCGCCGCCCGCCGATCCAGGGGGCGGCCGCGTTGGGTTCCACTCCTTGGGGAAGGGGGCGCGCCGTTGCCCTTTTTGGGTGGTGTCTGTGTGGGTGGGCAGCCTTTGCCCGCCCTTCACTGCTTGGCAGCCTCGTAAGCAGGCACGCGCATGGGGCGCAGGTCGCCCCGGTCTCGGGTTTCTTCCTTGCTTCGGGTCGCTTGCTTGCAAGTTCGGGGCGCCGCGGAGGGAGGCAGGCTGGCGCGCAAGGTTGCCTGACCTTCCTGGCTTTTGGTTGCAGACTTTCGGCGCCCCACTCGTCGGCCTTTTAATCAGGCCCATTCGTACAGCCCGGCGGCCGGCAACAAACGCAAGCACCCCTGTGTGCCAGGCGCCCCCGTGCCAGCCGTCTGTCGTTGTCCTCGCTCTCCTGCGCAACAAGGACCGATGTGCCATTTTCACGGCGCGTTGTCGCTCATTATTAATAAAATGAGAAATCAGCCACGTTTGTCCACCCACCCGCGGTGGGCTCGGGGATGGCGTGCCTTCTGCACCTCTCGCATGAGAGTGAGCGAGTGCGTCTTCTCATCTCCCTATATTGCTTTCGCTTTTTTTGTGCGTGTGTCCTGTTGCAACTTACTGCAAACAGGCGGCGTTCGTGGACCTGCTTTCTTTTTCACGTAGCTTGCGCTTCATTAGTTGCATCTGGATACTATGCGTATGTCGGTCGTGATCTTTTCTTGTAGTTGTCTCGGGGCGATGTACCTTCTAACAAGGAGGGCTTGGCTTCTTGCAGTCCGCACATGACCGCTTTTTCTATCTCTTGCGTGAGCTTTTGTGTTTCGTTTATAGTGGAGGTAATCGTTTGAGATTTTTTCAGCGGCTTTTGCGTAATATGATCCGCATCGGAACCCAGATCAACACGGACGACCAGCATCATTTTTTTTTCTCCAGAACAAGAGAAGGGGAAGATCATCAAGCAGATGGAGGATCTACGTATCTATAAACTAAAACTTCTTACTAGATGCGGTTACCGTTACAGTTACTACACTTCAACTTTTCGCTTCTGGTTCTGCAAAGCTTGCCGCATTGATTTGCCTTGAATTTTTTTAAGTATTGAGCTTGGCATTGGCTCCCATAAATTTAGCATGGTATTCGGCTGTGTGTGAACGATGAAGAACCCCGATAAAAAGATTTTTCTTTTTCATTCAGAGTGGGTGCTGTGCTCCTTCATGTGTGAAGCTCATGTTGAAACGATAATTGCGACAAACCAAAATAATGGCACTTTCCCGTCGAATTCCGAATATTTTAGTCGTCTGCGCCGCGGTTATTTTAGCTCCCTCACTGAGCACATCTTGTACTGGAACTACACTTGCTCTTGCAGCTGACGCAGTCGCAGTTAGCACGAACAATGGCGAGCAGGTGCAGGACTCCGACTCGTCACCGCCAGCGCCAACTAAACGCAACAAGCTCGCATACTTCGAGGAAAAGCTGACAACCATTCTCGCACAACTTGACACCGAGATGAGCCGGGAGCTGCTCCAGCCGGAGAGCCGGCTGCATGACCAGTTGCGATTTGTAGACAAAGACTCACCGCCCGCATCTTCATCGGGGACCACATCAGATGAAAAGCGTCCCATAAAAATCGGCCACAACCCGCCCTGGCCGCATTTACAGCTTACCGACTTCGATCCGAATTCCAACTATGGGGTTTGGAGGACGACGAGACAGAATATCAACAGCAAATACGGCTGGGTCTGGAAGAATGCAACTTGTGATGCAGATTTCAGATAACACAAAGATCTGTCATGATTCGTAGACAGCAAATGCGGCTCAGAACTTGGCACCAAAATGGGTGGTTTGTCATGCGGATTCGGCATTGAGACACTTTCTCAAGACTCGTGATGCTAGGGCTTGCATGCGAGACTTTCTGGGTCATGCAAGAGCAGCAATACAAACATCTACACTCATCCAGACCCAGACATAGTTGCAATCCATACAGGACGAGACAGAACAAAAATCTTCTTTCGCCGTCCCCGACTGGTATCTGCAACTTCGTTACCAAGACGCCTCCGTTTCCGAGCTTTACCGCGCTTTCGACGCGTATGGAAGCGTCAGGATTGAAATCGTCAAAGTTGAAATAACTTGTAATGCATAATAAAATCAATGCCAATTCATTGGATCCACAGTTTCTAGTCGGTGCATGACAAAGTTTGTCCGTGCCGGAAGCCAGTTTGTCATGCTGTTCAGGGAAAAGGGGCTCCCCTCTGTGATGCTAATCAGCAGCTCAATTCTCGACCCTTGCCAGCACTACAATCTGCCTCCCTTGCGTCCTCTGCAATAGAGGCAATCTTTGCGTTGCATTTTTTCCTGCATGGCAAACTATTTCAACTCTGACGATTTCAATTCTTACGCTTCCATAACGCGATTCTCCGTGCGCGGAAGAACATCGAAGACCAGATCTACGCGAAGGTGTTGAAGCAGGCGGAGATCCCGTATGCAATGCAAAAGTATCGCACAACTCGTAGAAATTGCAGTCATGTATGACAAATCTGGTTTCCTACCCGAATCTGCATGACAAATCTCAGTCTTCTTCTTGAGAAAATTTGTCATGCGATCTATACTTACGCTGTATACGTAGTTCGATGCTTTTGCAATGCATATCCCGCTGGGGCAGGCGATTGATATTGGGCGGAACGTGGTCGCGCCGGTGCAGATGTTCTACCACAATTTGGAAGACCCGAGGTGTCCAAAAAACGCGTTTGCCGTCAAGGTCTTCAACGGATATGGGAATTAGTATGCTGAGAAGCTGTATAGACGTGGTCGTGGTCGTCCGCACCCCCCCCCCCCCCCCAGACTTGCAATGCGGACTTGCATGCTCCAGCACTGGATGTCTTTCATGCGCAGCTCAATCGGCTCCGGTGTCTCTTGGTGTATTGAAATTTGTTTATGCTATCCGAGGCAGGAACAGGATGATGTTGATGGGGAGTCGATATTATGTGTATGTCACTCCGCTGCAGTGGGCTAACCAAGATGGCCATTTTGGTGCGACTCCAGACTTGATGTCACGCGCAACAGCCCTGTCTTGTTCCGTTGTTGTTGTGTTGCAGCTATTAGCATCAAGTTCTTCATTTTCCACCTATCGTGACTGATATGAGGCCGGGGGGAGGACTGGGCCACAGCTTCGTTTTTTACGAACCGATAACTACGCCGGGATAGCTAACTCTAAGGGCGAAACGCTGGAAAAAGACAACTTCTTCTACATGTGCTTACATCAGAGATTTGAAGTTCCGGAGCAGCAGTTGAAGACTTCGGGATTCACCCAGGACTGCAAGCACCTACCAGAACTCGTTCTTGCGCAACATGGTGGAAGAACATCCCAAGAAAATGAAGAACACAACCACGACCGGGAGCGTCAATCGCCGAAAATGTTTCTCGACGTTGGTGCGAACGTTGGCTACTGTACGTTGCTTATGGCGTCGCTGGGGTACCTTGTGTTGTCCTTTGAGCCTTTACTCGAGTCCTTCGAGCTGATTAAGGCGTCTGTGGCGTTAAATCCGAAAATGGACAACAGGGTATTGCTCTTTAATGTCGCACTGGGGAAGAGCAGTGGGAACTTCGTCACCATGGACACCGGCCGGATCGGAAACCGCGGGAACACTAGAGTGGTAAGCAGCACTGGTTTGATGTCATCGGGATCAGCAATAGAAAGAACGACCGTCATGCGCGGCGACGCATCACAAAGAGAAAAAACCCCACCTCCTTTCAACGTGAACCTCTTGTCGACCGGGGTGGAGCCGAAAACGGGCTCTGTGGTTTTCTTTTCCGAATCTTCTGATAGAAGTACCGTCGGCGGTGGTGCTTCGAGTTCGACAAGTAATGATCCTGCAGGCCAGCCCCAAGAAGTTGTCCAGCCAGTGCCAGACACAAGCAATTTTCAACCTCTGAGTTACGACAAAAGCCGATTCGTGCCTCAGTTCGCCCTCGCAGATTTACTGGAAATGGCGGAGCAAGTGACAAAATCGATTCCCATTGGGTTGATTAAGATCGACGCAGAGGGAAGCGAGTTCGATGTGCTGCAAGGGATGATGTCATCTTCTACTACAATTTCTACTTCCGATGAAAGAACGGCCGCGCAGACATCAATACCCAAAAACGTTCTCTGCACGGGCAAAATTCCCAAGATCAAACTCGAGCTGTGTCCGCACCTGCTGGAGAAAAAACTTCCGGACAAACCCCAGATCTGGCAGATTTTAACCTTTTTGCACCGGCACGGGTATTATCAAGTGTAAAAATGTCTGGGTCTGGAAGAATCCAACTTGTCATGGTGATTTTGGATTCTAAAAAAATCTGTATTGCGTGAGCAGCAAAGACGAGAGCCCAAGTTTTGCTACACGGAAAGAGCATTTGTCATGCGGTATACGCATCAGGAAGCCCTCACAAAATCTGTGATGCTAGGGCATGCATCACAGACATCAGGAGTCATGCAAAATGTGCATGACAAACCTGGCAATCTTCCAGACCCAGACATTTTTACATTTGATAGGTATCTGCTGATTGAGGAAGATATGGGTGTGATGTCAGGATCGAAATCGACAAAATCGAAAAATTTGTGATGCGTAAAATGTAGGGCACTGGCGGCCTGTATTGGGGAGCAGGCAAATGAGACCGATTGTAAGCCTGTTTAGGGGTATGCAATGTGCTGCCAGAGTAGCATGACAGGAGCAGTCCTCTTTGCCCAAACAGCATGGCAAACTGGATTTTGGTGCTCCCGAAATTTGTCATGCGCCACTTGAAAGCTGAGGCATCAACTGGTATCGATTTTGTGCATCGCAAATTTTTCGATTTTGTCAATTTCGATTCTGACACTTCCATAGAAGAGGAAAGCACCGTGATCATGAAGCACGAGTTTTTCACGTATTACGAGAGGTTCAACCACAAAAAGCAGCGCGATGTGTTGGCGATTTGGCAGGGTGCGGTGGAGAACGATGATCGCGTGGTGGAAAGGATCGCCGTGGAGTACGATGGAAATAATAACGCAGCATCCTCACTTGGTGGCGGAAGGGGAGTATGAATTGCAAAAGTATCGTACTCGTAAAAATGCATTACAAATTTCCATTTCCTCAGCATGAGAAAGAAAATTTGTAATGCTGATTTACCTTAAGAAAAAGACTTATGATGCATGATTGCAACACGAGTGCGATACTTCTGAACAGGACAGGGGGCAGTCGGAGTCGCATTCGAGAAGAACTTCTGCACAAATTTGGCAGAGCAGGTATGCAAGAAAAAAAGTTAAAAACTGTGTAAGTGTAACTTTGTCTTGCAGATGTTGCAATACAGTTACACTTGTCATGCCGGATATGCATCAGAGGTTATTTTAATACGTGTTTTCGCGTAGTAGCTACGCATGACAAGTTTTCTGTCATGTAAAACAAATCTGTGATGCTGTTCCTGCAAAAAAGTTTCACTTAAACAGTTTTTTTCTTGGATAGCAGGAGGTTCTTGCGGATGTTGCCCTTTCGACATCGACAAAAATTTCTGATGCGACGACACAAGAACCTGAAGAAGCTTTAGTACATGATAGCATGATGTCGAAGATGTCCACATCTTCCTCTTGGCCACACTTTCTGCTCAACGGCCAACCCACCCCGGCTGCTTTGGTGATCCGACAGCCACCGACGTTTAATGTTGCTGAAAGAAACAGCGATGAAATCCTTGGTTTGGAAACACAAACAACGCAAGGAGAGGGAACAACAAATCACGACGTGGTCGAGTTTGACATTGACAATGGGACCTCTGTATCAAAAGCAAAAATGTCTGGGTCTGGAAGAATGCAAGTTTGTCAGGCTTGTCTGGCATGACTCGAGAATCTGCGTTGTATAGGCACGACAAAGTCCTCTTGCCTGTCATGCAAAAACGCAGTTCGCCATGCGGAACACGTAAGACATGGCAACCAAATTATTTTAGTTCATGCATCGCGATAGCTGCGTATTGCAGTGCGTGTGCGTCTATCATTCACTTTTAGCATTACAAGTTTCCGGACCCAGACATATTTGCAATCCATACTCCGATGAGGACCGATTAGAACATTTTGAAGCGGTTTTGACGGTTGAGAAGTTTTCTTCCAGTCCGGAGTTCACGTTTTCCGATGCTGTGTATAACAGTGCACAACTCCCCCTCCCCCTCATTTGTGTAGCATGAACGGCAATACAAGCATCAGCAAGAGTGCCGGTTTTGCATGACAGATTTTCACTTGAGTCTAGTGCTATTTGGGCGACCAGAACTTGTCATGCAAACAGTGCCAAGAGGCAAAGGGTGGATTGGGTATTTTGCATTACAAATGAGGGGGAGGGGGAGTTGTGCACTCTCATACTGTGGTCGAGGAAGTCGCGTGGGGGAAGCCGACTGCATCAGCAGCAGCTCATGCAGTGGAAGGAAGTGCTGATGCTCCACCCAGGAATTCCTCTGGATCGAGTTCTTTCGTAGAGAGACTCAAGCAACGGATCGTCGAGTACCAAAATATCAATGCGGCAAGAAGAAGTAGCTCAAAAACAAGCTCTAGCTCTTCTACTACTGAAGACGGAATAAACATGGGTCTCTACCACCGCAACGCTGAGGTGAATTTAGTGCAGGTGGTCACCGACGGCAAAACCGGCGCGCGGACGATGCTGCAGAAGGATTATATGGGAAGTAGAACGAGTGAAAAAGCAAAGTATAATCCAGGAGAGGAAAAAAATCAAGCCATCTCACAAGGAGCTGGAGGAACCGAAAAAAACCACGACCACGGCGGTCCAGCAGTGGTCGTTCAGGCTCAAAACCACCTAACCCCGCAGCAAAAGACGCAGATGAACTCGGAACTGGTGAAATCCACACTCACGGACGCGAAGCCGGCCCGGACCTGCTCCATCGTGTTGTCGAAAAGAGAAGTTTTTTCCGAATATATCGAGAGGAAAAATTCCCCCTCCCCATATCAAAAGGAAGTTTCTCATGCTGGATTTATTGCGTACACAAATAAATCAGGTCTGTCTTGCAGTATGGGACTGCAGGCCCATACCAAGCCTACCTAGAGGGGTTTTCTCGTAGGCGCATAGCACGGCAAATGTGTACTCTGTAGGCTCCATAGCATCACAAACCGTCTGTATAATGCGGCGGGGTCTCTGGATTGGCCTTCTTGCAATACAGAGACGATTTGTGGCCACAGATCAGCATCGCAAATTTTCAGAAGTAGGTCGCTTCGGTATGGGGAGGGGGGATTTTTCCTCACGATAGAAAACAGTGGGAAGAACGCGGTGTACAGCAATATCGAGGGGTTCACGGTTTGGCTCTGTGAGGACAAAGTGCACATAGATCATGCTGGTGATGTGCCTCTTCGTGGTCCCGCTAGCACTAACAGCCACTACCGATCTAGAATCACGACTGAAATCGTTCTCTTACTTCGAGTTGTGGACAAACAGAAGCAGGCCAACACGATAGAGTGCCTAGCAACCGTAAAAATGTCTGGGTCTGGAAGATTAGAACTTGTCATGCTAAATCTAAATGATGCAAAAATCTGTGTTGCGTGAGTGCCAAAAGCTGTCCACTTTTGACCAAGTTGAGGGGGGGTTTCTCATGCAGGAAAGGCATGATAGAGACCTCAAAGAATCTGTCATGCTGGGTCTCGCATTCCAGACCTCATGGGCCATGAAAAACCTGCGTCACAAATCTTGCATTCTTCCAGACCCAGACATTTTTACATTTGATAGTGCCTTGTCGAGGTCGACCCAGGTGGAGGACCAGCTGCACAAGGTCAAGGGAACATGAAAACGCGTGAACAAGATGAACAAGTAGTCAAGCAAATATTTTTACCACTGCGGTTTGGCGTCGTAAATGTTCAGCCGGCCGCGGCTGTGGCTGCTGCTGGTGCAGCAACTGGCAGAGAAGATGTTGGTGGTCCGTTTCAAGCAGGCCAAACCACATCGTGGCTGTATCTGAATGAGTGTTTCAAGAAAGCGAAAACGGGTAGCGTTTCAGGGCAGGACGAGACCATCGGGGCCACGACTACATCTCCACAACAAGAATCCGCTCCCAAAAGCAGCGACGCGAAGCTCAAACAAATAGAACAGGTGGGACAACTAGTGCCATCTTCGCGAAAGGTTTCCGGCATCGGAGATTTTTTTCAACCAAAAGTATTAGCGGGCCGCAATACAGATACAACAGCCTCGTCCCCAGTAGCAGCGAGTGCGAGTAGTTCTCCTGCGGTTACCGTTTTGAGCCTCGGGGACAGAGGAGGTTTAGAGGTGCTATCTGGACGAGCCCCCGATACTACCATACCAGACGTCGAGGCGTCCACACAGCCACTTGAGACGCAAAGGCAAGCAGCTACTGTTTGGACGCCGAATGGCATCAACGCATCAGTGAATGTGAAAAATCAAGAGCCAAGCCCAAGAGCAACTACACTTACACCTGACGGCGCTACCGCTTCTGCTTCAACAGAGATACACGAGACCCTCGAGAAATCGCCTATTTTCCAATTTCCGAAGGTCCGCACCTCAGCTCTACGCTTTGGCGCCATTGCGGACGGGAGTCTGCGCGGATTTTCCAGACATAAGATAAACATTGCGAACATGCACGTGACCATGGGAAGACTAAGTAGAAGAACAAACGACCGCGTTGCGTCGAGATAGTAGACGAAGTGTGTTCCTGCTGGTTCCCCTCCGCCGAAGGGCAGGAAAAAAAAAAAGTGTTCTTCACGAAGGAGAAGTTAGTTCGGTGAAGAGTTCAACAGGAGAACAACTGCGAAGATCATCATGAGGCTACGCGATGAAGCGGGCAGCACTCTACTTGTTTGTGTAATTTGCTGATGCAGCTCCTGTGATGCGAACAGCGACAAACTACGTCGACGCACAGATGAACGCAGCGGCAGCGGCCTTCAAAATCGATTCTGCAAGAGTAGTAGTTGGCATAGGCGGGCCTGTCTGTTTCAACAAACCTCGGCTCGATCAAATTACAACAGAGTTTTTGTTGCCCCCTAAAGTTAGTACACGCACTCGTCCTCGTACAAGTGAGTGGAAACCCACTAAGGCTCGGGTAGAAGTTTCCGGCAGTAGATCCATTGTTCCTATAGATGAAATAGATTAAACTCGGCCAACATCTTCTCAAGTCGGTCCGACGTCCAGTCGTGCTCCCTACATCACCCTGTCGAATGGCTTGATTTGTTGATGTTGTTCAAGACAGCTGCTCGAAGTGCGGCCCAATTTGCAAACTTCGGTCTGGCGCGTCAGCTATGTCGGGTTTAATAAATTTTGAAACTAGAAGTAGTAAGTAAGTAGGGCTGATGAAGTCGGTGAAAAATTAAAATTGATGACTGCCTCTCAGCACTGTCGGCCATCTGATAATCAGTCCGTCGACTTTCGGTTGTCGTGTAATAGAATCTTGCAAAGCTGGTGCCTGTCGAGCAGAAGCGCTGCTACGGCTTGTCACCTCATTGTAGTTGGACAATAAAAATACTTGCAAGGCAACTAGAAGCACACAGGTCGCGTGTGCGAAAAACAGGAGGAACCCAACGAACCCCCGCGCTCAGCATCGCCACACAAGCATAACAAACTCAGACTTCGTTGCAGTAGAGAAAATATAAAAGCAAAAATCCTCGCGCTCCAACGCAAGGGCAAGAATTCGAGCACAAAAAAAAACCGCGCTCCTTGCCAATGAAGACCAAAAAAATGCTCACCACGGCCGCGACCTTCCTGGTTCTTGGCGGCGAAAAATACTACGGGGGTTATATTTCCCCGCTGGGAGAAGTGGCGGGAGTGATGGTGTCCACCCTGGTGCACAAGACGAAGATGCAAGAGGTGGATGGTGATAAAGATCAAGATGCTGCGAAGAACAAGGAGAAGCTGAAGCCCATTACTCCTGAAGATGAGCCGATCGACCCTCGCGGTTCGACCCACATTTCTCAGCCTGATCTGCCCGCTTCTCCGGTCGAGCCGATCCCGGGTCCGCTGGCCAGTTCTGTGCCTGAGTCTGTGAAGGTAGAGAACTGCGGCGACTTGGATGAAACGCTGTCGCTTTTTCGAGCACAATTGGCGACAATGTCGGGGAAGGTTCTTTCATCATATCGCGAGATCGGGAAGAAGGCGCACGACTGCGAGCGCGCAGTTGACAATCAGGGGAAGCAATGCGACGTGTGGACGTACAAGATGTTCCCTCCCGGCCGCATTCTGCGCTGCCGCAAAGCAGGGGATCACACGGGCATGGAGCCGGGTGCGATCAAGGTCCCGGCGTCGTGCTGGGACGTGCATTTTTTTTGGGGGAAGTCGAATTGGTTTCTTCATTCTACCTGCAGGTCCGGAATTCCATGAGTCTGGCCGAGCACATCAAATATGAGTGGTGCGGCACATAAATAAAATTGCCGGGGACGTCTCGTCTCAAAGATGTTGAAAAGCTGAGAGGAAGCGCAGAGTGACTCCGAGCCCGATCATGGTGCTTAGAGTCCGAGCCGTCTGGAAAGGAGCATCAGAAGGATCCTATTCTGCTAGGAGCATAAGAAGGAGCATACTCACCTACTACTTTTGTTCTACTTTTACCTACATCTGCCTTGCTACGCATGTTCTTGACACCATGACTATAGATTGGGTAGAACTTCTTTAATCAAGTAGAAAAAGGAAAAACGCAACCAAGTTATCTTTTTGCACACCTATCAAGACGCAACAGCCTCATCTTGGCTGCGCCAGTAGTAGCTATTTATTTCTAGAGCTTCGTCTGAGGAATTGTCGTCATACTACGTCGCACTGTCAGTAAACACATTATATAATTTTTGAAGTTTGGCATCAGGTTCGCAAGCGCGGCGGAACTATTTTGAAGCTTTGTGAACGTAATGACTTGCAACCAAAATTTTGAACTCTCGCGATTCTCTTGCCGTTCTCGCCAGCGAGTGGGTTTGAGTTAAATACTTGCTACAACCGACTGAATTTATTGCAACCTAGATGGAATAAATAATCCACCGGAGCCGGACTTTCATCGCGACAGCATGTACTTATTGCTTATAGCGTGAAGATCTTCTAGCTGCATGGCAGAAGTTTCGTCGAGCATAATATGCCGACAATCGCCTCCGATGACGGAAGGATGAAGGAGGTCGTCGTGTTCCTCGTACATTTTCTTATTATCAACTGGAAGCCACTCCTGCCTGCCATACCCGTAGGCACATCAAGGCGACCAAGAAAAATAACAGGGCTGCAAAGTAGCAAAACAAGATGGCTTCATCTGGCGCAACCCCTACAGGAGCTGCGTCGTCAGCAGCAAGGCGTATCCTGGTCCTCTACCACTCCCGTACGAACCTGGCCGCGCAAATGTCCTGTGCGGTGGCGAGCGGCGCGAGACGGACGGTAGGCGTCATGATGCACGATAAGGACTACAGGGCCACAAAAAAGAACGAGGAAAGCAATATCCACGTCGAACGGATCTGTTGTGAAAGACTGCTGCAGCTCAAGACGATGTCCGGCGCGGCACAACTGAGAACAAGTACCCCGGCGCCGGGACCTGCGCCTTCCGCTCCAGCTGCATCCGCGTCATCTTCCTCCTCGCGAAAGAACCCGCCGAAGATCATGCTTCCCCCACCAGCAACGGAGTTACTGAAATCAGCCGCCGGCTTCGTCTTCGTGTGTCCGGAGAATTTGGCAGCAATGTCGGGAATGATGAAAGAGTTTTTCGATCAGTACTACTACCACATGTTTCAAGATAGCATGACAAATGATTACAACGGAGATCATGAACTACATGAGGAACCGACACTTCGCAACAGACCGTGCGGAATCGCGATCAGCTCAGGAAGCGACGGGGAGAATGCGGGGAGGTATCCTGTGCAAAAGTATCGTACTCGTATCGCAGTCATGCATTAAAGGTAAACCCGCATTACAAATTTTATTTCTCATGCTGAGGAAATTTGTAATGCATTTGTACGAGTGCGAGACATTTGCGCAGCATAGCAGGCAAGTCGAGCGGATTTGCACTGGCTGGCGGTTTATGCATTGCAAAAGTATCGTGCTAGTACAAATAGCATTACAAATTTTTCCAGAAGCAAAAATGGAATTTCTAATGCTGAATTCGCTAGGACGAAGCCAGATCTGTCATGCATGACTGCAATTCATACGAGTACGATACTTTTGCAGTGGATACGGGTACGGAACGTCTTGAAGAATGTAAATGCTCCTCACAGCTGCAGCTCTGCCGAAGAACATAAAAGTTCTGGCGAAGGAGCTGCTGCACGACCCTTGCCCTTTCTCATTTGCCGCGAGGAGGCGATCCAGCTCGACAAAGGAATAAAGCAGTATCCTGTGCAAAAGTATCGCACTCGTATAAATACACGGCTTGCATTACATACAAGTCCTTTCCTTAAGGCAAATCCGCATTTACAAATTTCATTTTTCATGCTGAGGAAATTTGTAATGCATTTATACTAGTATGTAGTGAGGTCACCGAACGGTTCTAACCGGGGAGTTTTTTTGCCAGCCAGACAGCAAAACGGCCGCCAGTTTTCAAGCGGGTGGAAGCGTTTTTGGACATAAAAAGTTTTCACTTATCAAGCGGCCGGGGCTTTGATAGCAAACAAGCCCGGTCGAAAACTATCGATTCGCACTTGATAAAACGACGCAGGGGAGCCGGCAAAAGGGGCGCCCTTTTGAGGCGCCCACCGCCTTGGTTTCTGGCGATTTGGGGCGCCCAAAAAGGGGCGCGCAAAAAACGCGCCCAAAATCAGAACAGCGAAACAGCATGGCGCGGCCGCGATTTCGGAGCATTTTGGGCGGCCGCGAAAGCGGCCGCCTTTTCGCCGGCTTTAGAGCCTGGGAAGCTTTGCAAAAAGCGCCGGCGTGAAAAATAAAAACGCGAAAAAGAAAAAGCGCCCCAGACGCGCAAAGCCAATCCGCATGCTACGGGCCCAATTTTTCTTCGCTTTTTGGGCGCCCCCTGTGGCACCCGGATCGGCCCCATAGCATGGGGGCTGGCCTTCGGAAAGGAATTTCGCGAATTTGCCAAAATTTGCGATGTTTATGAAGCGGCCGCCATACCGTGCGGCCTAACGTTACTCGCGGCGGTATGGTGAGCCCATAAAAAGCAAAGCCACGGCCAAGGCGATGGCCGGCAAGAAAACGCCCACGACCTCACTACCCCCGCCCCGGCGGCTATATTTGGTACGTTGCTTTTGCAATTCATAAGCAGACGAAAAAAACAATTTTGAACCCGGGGAAAAAATTGAACTATGAGGACCGGGTGAAGTGCGAAGATTTAGGCAGTTTGGTAGCCGCACATGTCTGTTTGCAAGAAGTGGAAGAAAAAGATGACTAGCCGTAATATTATACAATGTTGTGTATAAAAATATTTCTCCGTCCGGATGGTCACGTCGCCGCGCTGTTCTCATTTAGATAGGAGTCGCTAAATTTTCGTTTTTTCCGGAGCGTTTTTCTTTTTTTTTCATCATCAGCCTGTGCTCCAAATAAAAGGGGCGAGAGAGCGTCATGGAAAAGGAAATGAAACAAAATCGAATTATTCAAAAGCTGCAGCAAGAAAGGGCGTGCTGCAATGAGGGATGATGTCCAAGAAAGCCAAAGGCAATAAAACCGTATTAACCGAGCGAGGGCAATAGAAGGTGAACGAGAGGGGCTCTAGATGAAGCTAAGCAGCTTCTGCGAGAGAAAAAAAAACTTTACCAAGAGAGGACCACCCTGTGTCTAATGTGTCTGACACATATCATCTTCACAAAACGCTGCAAACAGGACACCAACAAGCGTTATAAACAAATTATTTGAGGCTAGTAGAAGAAGTTGTAGCTGCTCTCTCTTCAAGAAGTTTCTGACGAGATGACTCCCAACCTTCATCGTGCCTCCACTGTTTATTGAAACTTTTAGTTTTCGTTAACAAAACACAGTAAGAATCATGACGAGAAGTGCAAGCGGAAGCTCCATCTACAAATGAAACATCAAATTGACATGAGTTTAAGTTTACAAGTAGAATTGAACAAATAGCCTTAGCCAAGTAGTGGCACAGCACGACACAAGAAGTTAGTCCAGGAACAGTAGCACTTCTACACAGTTTTGAATGATAACATAAAGAAAACTCGACCGCTAGTGGTAGTAGGAAGGGAATTTAGGCGACCACCCTGTCCTGGACAACGCCAATCGCAAGACTACTAATCGAAGTCGAGAGAACGAAGCAAGAGGGCACTAGTAGTGCAACTACTGCTTCCACCACTACGACCACCACTTTGCTGCAGCTGCACGGCAGCTGCAGCTGCCGTGCAGCTGCAGCACATTGGACCCCGAAAAAATACGCGGAGGAATTCGCGGAGAATTCGGGGAGGGCGTGCTGCGGGGCCGCGGCCAGCGCCGCGGTTTGCTGCGGTTCTTGTGCATGCTATACCATGCACAAAGCGTCTCAACAGTACGAAGCACAGCACGTCCACGGCCTCTCACCTGGATCTGCATGCCTGCACGGGCTCGCCACTTTCGAGCTAGGGTGCCTTACCGGAAAAGCTTACATTGACTGGAAGCGCGCTGTGCGAGGACCACCGGAACGGCAAGTGATGCTCGGACAGCAAGGGATGTTGCCCGAACAGTGATTTGAGCTAACACGCCATTCCGTGCGACTGTTGTCGGTCGCGCAGGTCGCGTGATTACGTTCTGACAGGGTTTTATTTCTTCACATGGTAGCTAGTATATGTGTTATTTTAATTTTTTTTTAGGATCCACTTCCACTGTATAATTATTTCATTTCATCGACGTCACACCCTTCGTCCGCCCCTGGTGTGGAGAGGGGCAGGCGTGACAGGGGCCTTGTGCTGCCCAGTTGCGCTACTAGAGGTGGTAGTAGACGCAAAGACTAAATCGCGCAAACTAAGCGGCAGTACGCCGCTGCTCCTGGCGATTGAAGAAGGGCGGCGCCCGCAATCCTGCGCGCGCGTGAACTTCTAAGCGTGAAGACTTTACTACCTACGGAGCGCAAAGCTAAGCTTTCGGGACAACAAGAGCTCTTGTCCATCGAGTAAGTAATGAGGAGCAGCGTCGTGTCCATGTGGACGATGAGCTATGGAAGCAAGAATTGCGTATGAGTCCAGGAGACTCATACCACGTGTACACTTTTGCACAACTTCTCGAGCACCACGCGTGCAATGACTGTTAGCAGTAGAGAAGATTAATCACGTACGGGGCCAGGCTCCAGCCGTACGCCTAGCGGAACGGCGCAGTGGCTGGTGCCTGCTTTCGAGGAAAAAATAATTTCTTCGTGCCCGACGTGAGCCCCCTTATATAATCAACAAAAAACCGGGAAAAAATTTTGGATAAGACGAGAAATAATTATTTTTTGCCCCTACCAGTCCTCGTGCGGGAGCGGGTAGCAGTAACAAGGCCTTCACGACCGTCGCCGTGTCGATGAAGAGAAAATCTTGTTCTTGGGTCGAACAAATTGGGCATCCAAATAAACACGGATGATCAACTAGGGAACGAAGACGAGAACAAAGGGATCATCTTCTTCGGTTGAAAATGAAGAACCTTGGCCGTGCTAGCGCAGCTCTCCATACTTTTTCGAATCCCGCCCATGGCGAACAGAACGGCAAAGTAAAGAAAACGATCAGCACGATTTGTATGTAATGACCGATCCACCTCCTGCGAAACTCGATCCCCGCAAAACGTTCTTGCAATGGCAAAAAAGAAAAAGTATTTGTGTCGAATTCGATATTTTTCGTAAATTCTGCGCTCGCAGCGAGCACTATGATTTGTGACGAGGTCGTAATAAATTGTTGTACAACGACGTTGTGGTATGGAATCAAATTTAACTTCATCGCGTTCATTTTTCACTGTATTTGAATCGATCCAAAAAGAACTACAATTATTAAGTACTATCGCTAGCAGTAACCTCTAAAGATATTGAAGATTTCCTTACAACAAACTTTCAGGTCATCAGAATTTGTTCAGCTTTGTTCTACACAAGAACGAGGAAAGCGCAACTCTTTGATTTCCGCAACTTTTGGTTCTATCTTTAGATCATTTTTCACGACGTAAAATTAGCACTAGAAAAACAAAAGTACTTAACTCAAGATCACCTACTACAGGAGCTATCGTTTTCGCTATAATACGTTTTTCTTTTTCCTATCCGTGCTTGCAAGAACTGCAACAGCATCTAAAAAAACCTGGGCGAAGTATAATTTTTCCGTACTACTTGATGAAAGACAACAAGACAATGCGGCAGCGTGGGCGTGCACCTGCTCTAGCACGAGGTGGACTTGCGGTTGCGGCTTTTACGAGCATCATTTTGATGTTCTGCTCGGAAAGCTGCCGCGCCGCTGGATCTTCTTCCAGCAGTACTACCCCTTCGCGAGGACGAGGACTTCCTTCTTTTTTGCGCCCGGGAGGTATGGCGTTCTCAAACGTTACATCCTCAACTGTTACATGAATTTGTCATGCAGAAATACCATAAGCAAGCACACGGCCAAGTGGCTGCGCATGACAAATTTTTCTCGAAGGCGGGCAGCAAAAAGCATCTGAATCTGTGCCAAATCTGTGATGCAAGAGTTGCAAGATTTCACTTTCGCTGTTCTTGCATCACAAATTCATGTATAACAGTTGAGAGTGTAAGAACGTTTGAGAACCCCATACCGGGGGGCCGCGACTTGGAGGTTGGTGATCCGGCGGATCATGTTGAACAAGCGGGAGCACCATCTTCTTCCGCAGAAAAACATCAAGAAGACGCGAGGACTGCTCAGGTGGATAAAAAACAACATCATGATCGTCGTCGCTCCGTTTCGCCGAGCAAAATGGAGTTGGCCAAGGAAAAGGTGTTCAAGTACTTCCACGACCATCAGTTCCTCAACCGCGACGTTGGTCGCACAACTGGCATGTACTACGACCAAATCTACCGCTTCGTCTACCATCGTGACCAGGTGGTGCTGCAACTGATTGCTTCTCGCGAGCCGGAAACGTTCAAAGGGTACTCGTACAACGTGGATACTGTCGAATACACGGATTTCGATATCGCAATTATGAGTGATGATCAAGTTCATCATGATCTACTTCCTGGATGGCTCCATCTGACACCGGTCGTGGGACAGCACGAGGACCCGTCCTGGGAACAGCGGAACCACTACTATGACTTGGAAGATGTTAAAGCAAGTGCAGAAAAAGAAAAACCGCTCATCATCACTCTTATCCACGGCCCCTCGACAACCGACGTTTTTCGACGCACCTACCCGTCGGCCGGCGATACGATTCGCACCCACCCGAAGGACGTAGAATCGGGGCGCGGGAGGCCAGAGTGGGTTCGGTACGAGAAAAGATACGGTGCGGAAACAAAACTCCGGGATGAAGGGAAGTTGAAATACCCAGAATTGCGGCAAGAGGTTGCGCTCAAGATTTACCCAGATGGGAGGATGGAAAAGATGTCGGTTCAGAAGCTTTTGCGCGAAAATGAGATGAAGATCATGGCCAGCAATGATCAGGACAGTGGTCCACCAGCAGGAGATGGTGTTGAGCAGGTGTTCGTCATGGTGCCTACGGACAGTGCGAAAAAGGAAGCAAAAGAGTATGGCGTTCTCAATTGTTACATTCTCAGCTGCCACATGATTTGTCATGCAAATTTGCCACCAAGATCGCCACGATCAAGCTGCTTCGCATGACAAATATCCGAAGGGCTAAACAGCATCTAAATCTGTGCCAAATCTGTAATACAAAAGGCGCAATCTTCCCCCTTTCACTTTCGCCGTTCTTGCATTACAAATTCGTGTAACAGTTGAGAATGTAACAGTTGAGAACACCATAAAGAGATTATGAAAATTATGGAGATGGGACACAAGGAAAACAAGCCGCGCAGTCGGCATGGTCCGTCACTGATATACCCTATATCAAATGCAAAAATGTCTGGGTCTGGAAGATTGCGAGATTTGTCATGCTTGTCTGGCATGACCAAAAAGTTTGTGATGCATGTCCAAGAAGAGACCCTTTTGCCTGTCATGCAAAAACGCAGTTTCTGATGCGAAAAACGCAACACAAAGAAGCGGAGATATTTGTCATGCTTGGCTGTGCATTACAGAGCATTCACTATTCCCAACACAGCATTACAAGTTTCCAGACCCAGACATTTTTGCACTTGATACCCTAAGCCCTAAACCCACTTAGTGCACCAAGAAAGGCTTTGCTTTTCCTCTACCTACTTGCCCTTTGTTCCTTCCACAAGAGGAAGAGCAGAAACAGATGCAAATGCTGGCTGATAATTCATACTAGTTACGATGCGTATAAAAATCATCGTCACCATTATATTCTGTTACTGTTTGATTTAGATTTTGATAATGAGGAAACTGCTCCTCGGCCAGATGCTTCTTTTTCGGGGGAAGTAGACGTGCAAAGATTCATCAGCTCCACGTGTTGTTCACTGCTAGCAGTGTACGTAATCAATTTTTCAGAAGATACGAATTCGACTATGACGAGAAAAAGAAGACAACTGGTTCATGATTTGTGCTGTCGTGCACCACGGGACGACGACGACGACGACGCACGATGTCCTCGCTGTTGAAGATGAGGAGATACAGACACTGAAATTTTGATATGATCGATGCATATGACCAATGCATATGACCAATGCATATGACCAATGCATATGACCAATGCATATGACCAATGCATATGACCAATGCATATGACCAATGCATATGACCAATGCATATGACCAATGCATATGACCAATGCATATGACCAATGCATATGACCAATGCATATGATCAATGCATATGACCAATGCAGGTGACCAATGCAGGTGATGTTGACGTAGCCTGCGAGATACAGACACTGGAAAATTGTTTTGTTGCACGCCTTGCTACTACGCGGAGTTAGGTGTAACAATTTTCGAAAAAAATGCAACTGCGCGATGATTTAAGCAATCAGGCTCGTGCAATTGAGAAAACGATGCTGATGTAGTGGTCCCGACGCAAAAATACGGAAAGCACCCCCTAAGAAGTAATGCTAATGTTCGCGCTTCTTGTGATATTAATTCTAATTGTTTGCCGCTCATCTTCTTCGTACGTTCTATAGTTCAGATACAGGTACCGATTCTCAAAGTAGCGATAGGCTCTGCGCTTTTTCTTTTTGTTTTTTCGTTCCAGTTTGCAGTTGCAGTTCTTCGAAAAGCGAAAGCGGTTTTTAACAGTGACTGGTTCTTTCGATCTATCCCCGCCTTTTCGCAATGATCTCAACGCGCTGACCTTTGACGTCTGCTCGCTTTTTATCCAGGGCTTTTTGAGTCAAGTTTTAGTTCTGGTTGTAATCGTGATTTGTGCCGCTGCCGCCATGCCGCTGCCGCCGTGCCGCTGCCGCCGCACTGGTTGTAATTTGCTGAATTCGGATCATGATGCCGATACCCTTTTGCTTTTTCGGTACCTTCTTGTCATGACGCGGCCGAAGGATAGTTTTGATTTTATGGTTTGGAGAACGCATCATGTCGCAATATGCGATTACGCGTTTCGTGGTGGATGAAAAATGTAATTGGTTGTTATGATGTGGTCTTCTTCTTTTCCATTTTCAGCGATCTCTCTTCATCCATGATTGTGATTCATTTTTTTCGATGAATATGTAGACAGGATCAGGAAGCGCGCTTGACTTGTTGCCATCACATTTTGTCGAGAGCTAGTCGTCCGTCCGTTTGGCCGGACGACCAGCTCGGTATTTAATCATGGGTATTGATGTTACGCGTCAGCGTCACAGCAAGTCTTTCACTTCTCTTGCCGTGGCACTGCTTGTAATTCGTATTTCTATGTAAGGATTCCAGCAGTATTTGTTTCCTATACCTTGCTTCCTGACCCCCCCCGTAGGTCACCGACCAAGAACATCAACGAACTACATTCATTTGGCATATCCAGTAGTACTTCATAAGGAATTATGGGTCGTTTCAACCGTCCTCAAATCACCATCGCCGTATGAAATGCAAATATCTATGTCTGGGTGGTCTGGAAGGTGGATGCGAGGTTTGTCATGCTTGTCTGGCATGACTGAAGAACTTGTGATGCGCGTCCAAGAAGATACTCTTTTCCTTGTGATGCAAAAACGCAGCCTGCCATGCAGAATCTGCAACAGCACTAAGCAGCGCAGATACAACCTCTCGTGCTTGGCTGTGCATTGCAGAGCATTCACCATTCCCAACCCAGCATTACAAGTTTCCAGACCCGGACGTATTTGCAATGCATACCCCGCTCGGTTCAACCAAACCGCGGCGGCGAAACAAATTGCCGGGCCCACGGGGGAAGAAGCTGCGACCCCGCGGGCGCACAAATTTACCACGCACGAGGTTTACGCGAAAGACCGGATAGCAGAAGATGATGAAGACGACCCGGCGTCGAAAAAGGACGGCAAGGGAGGAAGAGGTGTTACTGGTGGGGCAGGTACGAAACAAGAACAGAGATAATTGTAATTCTCCTGCCGCTGAGGAGCGCATTACCATTAGACCAATTAAACGCGATGCCTTATATGTATTTCTTTGCATGAGCTTGAGCATCATCGATCAGCATGATGAGCGCGACAAGTTTGCAGTAAGACCTTTATAGTATTCTTGCATTACAAACAACTCCAGGTGCAGCTGCCTCCTCTTCCACCTCCTCCGGCGGCGCACAGGGCGGCCCGTCATCGGCTTATCAAATGTAAAAATGTCTGGGTCTGGAAGATTAGAACTTGTCATGCTAAATCCGAATGATGCAAAAAAAATCTGTGTGATTTATTTTTGGCTCAAGCATTGTGATTTATAATTTTCTGCCTCAACACTAATGAGACAGGCGCACGAGGAGCAAGGTTAGTGATAGTGTCGTCTGTTGTGTAGCTTCCATTGTTTTTTTTTTTCATTTTTTTCCAAGTAGGACCATCTACATTTGGTCAGACACCGGCGCTATTCGGTCTACAACCTAGAAGTTCTTGAAGTTGTGCACTTCTATCCTTTTTAGCTCCAACATTCATTCCTCAACATGGCCTGCGTCCTCCCTCTCTTCCTGATCGGGGAAGAGGACGGCGTTTTGCCCAAGATGCAGATTCCGAAGGAAGACAGCCGTGCGTTGGGCGCCATCCTAGTCGTCCTGGCGCAAGCGATCGCCAATCTCTGGATTTTCTCGGTGTGGACCTGGCGGTTTAACAAGCAAACGCCCTTCCGCGCCCGAAATTCACAGTCGCTGCTGCAAGAATTTCAATCCTACGGCTACGATTTGGAGGTCATGAAGTGAACGGGCTTCGTGAAACTCTTCTGCGCGACGCTCCTCCCTATCGCGATCATAGACACGGAGTGCCCCTTATGCAAGGTAAATTTCCTGTACATGTACAAACTTCGCTAACTTGCAGTGTCCAACTTGTCATGCTAGACTAGGACTGAAGGCAACTTTTGCGAGTGCAGCGGCATCGAGTACTACGACGCCAAACCAAAAGGAAGCGCGCCCGACCGGTCGAGATTTACACGTTTTCTGAAACACTTTCGACGGTTTCGAGAGCCACAATTTCCAACTTCGTCCTCGACTGTCACGCTAACCAGCACGACTACCGCGAGCAACTGCAGCACACCAGCACGACTACCACGAGCAACTGCAGCACACCAGCACGACTACCACGAGCAACTGCAGCACACCAGCACGACTACCACGAGCAACTCCAGCACGACTATCACGAGCTAACCAGGCACGACGCGCAGTCTTACCGCCGCCATGGACATGGCGTGAAAGATTCGTATCGGACTTTCTGGCCACGGAGTTGCGTGTGGGACTTCGTACAAACGGCGGCCGCCATGCTGGAAATGGTGTGTCGAAATTCCTGGCCGCGGTGCTGACGAAGACGAAGTTACGGGCGCGCAAGGGTTATGGGGTTAGTAGGGGATTGCCAGGCACCCTACGTCCAGGTAAGTCCCGTCGCGACTCTGGCGTAAGACCCCCGCCCCCCCTCTCCCCCTTTGCTTCTGTTGCAGAATAAGTCAAGTAGTTGCACTAAGACTGCCACGCACAAACTAAACCTTTAAGTTGTCGCTGTGCCCCAGGTGGGTTGCCAGTCAGCAGTGACAAACAACTGGCCAATGGTTTGACGTCTGTGGTCCGCGGCCCTTGCCTTTTTCGTCCGTGCCGCAGGTAAGGCACAAATGGTCCAGCCTCCCCTGTCCGGGTGGGGTTGCGGCTTAAGGGAGAGTCTCGCCCCTTAGCCCAAAGGGGTACGTCGTCTCTTCCGTGAGAGCAAAAACTTATGGCGTAAAATTATGGGTCGGGTCCTGGATCGTTCTGTATGTTGGGCTGTCGCGCTCGGCTAGCTGGCCGGGTTGTGCTGATCAGGTGTGGTGGGTAGCTCCCGACTGGTTGGCACTTGTATTGGGGCGACTTGCCGTGGTAGCGCTCGGCTTTTGTATGTTGAGGTCGCCGAAAGTGCTTCCTCGCCCACCCCCCGGGGAGGGGATCCTTGACCTGTGGCGCTGGGAGCGGGTGTCCACTACATGATGATGATGTGTTGCGTGAGTACCAAAAGCTGTCCGCTTTTGACCAAGTTGAGAGGGAGTTTCTCATGCAGGAAAGGCATGATAGAGACCTCAAAAAATCTGTCACGCTGGGTCTCGCATTCCAGACCTCATGGGTCATGGAAAAGCTGCGTCACAAATCTTGCATTCTTCCAGACCCAGACACTTTTACATTTGATACGGCTTCCGCTGCCGCGAATGTTGCTTCGTCCTCGGCTACCACTAGCAGCGCCGGCGCTCTGCTTTCTTCTGCAGCCTCTGGAGGTCCGAGCGTTTCTAAAGACTCTACCCTACCAACCGGGTACCGCCAGTCCCTGCTTTTTGACAAAACCAGAATCCGATCGTTGAAAGTCGGTCGGTTTATCCTGTGCAAAAGTATCGTACTCGTACTAATTGCAATCTTGCATGACAAACCTACCTTTTTACCTGAATTAGCATTACAAAGTCCATTTTTCTTTCTGATAAGATTTGTAATGCAATTTGTACTTACGATACTTTTGCAATGCATACGGTTGTACCGCTTGCAGTTTGAAGCAGACCGGGACAACTATTTGCTGTTCCGCTATGGAAGTGTCAGGTTTGAAATCTTTGTCAAAATTGAAGTAAGTTGTAATGCAGAAAATCGATACCAGTTGGAAGCCCAATTTCCAAGCGGCGCATGACAAATTTCGGCACCGTCTAAATCCGGTTTGTCATGCTGTTTAGGGATAGAAGAAGGCTTTTGCCATGCTACTTTAGCAGCTCTATTTCAAACCCTAAACAGGCTGACAGTCGGCCTCACTTGCCATCCCGGCAAGACAGGCACTTCATGCCTTGCATTTTATGCATGAGAAATTATTTCAACTTTGACGATTTCAATCCTGACGCTTCCATATCCGCGCAGAACCAGAAATGATGGTGGACTCGGCAGTGAATTTGTACGGTGGTGTATCGTGAGAAAAAAGTGTTACAGTTACGCATTGTGTTGCAGGCCAAGCAAGACAGACAAGCTCTGTCATGCCGGATATGCATAGGAGCCTCGTTTCATAGCTGTTTTCCCGTAGGATTTCTGCATTACAAGTTTTCTCTCTCATGCAGTTGCTGAATTGGCTACA